GAGTTGAATGAACTACAGAGAACCCAAGATTCAGATTGATTATTTGGTCAATGCTAATGAACTTGATCTACATTAAAATGTACCATTTCATTACTTTAGCTTCATTTGAAGAAGGTCAAAATGTGGTGGCATTTATAGTATTTGGCTTATTTTTTTAATATGTTGGGCTTCATGCTGGCACCATATAGGCATATTGACTTCAATCGTTATTGGGATGTGCTTGTATTTAGTACTACTTTACTGTCACTGACATATGCAGTAATAGTTGAAACTTTCAAGATCTTATTCAGTGTACATCACAACCTTAAAGAAAGGTCTGCATTCTTTATTTGTGTTTGCAGAGCATGATTGGTCAAAAAATGCTAGAGCTCCAACTGAGAAGGCTTGGTGTTTTTAATGCTGAAGAAACAATTAGCAAGCACCCCAACCTTGATGAGAACTTCAAAATCTGTGAGTATATCAGGCAATTGTTATGATTATGCTTTTTCCAGTATATAGACTGTTTTTGCTGTTGGTATAGAAACTTCATTAGCTTATAAGATATTCAGCATTTTACCTCTTTTTCTTCCTTTTTATGCCCCTACACTCTCTTCTGTTTTCTTTTTACCCTTCAATTTTATGTGCAGTGTGGGCTAATCATGGGGATGATATAAGTATCCAATATTCTGGTACTCCTGCTTTAAAGGGAGATTTTGTCAGGTTGCTATTTTTAATCTCTTTAGAGCATTGGGCATTCTTTATTTCTTTTTTGTTCTCATGTGAAGGCATTATTTGAAGGGAATATACAACTTTCCACATGGTGTGCATACTGAATATATATCCAATTTAAATGTTTTTTTTTCCCTGTTGGTATTGGTTAGAATATTTACATGTTTTATCTCCTATGACCTGCTATAGTGGTGAGATGGAACTTAAATTTTATGATTCGTCTCTCATTTGCATTACTATCCATGTCATTGTATAATATCCTTCTTGCGAAATCAATTATATGACCTTTCAAATCTTGTTAAAATGATGGGTCCAAACCAAGTTAACTCTTGGTAATAAAAATTATATGTTTTGTGATTTGATTTTCTTTTTAGGTTTCTGTTAAGGTAAAGTGGAGATTCAGAGTTATGTTTTGGTAATGAACTCAAGCATTGAAGTGTGATACACACTAAGAATCTCTGGATTTGGGTCATAGCTTTCATTTCTTCTTATCCTATCCGTGATAAACAATGTATAAGATGTCTTCATGGAAAGAAATTCATGAAGTATGCCATTATTTGGTTCAAACTTTAATGTTCTTATCCTTATTTTCTATATCTATATGAGCTTTGGCATTCTGAATCCCTGATTTTCTTCCCCTCTCACTTTGATGGGTGAAATCATGATTAACTGGATTTGTAACATGGATATTAGTTATGCAGATATGGTAAGCGAACTGTCGAAGGGATACTGAATGATGGATGTAATGCTCTCATGCGCTACTACTTGAACAACTTCTGTGACGGTACAAAACAGGTAGTGTGCATCACATACACATCAGTGGCTTTTGTGGAATTAGTTTTAATTTTGAATATACCAATTATATATATATATATATATATATATATATATATATATATATATATATATATATATATATATATATATATATATATATATATATATATATATATATATATATATATAGGTTTCAAAATGAAACTGAAAATGCTTTGATGAGATTGACTTTCACTCATGATCTAATTAGGATTAATTTGGGTACTGATGCACTCACACCTTTTTTTTTTTTTTTATACACTGAAGGATGCAACTGATTTATTGCATGGACATTACACTGTTTCTGTCTCGCGAGATATTACACAGACATCTCATAAAGGAGGTGTTGAGGCAGTTGCTGTGAGTATTCCATCGACTTTCCCCCAACTTTGATAACAGTTATCTTTGTCTGGCGATATTGATTAAAGAATTGAATCCCTTGTATCGTAACAAACTCTATTCAGCCTTACTTCCCCCTCCCCAGTTTATTGAGTTTCAGGCCATGATTAATGTATTCAGATGTGGTTTTTGGTCAGAGTACACTATATATACAGACCAATTGATTGCATTGCATAAATTGATTCATGCCATGCATTCCACTTATGGAGTTAAAGTCTTTGAACCCTTTTCCATATTTACTGTACAATCACCTAACAAGATAATGTGTTAATCCTCCTATTGCAGTCATTCCCAATGGCATTTGGGATGATTTTGATTGGGTTGTTCTTCACCATCATCTCACTAAGGCGAGGCAAGTTATTATACTTCAAAATAACTATGGATAATATGATGTATGTTGAATTTGGTGTATGTGCTCTATTTGTCTTTGCATTGTACATGTAATGGTCTTGTGTAAGCCATCTTTCCTTTTTATTGGTATTCTCAAGTCTTATACACAATGTTCATTTTGTACTTACAGTTCAATATGATCCTTGGAACCTATTGTTTTCAATGATTTGGGCTAGCATAAGTCTTGGAATGGGTGGATTTGTGAAGGCCAATGGTCGTGTGTTCTGTAACAGGCCGCGCCTCAACCAACCTCGACATTGACTTTCAGGTTCAGGCCGGGTGCTAATTGTTTGTTATATTTGCAGAATAGGCCTTGACTCGATCTGCTGCTTTAACACAAGCATTGCCCAGTTGTATTCTTTGTAATTCATTTTCCAGAAGTATACAAAACATTGATTATATTATAGCCAACTATTTTTGTTGCGGCATGTTATGTGTTCTGATTGCCCCCTTCTAACTACATTTCATTGTTTTGTTATCACTATATTTTTAATACCCAGGGTTTTGTTTATTGGGTTACAATTGATTTTGATTGTATTGCTACCACAGTACCACTTCACATTTTAATAGCCAAGGTATTTAATACTTGCAAGTTTTTCCCCAAATTAAATTTGTAATATTCTATGTCTACGGTCTGATTGCCCCCTTCTAACTGCATCTCATTGTTTTGAATTGTTATCACTTGCTATATTTTTAATACCCAAGATTTTATTTGGTTACAATTGGTTTTGATTGTATTGCTACCACTTCATATTTTAATAGCCAAGTTATTTAATATTTGATTGTTTTTGACAAATTTGTAATATTTCTATCACCTTTTTTTGCCAAATTGGTAATATTATGTTATGTACGGAGTAACACTTCGTTATTATGTTATCTACGGAGTAACACTTCATTATTATGTTATCTACGGAGTAACACTTCATGACACTTTTGCTCCTTAAATTTTTTGCCCCCTAAATTTGGGTGTGGCCTTTCCTAAGTTGCATATATAAAAGAGTGCCTATTTTAATAGTTAAGTTAATTATGGACAACCTAGACTGATTTATTTTTTTATGGTCTTTTATTAGCTAAGGTCACAGACAATACATGGTAAGGTTGCACATAAATCTTCAGATAGTGACTATGAGTACGGGGTACTTGCAATACATGTCGCTCTTGGTATATATATATAGAGCCCTTATCTCTGCATCTAAATCAATTGCAATTAACGTTGTTATCATTGGATGAAAATTTTACAACTATATCACTATATTTTTAAAAAATAGTATGACAATATATGATTTATATTTAACTTGATTAATAAGTAGATGCATTTTTAATACGAAAGAGAGTGGGTGAGTTCATAATATCCAATGAATAAACATAGTTTTATCACCATGCGGTCCATGGTGATAATGAGTAAAAAAGTTTGATAAATTTTTTTTAATACTAGCTTATAACTTTATTTATCAGGATATTTGCAATAATTCTATCAGTATATATTTACTTTACATGCATTTATACCCGCAATTTCAACAAATTTCTAGAAGTGGTACGGCCACCTTCATATCACATAATAATTTATTGTTAATTTATATATATAATGTTATTAATAGATATGATCGATGAGTATTAGCTCTATATAATCCTCCCCGGCCAGGCTTTCTCATGTGAAACACCAATATAATTCTTCTCCAAAAACCAACAACGTAACTTAGCTTGTATAAAATCCTCATAACTACGTGTAGTACAAAATATAATGAAGATAGAGTGTTGATCATCTATATCAGCTCTTGCCTGCATCTCATCTAATTTTGTTTTCCTTATTATCGTTCCTCCCATGCATTCATAGCCTTTTCAGTAAGGCAGTTTCCTTTACCGGCGGTAGTGAGCATGGATTGATGGAAAGGAGGTGAAGTTGGGCAAGCCCAACTATATTTCCTCCACTCTGTTCCCACCACTTGCCGTGGACGTGTTTGGTAAAATAGTTAGCTTATCAATTAATTTTAGATATTTAATTTGATTTTAAAAAAATCAATATAAGTGCAGTGTTTGGTTAATCAACTTTTTTGTAACTCCAAAATGCTAAAATTCACAAAGTTGCTCAAAGCAACTTTTTCAATTAGCTTTTTTAGAAAACAAAAATACTAAACATTTATTAGCTAACAGCTAATTTACCAACTAGTCATACCCTCTAACCCAATCAGCTAATAGCTATCAGCTAACAGTCATTTACCAAACAAGGCGAAAGACTATGGCAGTACTTAACTCTATCATGGCACTTTTGTCTCTTAAATTCGGTTGTGACCTCTACTTATAAGTTTCTTTTTGATATGATATTAATAAATAGATGCATCTTTTAATGTGAGGTAGGTTGGAACATATCAAAATACCTAATAAATAAATTAAAAAAAAAAACAACTTTATTGCCATACTAAATTGCGAATTGAAGTGAAGGATATGATTTTGATGAAATTTTTTATATATACCCAAACCTGCAATGCAATTCATCTCTATTTATTTTATCACCAAACTTGCAATGCAATTCATCCCTATTTAATATTTACTTTGCATGCAATGTATGCAATTTCAACCAATTTTCATTAATATAATGGTCTACTTTCCTAACACATAATAATATTAATAGGTGGTATATGATGAGTGGGTCTATAAATTGGAACATCCTCTCCTGAGCTTGACCTTCTCATGTCAAACACCAATTAAAAAAAAAAAAAAAAAAAAAAAAAACAACTTGCTAGCTTCTATAAATTATTCATCATAACAAAATGAAGACTACTCTTCATCAGCTCTTGCCTGCATCTCTAATTTTGTTTTCCTTATCGTTCTTCCCCTTCATAGCCTTTTCAGTAAGACAGTTTCCTTTACCGGCGGTAGTGAGCCTGGATAGAAAGGAGGTGAAGCTGGGTGAGGCGTACTATATTGCCTCTACTATGTCCCCAACAATTGGGGTGTGCCTGGTGGACAACGTTAAGTGTCCCAAAGACATCATCCAGTGCCCCTTCTTCTCCGACAACCCCTTCGGCCTGCCTATCACCTTCTCCTCCGTCGACAACTCCACGGAGGACACCGTGGTTCGAGAGAACACTCCCTACCGTATTCAGTTGTCCGCCCCTGGAAACTGTAGCAAAGAAAACTTCTGGTACCTAAAGGATGACGGAATCCCCGGCAAGAATTTCGTCGCTATAGGTCCCAAGACTCTGGCTGTGGAATTTGTGCTCCAGAAAGTGCTGTTTGGGTACAAGATCACCGGATGCGTACTACCATCTTTGCCCATTTGCTACGGCCTTGGGATGGTATTTGAATCTGATTTGGATCGACTGGGTATCGGGTCGGACGTCCAGGCTGTGGAGTTTTTATTCGACAAGTCTTCCAGGCCACTACCGTCGCCATCGGCAACCAGCTAGATTCACTGTAGCTAACAACGTAACCAGTTGTATATTCTGGTTATGTATGTATGTAATAATTTGTCTGCTGCATATAAGGACAGCAGCTCGATCTGTACTCTCAATAAGCTAATTAAGGGTTCTGTATCCTTAATTTCTTCGTATTATATTTATGGAATTATGCTTTTTAATTTATAATAATTAAGATGAATGCATGTATCACGTGTTACAATAAATAAATAAATAATTATTAGAATTTATTTTATTTTTAGACTTTTAAAAGGGCCGCCGTGCATGACACATTTATGATTTATCTATCAAATTATATTTTAACATATTGAAGAAGGTAAATTTATTTTTAAGGAGTAAATTATTGTAACATGTAGTGTTAGTTACGTTTTATTTAGGGAATGAAAAAAAAAAAAGAACAAATAAAAACTAATGTTACATTTGTAGAAAGTAATTAAAATAAAAAAGAATAATAATGTCAGTTTTAAAGCACAGGACTTGATAATCATATATAAAATTTCAAGTTGTATTCTTCATCATGAGAGTGCTCTTAACTTCTTGGTTTGAACTGGTCAGAAATGATCAACATAAATTAATTAGTTTATTTCTTTGCAATTCATTTCCCATATGATACAAATTAAAGGAGTTAATACCTCCAATGGTCATCCGAGTATTAGTGAAACCAACTGTGGTCATCTGAGTTTTAAATGACTTTCAATAATCCTTCATGTTTTAAAAAGTAACCACCCGTGGTCCTAATTCTTTAAAAAAAAAAAAGAGTTTAAAATGATCACGAGACGTCCTAAAAGGACCACGGACGGTTATTTTTTAAAACATAGAGGACCATTGGAGGTCATTTAAAACTCGGGTGACCACAGTTGGTAAATCACTAATACTTGGAGGACCATTGGAGGTATTAAATCCAAATTTTTTTTGGAAAACGTAACTCAATTCATTAAATCATCCGCAACGATCAACACAAGATAACTAGGGGGGGGGGGGGGGGGGAGTTCCTCTAACCACTCTCCGGAACCTGACACAGAAACGGCTTCCCTAGCTATAACATGGGCCGCACGATTCGCAGATCGCCTAGCATAACTAAAGCTAACCCCATTCAACAAAGAGGCTACATGCTTTACATCATCTACTAAAAAATCAAACGCAGTAAAGAAAGAATCAGAGTTCAGAGCATGATTATAGCAAACTAATTTTGTTCCCTTGTGAGTCTCCTTTAAAATAATTGTCTAACATATTTTTATATTTAAGATGAGTAAGTTAAGATGAAAATGTAATATTATTCTCAAAAGGTTGAGTCTCCTTTAAAACTGTTTACCATATTTTTTATATTTAAGAAATTGTAATATTTATACTAGAAAATGCAACACTAATCAATAATAATAAATTATACGTTTATTATTTATAAGAGAAATTATAATACTTTTAATAGAATATATAATACTTTAAAATTAAAATATAATATTTAGAGGGTAAACAAGTGTAATACTAACAAATAATAAATTAATTGATTATTATTTATGAAAGAAAGTATAATACTTATGAGAAAAATAATTAAAATAATGCAATACTTTTGATTAAAATAATGTAATACTTTTTTTTTTTTGAATGTTACTGGCTCTATTACATTGTAGTATCTGTTCATATACTTTCTCGAACTCATAACCTTCCAAATGGAAGTCCAACTCGGATACCATTAGACCACATAGTCCTGGTAATACTTTTAAATAAAAATGTGATATTATCAATTGAAGAGTTGCTTATGATGTAAATTATTATATATACATATGAGAGAAAGTATAATACTTATGAAAAATTCGACCCTTCTCAGGATGAGAATCTGTGAGACGATTGCATATAAAATTTTGCCTATTTTTAATAGCCAAATATTTATTGGGTTACAAACAACTGATTTAGATTATTGTATTGCTTGGGAGAAGATTATTGTATTGCTTCCGTACCACTTCATATTTTAATAGCTAAGTTATTTAATACTTGCAAGTTTTTGCCAATATTTGTAATATTCTATCTCCTATGCTAAAACATGGAGTGACACGTAGTTAACTTTATTATGACACTTTTGTCTCTTAAATTCGGTTGTGACCTCTCCTTATAAATTTCTTTTTGATATGATATTAATAAGTAGATGCATTTTTTAATATGAGATAGGTAGGACCATTTCAAAATACCCAATAAATAAAAATAACTTTATTGCTTGCCATGCTAGCTAGCTAGATTGTGAATTGAAGTGAAGGATTTTGATGAATTTTTTATACTACTTATAACTCTATTTATCACCAAACTAGCTTGCAATGCAATTCATCCCTATTTAGTATTTACTCCGTACACTATTTGCATCTCTATATGCAATTTCAACCAATTTTCATTAATGGTCTACTTTCCTATCACATATAATTAATTAATGTTATTAATATATAGGTGGTATATGATGAGTGGGTCTATAAATTGGAACATCCTCTCCTGGCCTTCTCATGCCAAACACCAATTAAAAACCAACTTTCTATAATTAAAAGCATAACAAAATGAAGACTACTCTTCATCAGCTCTTGCCTGCATTATCTCTTTTGTTTTCCTTATCGTTCCTCCCCTTCATTGCCTTTTCAGTAAGGCAGTTTCCTTTACCGCCGGTAGTGAGCGTGGAAGGAAAGGAGGTGAAGCTGGGCGAGTCGTACTATATTTCCTTCACTCTGTTCCCACCACTTGGGGTGTGCCTGGTGGACAATGAAAAGTGTCCCAAAGACATCATCCAATGCCCCTCCTACTACGACGACCCCCGCGGCCTGCCTGTCACCTTCTCCTCCGTCGTCAACTCCACGGAGGACACCGTGGTTCGAGAGAACACTCCCTACCATATTGAGTTTTCCGGCGCCGTTGGCTCTGGAAACTGTAGCAACGAAACTAGCTTCTGGTACCTAAAGGATGACGGAATCGCCGGCAAGAATTTCGTCGCTATAGGTGCCAAGACTCTCGCTACCGAATTTACGATCCAGAAAGCGGTGCTGGGGTACAAGATCACCGGATGCATACTACCACCTTTTCCCCTTTGCTATGGCGTTGGGATCGTATCGGAATTTGGATTTAATCGGCTGGGTATCGGGTCGGACGTCCTGCCCGTCGAGTTTTTCCTCGGCAAGGCTGCTACAACTAATTCCACTACCGTCGCAATCGGCAACCTGCTAGATTCACTGTAGCTACAACAGTGAAGAATATATGTAGTACGTGTGCAGTGGTATATTCTGCAGGTTACGTTTTGTCGGGGACATCTATGTATGTACGTATGTAATAATTTGTCTGCTGCATATATGCCATGCATATATAGGACAGCAGCTCGATCTGTACTCTCAATAAGCTAATTAAGGGTTCTGTATCCTTAATATCTTCGTATTATATTTATGGAATTATGCTTTTTAATTTATAATAAGATGAATGCATGTATGATACGATGTATCACGTATTACAATAAATAAATTATTATTATAATTTATTTTATTTACTTTTAAAAGGGCCGTGCATGACACATTTATCTATCAATTTTTTTTTTAAACATATATTCAAGAAGATAAATTTATTTTTAAGGAGTAAATTATTGTAACGTGTGTTGACCTGGATACGTTTTATTTAGGGAATGAAAAAAAATCAAAAACTATAATTCATTTTTTTTTAATTAATGCCGCATTTGTAGAAAATAAAATAAAAAAGAATAATAATGTCAATATGTTGGAAAAATAGATTATTATGTATTTATGTTAGTTCAAGCAGATAACTAGGTAATCATATATAAAATTTTAAGTTGTATATTCTTCATGTGAGCGGTCTTAACTTTATTGGTTTGAACTGGTCAAAAATAACCAACATAAATTAGTTTATTTTCCTTGCAGTCCTTTATCTTTTGCATTATACAAATAATAATTTGTGTAAGCCATCTTCTCTTTTTCTTTGTATTTGATCTCAAGTCTTATACACGATGTTCATTTTGTACATACAATTCAATAAGATCCTTAATTGGAACCTATTGTTTTCAATGATTTGGGCTAGCGTAAGTCTTGGAGGCTAGATTTGTAAAATTAAAGCCTTCATTTTGTTTTTAGTAGTGTATTTAAAATTGAACATTCACTACATAAAAAATAATTTTTTTAAAGAAGTATTAAAAATAAATATTCAACATTTTGAATTTCAAGTTCTACGCGGGTGCTAATTGTTTGTTATATTTGCAGAGTAAGCCCCGAGACTCCGACTCGGTTTCTTTTACACTTTCCCCAATTGTATTCTTTGTAATTCATTTCCCCTAGGGATTGATTATAGCCAACTATTTTTGGTCCAATCCCTTTTACTAGATTTTAAAGGTGAATATCCTTTAAAACTAACATAATTATATTTTATAACATGAGTCAAGTCAAGATAAAAATGTAATATTTATATTAAAAAATACAACACTAATCAATAATAATAAATTGTACATTTTTTATTTATAAGGGAAATTATAATAATTTTAATAGAATATGCAATATTTTTAAATTAAAATATAATATTGATGTGTAGCAAAAATGAGTGATGGTGAGTGTACGGATGTGAAATGTCGTCCTCAGAGGATTGGGGGTTAGGGCACGCAATATGCAATCACAATAAACTAGGCACTAGCATAAGGAAATCAACAAGAAGCTAAGCAAACTACAAGTTTAAGGAAATGGTAAGACTAACACAAATACGCAAAGATAAACACAAAATAAAGGAATAAGACTCAAGCTAGGGAGCATTATCTTCTAGATGCATAACACAACCTAAGGATTGGGAAAAATCACACAACCAAGGAATAGAGGGGATGCACGTATGAATCCTAGTCTATAAGTCACTCACGTGAGCAAATTAGCAAGGATTAGAACAAGGAATTGAATTGCCCTACTCTCGTGGTGAATCAACTCCAAGTTATTCTTCAAGAACAAAAAGCATCTAAAACTCCCAATTTCCCCCCATTTTCATAGGAAAAATTGGGTTTATGCAATGAGTGGCTTAGAATCTTGACCCAACTCTCATTGAGGCCAAGAATCCTCCAAAACATGCCAATGAATGTTGTACAATACACCAAGCATTAACAATATACAAACACAAATCCTTCATAAACTCAAGAACCCTAGGTTAGAGTTCTTCCCCTTTTTGCAATAATCACAAATCAAGCATCAAGATAGATAATACAACCCTAACTCAAGTCCATAAACTAACTACCCATGATTAAATAGCAATAAGAACACAAAAATACAAGTGTAAAGCATAAATATTGCAAGATAAAGAGATAAAAGGGGAAAAGAAGATTATCTATTTAAATGGATGGTAGAATCTTGAAATCCAAGTGTAGATCAGATCCTTCAATACAAGTTTGAAATATGATAAAGAACCTAAATCTACACCTAATCTAACACTAAAATATGAAAGGAAAGAGTAGAAAATAGTTAGGGTTCGAATGGGGTTCAAAACCAAGTAAAAATGAGTGAAAAATCAGGTAACAAGGAGCATAGGTGGGGGGCTCGACGCAAAAATCACTTAATTTGGACATTCCTAGGTCGAGATATGGTCAAATTATCGAACAGTGGTCAGTTTTGGTCGAAATCTGTAAGTTTGGAACTTCAACTTCAATGATAATTTTGACCACTTTGGCTTCCTTTTTAGGCTTTGATGTTTGAACAGGAGTTGTAGCCCTTTGAGTCTTATTTCCAATGGGACAAAAATCACTTAATTTGGATATTTGCAGGCTGAGATATGGTCCAAAACCTAAGATGTCGACGTGCAGGTCGGGAATTTCAATTCCATGATCTTTTGTTTCTCTTTTGCTTTGGTTTGCTCAAATGACCAAGATCATTGAAAGCACCACCCTTAGGCTTCCTTGGAAGTGTTTTACCCATCCTCTTAGCTTTTCCTTGGCTCCTATGGACTCTAAATGTATCCATAATGCTCCACTTGACTCCAATATCCTGCACCAAAATGCATGATATTACTCATCTTTGCTGCCAATGCTTTCCAAATCAAACTCCTTGCAAAATAACACAATTTAGTCATAATCTCATGAATTTTAGAATGATCTATATGCAAAATGGCTTAGTGAAAGAGGGGAAAATATAGATAAATAAGTACTTATCAAATATTGAGAGGGTAAACAATTACTTATGAGAAAAAATGTAATACTAATAAATGATATATTAATTGATTGGTACCTAAGAAAGAAAATATAATACATATAGGGAAAAAAATAAAATTCAATACTCTTGATGAAAATGTAATACTTTTAAATTAAAATGTAATATTATCTGTTGAAGAGTTACTTATGAGAAAAATTATTATACATATGAGAAAAAAATATAATACTTATGAAAAATTCAACCCTTCTCACGATGAGAATCCGTGAGACGTTGCATATAAGATTTTGCCTATTTTTAATAGCCAATATTTTATTGGGTTACAACTAATTTTGATTATTGTATTGCTACCGTACCACTTCATATTTAATAGCTAAGTTATTTAACTCTTGCAAGTTTCTGCCCATATTTGTAATATTCTACTTCTATGCTAAACACGGAGTGACACATACTTAACTCTATCATGATGCTTTTCTTCCTTAAATTCTGTTGTGGCCTCTCCTATTAAGTTTCATTATGATATAATATTATTAAGTAGATGATTTTTTAATGTGAGGTGGGTTACGTTGAATCATTTTAAAATACTTAATAAATAAAAATAACTTTATTGCCATGCTAGATTGTGAATTGTAGTGAAGGATTTTGATGAAATTTTTATACTTATTACTCTATTTATCACCAAACTTGCAAAGTAATTCATCCCTATTTAGTATTTACTTCATTAGTGGTCCTATCACATAATAATTTATTGTTAATTTATATAACAATTAATTAATATTATATTAGATAATAGCTGGTATATGATCACTAAAAGCTCTATAAATTGGAACCTCAATCCTCTCCTTCTCATGTCAAACTCTACGTACTGCATCAAATATAATTAAAAGCAATTTGTATAAAATCATATATAACAAAATATAATGAAGACTCTTCATCAGCTGTTGCCTGCATTATCTCTTTTCTTTTCTTTATCGTTCCTCCCCTTCATAGCCTTTTCAATAAGGCAGTTTCCTTTACCGCCGGTAGTCGGCGTGGATGGAAAGGAGGTGAAGCTGGGCGAGTCGTACTATGTTTCCTCCACTCTGTTCCCACCACTTGGGGTTTGCCTGGTGGACAACGTTAAGTGTCCCAAAGACATCATCCAGTGTCCCTCCTACTACGACGACCTTCGCGGCCTGCCTGTCACCTTCTCCTCCGTCGTCAACTCCACGGAGGACACCGTGGTTCGAGAGAACACTCCCTACCGTATTCAGTTTTCCGGCGCCGTTGGCTCTGGAAACTGTAGCAACGAAACTAGCTTCTGGTACCTAAAGGAAGACGGAATCGCCGGCAAGGGTTTCGTCGCTATAGGTCCCAAGACTCTCGCTGTCGAATTTACGATCCAGAAAGTGGTGGTGGGGTACAAGATCACCGGATGCATACTACCACCTTTGCGCATTTGCTACGACGTTGGGTTCGTATCGACATTTGGATTTAATCGGCTAGGTATCGGGTCGGACGTCCAGGCCGTCGAGTTTTTCTTCGGCAAGGCTACAACTAATTCCACCGTCGCCATCGATTCACTGTAGCTACATGCAACAGTGAAGAATATAATGTAGTATATTCTGGTTACGTTTTGTCGGGGACATGTATCCATGTGTGTAATAATTTGTCTGCTGCATGCCATGCATAGGACAGCAGCTCTGTACTCTCAATAAGGGTTCTGTATCCTTAATTTCTTCGTATTTATGGAATTATGTTTTTCTATAAGATGAATGTATGTATAATGTATTACAATAAATAAATAATTAATTAATTACAGAGTATTATGATTTATATTATTTTTAGACTTTTAAAAGGGGCGTGCACTACTGGAAATTATGGAATTTTCGACCACCTAAAAATAATCTTAAATCAAGGCGAAAGTCTTATTTCGATCACTTTTGGTATCCGAAAAAATATTTGTTGCTATTTCCGACCACTTTTTGGTATCAACTTGATTTAAGATCACTTTCAGGTGGTCGGAAATTCCATACTTTCCAGTAGTGGTGACACATTTATCTATCAAAAAATATTTTTTTAATATATAGAACGAAGAAGATAAATGTATTTTGAAGGACTGATTAAATTATTGTAACATGTGTTGAATTGGTTTTATTTAGAGGATGAAAAAATAAATAAATAAAGACTATAATTCATTTCTTTTTAAATCAATGTCGCATTTGTAGAAAATAAAATTAAAAAAAAAAAATTATTATTGTCAATATGTTTAAAAATAGATTATCGTATGTGATAGTTCAAACATTTGACTTGTTAACTATAGGATTTCAAATTCAACTCCTCATGAGATCAAGTCTTATTAGTTTGAACCGGTGAGTAATTAACAACTAGTTTATTTCCTTATGCTTATTTTTCTTTTTGCATTGTACAAGTAATAGTTTGTGTGAACCATCTTCAATTCCCTTTTTCTATGTATTCTCAAGCCTTATACACAATGTTCATTTTGTACTTATAGTTCAATATGATCCTTGGAACCTATTGTTTTCAATGATTTGGCTAGAATAAGTCTGGGAATGGCTGGTTATACCTAAAGAATAACATTCAATATATAAAAATAAATCTTATTTTAATAGACCATCTTATAAGACAGATCATGATTAATTAGATAGTATTGACGTGACTTTTAGGTTCAGGTCGGGTGCTAATTGTTTTTTATATTTGCAGTTGTGTTCTTTGTAATACATTTCCCCTAGGGATACAAAGCTATTACACCGTGTAACATATCCTTATTTGTAAGATGAGTTGAGTCAAGATAAAAAATAATATTTATACTTGAAAACGCAATATTAATCAGTAATAAATTATTTGTTATATATATATATATATATATATATATATATATATATATATATATATAAAGGAAAGTGTAATATTTTTAAATTAATTAAAATGTATCATTTAAGGGTAAATAGTTACTTATGAGAAAAAAAATGTAATATATACTAACCAATGATAAATTAATTGATTGTTACTTATATTATGAAAGAAAGTATATAATACTTATGAGTAAAATGTGATACTTTTGATGAAAAATGTAATACTTTTAAATCAAAATGTAATATATGATGAGTTGAAGAGTTACTTAGGAAGAAAAGGTAATACTTATGAGGGAAAGTGTAATACTTATAAAAAATCTAACATTCTCAGGATGAGAATTTGTGAAATGATTAAATAGAGAAGATTTTGCCTATTTTTAATAGCCAAGATTTTGTTAGGTTACAACTGATTTTGATTGCATTGCTACCACAGTACCACTTCATATTTTAATAGCCAAGTTATTTAATACTTGCAAGTTTTTCCCCAAATTAAATTTGTAATATTCTATAGTCTTTTGCCCCTTAAATTTGGTTATGTGTCTCTTAAGTTTCTTTTTGATATAATATTAATAAGTAGATGTATTTTTTAATGTGTGGTAAGGTAAAGTGGTGTGGGATAGTTGATAATATTAATGAATAAAATAATAATTTTATGACCATGCTAGATGAGTAGATGGTGAAGGATTTTGATTAAACAATTTATATGTATAACTTTATTTATCATAAAATTAAATTTGCAATACAGTACAATTCGACCAATGAATTCATCACTATTTACTTTTCATCCTATCAATGCAATTTCAACCAATTTTCATAAGTGGTCCAATTTCATATCACATAATTAATAATTTATTCTTAATTTATGTAACAGTACGTACAGCTGGTATATGCATGATCACTAGCTAGCTCTATAAATTAAATTGGAAGCATAGCTCCTCTCCTTCATTCTCATGTCAAATACCAAAACCAATTTCAATATATCATATCAAAATTAAATTAAATGAAGACTCTTCATTATCAGCTCTTGCCATATGTTTTGTTTTCCTTATCGTTCCTCCCCTTCATAGCCTTTTCACTAAGGCAGTTTCCTTTACCGCCGGTAATCAGCGTGGACGGAAAGGAGGTGAAGCTGGGCGAGTCGTACTATATTTCCTCCACTCTGTTCCCACCACTTGGGGTGTGCCTGGTGGACAACGTTAAGTGTCCCAAAGACATCATCCAATGCCCCTCCTACTACGACGACCCTCGCGGCCTGCCTGTCACCTTCTCCGCCGTCGTCAACTCCACGGAGGACTCCGTGGTTCGAGAGGGCACTCCCTACCGTATTGAGTTGTCCGCCCCTGGAAACTGTAGCGACGAAAACTTCTGGTACTTAAAGGATGACGAAGGATACGCCGACAATGATTTCGTCGCCATAGGTCCCAAGAAACTCGCTAACGAATTTATAGTCCAAAAAGTGGAGTCGGGGTACAAGATCATCCAGTGCGTACTAATTCCAATTCCACCAACTCCCATTTGCTACGACGTTGGCTTCTTATCCACGTATGGATATAATCGTCTGGGTATAGGGTTGGGCGTCCAGCCTGCCCAGTTTTTCTTCGCCATTGCTACATTTCCACCGTCGCCATCGCCATCCACGCCTCCAGCGTCGCCATCCACACCTCCACCGTCGCCATCCACAAGCCCGCCCACAGCTAGTATAGATAATAATTCACTGTACCTACCACAGTGATCAATTTGTGGAGTGTTTTAATTTGTTGGGGACATGTAATAATTTGTCTTATCTGTTGCATAGGACAGCAGCTCAGTACGTACTCTCAGGTGTTATGCATGTATCCTTAATTTCTTAGTATGGGTGAATGAAATAATTGAGTTCTTTAATAATAAATAAAATTTATTATGACAATTACTATGTATGTAGTATGATGGCACATATAATATCATTGTAAATTGTAGTAAAAAAAATTACGGAGTATTATTTTATGTTTAATTTGGACTTTAAAATGGTCATGACATATTTATCTGATCTATATATATATATATATATATATATAGAGAAGATGATAAATAAGGAATAAATTATTGTAACATGTGCCAATTTTATTTGAGGGACTAAAGAAAATAAATAAAAACTAAAAGTAACAGTACGAACATTTGTTTGTGGTTGCGCTGCATTCCCCATGCATGCTTGCTGTTTGACTGCGGTTTCTTTGGAGTACGTCTGTGTTGATCCATAATATAATGTCTATTAGGCTGAATTTATCATACAATACACTCTCATAAAACTGTATCATACTTTCACATCACTAAATTTGTAATTCTTTTACTATATTTTCTACATCTTTACAATACTCTTTTGCTTTCAAAGGTGAACCTACTTTTATATCACAATAATAAATTAATATATTTTTCATATTTATAATTATATATAAAATAACTGTACATATTGCAAACTTGCTAGAAATGCAAGTTTGCAATACACGTGTAAACAAAAAAAAAAAAAAAAAAAAAAAAAAAAAAAAATCTTTAAAAGATGTAGTTTTGCAGGGATAAATTCAATCTTAGATTCTTGAATGTTGTTATTAGCGATGTTGGGTGTTGAGTTTTCTAATTTGTGCGCAAAAGTAGGTGTACATAAGACTAGATAGATTTAGTCCCATTGAAAAGTAATTAATCAAACCAATACAAGTGTCCATGTGGACGTAGTCTCACCAAATGAAGCACCGTACCCACTCCTAGCTTTTAAACCTTTGACTTTTATAGGAATGTTTTTGCAGAAAGGATAAACTAATTAAGGAAAAATTCTAATGAGCTGAGAAGTGCGGCTTTCATATGTTTTCTCAATGTATTTCCTTTTGTATTTTTACAAATATTAAGTATTTTTAATTTCTCAGTCGTCAAACTAACGTTACTCCCCTCCACTGCGCATGGCGCAATCGTCATCGGTGGGTTGCCAATTGCCATTGCGGCAAATTAAAGATTAGGACGAAGAAGACACCATCTTCATTCGTCCACAGATCTGTCTTCCTCTGCAAGCTTTTCCACCTTCAAATAATTAAGCACAACAAAGAGGAACAAAGATGTATTTTGATAAAAATGTATAAATTATATATTGGTGTATTTTTTGTTCTATTTAACAATCATCTCAGTTATTTCATTTTTCTAGAATACTTTTATAAGTACACCAAAAACCTCTTTCCCAAACTAGTAAATTATATATTTGGACACCACATTCTGACAAGTTACAATTCATGGTTAATGACTCTAAACTTTTAAACCTTCATATATGGTTTCAGAGAATAACTTATCGATAAGCCATAATTTGGTTAATTTGTGCACTTTATTTAGGGTCCGTTTAAAAACACTCAACGCTCTTGTGCTTAACCACATATTATTCAACCCCCTTTCGGTTCATTGTATACTCCTTAAAGCGATTTTCGGTGTGAGAATACCCTCTCACACACACTTCATTCCATCGCCACTAAACACAACTTGCATGTATATATTGGGTTTTATTTTTATTTTTTTCTTGTAAATCATAGAGAATAAGGTATATGTATATATGTTGTAACTGTAATATATATGTTATGTAAACATGCATGTATACCTAAACGGCTAAACCCATGAAAAAAAAAAAAAAAAAAACAACCAACCAACCAACCAACCAAAATGTTGAGCTGACGAGTAACCAACCCGCCATTGATTAAAATCGCATCTTCACCAAAGTGTTAAGTAAGTGGACAAAAGGTAGGGGACCTTTTCTCCCCTAATTGTGTATTTGATAGAAAGGATTTGTAAATCTTTTCTCATTTAATTTTAAGAAATGAGAAATTCTAGAGTTTGATTAGAAGGAATTACAATTCTTTCAATTTGAAAATTTGCAAATCTCAACTTCTCTAGGACTATGTGGTCTAATGATACCCGGGTTGGACTTCCATTTGGAAGATTGTTAGTTCATTAACTCTTTGTGTTTTAGTAGGTTGAGAAAGTATATGAACAGATACTACATTGTAATAGAGCTAGTAGCATTCAAAAAAAGATTGATTATCAATTAATAATCACACTAATCATTATTATCTCGTATGGATATGATCGATGATACATAGTTACGACTCCGTCCGTATTAGTAATAGAATATTAATTTTTCGCCGGCATGGGCAACTCAATTGGTCATAGAGGTTAAAGTTATAAAGAATGACTCAAAAAAAGATTGATTATCAATTAATAATCACACTAATCATTATTATCTCGTATGGATATGATCGATGATACATAGTTACGACTCTGTCCGTATTAGTAATAGAATATTAATTTTTCGTCAGCATGGGCAGTTCAACTGGTCATAGAGGTTAAAGTTAAAAAGAATAACCAGGATCAAGTTTTACCAGCAGCAGTGTAGGAGCAACCTCTTAGGACTCCTTGTACGGTGCCCAATAAGCAAATGTGATGCTCTATCAGGCCGAGGTGTGAGAGGCTCTTAGGGTTGGGGTTCAACCTTTTGGAAATAATAGAATATTAATCTTCCGTTGACATTAATTATATTTAGCGTGCCGTCACACATTTATTAGTTCGTACGGAGTAGACCCATTACCCAACCCCATGATAACACGACATTACAATCACAATATACTCAACTTAGTAACAGTGTCATATTAATTATATATTATATATTGCATATTATATATTCTATAGTACGTACATGAATATTATAACATTTTAATAGGCAAAAACTTGAAAGATCAAGTTCAATATCTTATTATTGAAATGTAAAATTGACTATTTTACTACATACGTATAAACAAAGCCGTTCCAATCAAAATATGGGTCATATGTGATATCTTTATTTTGACCCTCTTACAAATAATTTCAATCTAAAAAATATTATTTAATTTTTCTTCATTCTCACTATCATAGTATCATCTTGATCTATCATATGAACATTAGCATTTAGGTATTTTTTCTTGGCATCATCTTTTTGTTCATCTACTTGAGTTTTATTTTTTGTCCGAAGCTCTTTTTTAGATTGAGTTAGTTGTTTAATTTTTTTTTCTTTTTAAGCATTTATTTAGAAGTGTATAGTAGATATAAAAATTCTATTGATGTGTTTAAAAGAAAATAATAATTCTATTGCTGTTGCTGAATAAATAATTAAAAAATTATCAAATTAGGAACGAATTAATCAAATTATTAGTTGAAATTATTTTACCGCAAATCACTATATATGGTCTGACGAATTAGTTTTCCTCCTGTCGTCCTACTATACTTTGGTTGCTTCTTCTGCAGTTCCATTAGTACCGAGTCCGCTAGTTCTATCAACCCAATGTGATTATTCCAAGTATGAAAATTTCTCCTATAGTTTAATTAGAACACTAGGGTTATGCCGAGTGTGTGCGGACGAGATAATTAACTGCATACACATAATATGTTGTAGTTTATTGACACAAACGGTTAATTGTAGGTACAATATATATTAACTGCAAACACATAATCTAAAAGTTATTTTAGATCAGCGTCCATAATGCAAGGTAGATTATCGTTCCTGGTGTAATTTGCCAATATCCATGTAATATATATAACACCTTCTTTTTTTTTTTTTTTAAATGCACTATAAAACTTAATTAGATTTGGTGGTATTGAACGACAAGTCGACATCCCTAGTCAAATTGGTCAAACAATTAGATTAATAATCATAATATTTTAAATTTGACTCCTCATGTGTATTGACATTTTTTTTTTGAAACGGTAAACTTCACCGTTTATATGCATGCAATGTGCCTTAGCTTCAAAACTCAACAATCAAAAGAAAAAAAATATTTTAAATTAAATTTAATAGAAAGGTTTGAATGAGAAGAAAAAAAAAAAAACACACCACACACACATATATATAGAAAGGAAAAGTACAAATATATGTAGCAAAATTTTGGGAACTAAAAGTATGTAAATTAACAAATTAAATCTCCATCTGCCTTTTACAAAAGAATTTGTCGTCCCTTGAAAAGTGTTGAAGGACCGGTACTATTCTTACACGCAAATATACGTGCATCATCCATCATATCGCATCAACAATTCATATAATAGTGAGTACGGTTTCATGTATTTATTGAAATTCAACTAAACTGCGCAGAAATGAAATAAAAATTACAAGAAAGATAATATATTATTAAAGTAAATAACTCAGCAGTACGAGAGATGAGTTGTGTTTAAGAAGTTGTAATTGTAATATATATGTGTATTAAGAGCAAAATAAAGCAGTTGATAATTTAGCTGACTACTCTCTTTATCATGATTATCATAAACTACGGGTTGTTGACGACAATCCCCTTTCTTCCCCAGCAGATTCTTTGGGAGGAGTTTATAGGCGTTATGTGTTGGTGCAAAGCTTTTGCTTGGTTTAATCTTGTTTTTGAGGTGATATGATCGACAAGTCTTCGATTTTTCACCAAAAAATTACATTGTGTTAACATGTTACTGAATGCTATACATATATTAAATTTGTAAGAAAATGTAAATTAATACATACCATTCATTACAATTAATTAATCAAATTCAGAGTAACATTTTTTTTAAGTACTATTAATTATGTTACAATGCAGCCACTAGACCACAAAATCCTTGGCCAAAGTAACATTTTATAGGAAACATAAATTTGTGGTTCTTTAATTTGCCAATTACTAGTATAGGGTAAGTGGGTAACAAGGCAATATAATCCATCACTTTTTCTAGTAGTATTATTTCAAGACTTAGAGAAATAACCGCGGCATTACCTATGAAAATTAATTATTTCAAGACTTAGAGAAATAACTGCGGCATTACCTATGAAAATTAAATATACGTCCGGTTAAATAAAATAGTTAGCCTATTAACCAATTTTGACTTGTTTGACCACTATTAATTAGTTGTTTGACTTTGTTAAACAATTAATATGAATGTTTGATTAATTAGTTTTTTGTAATAGCTTATTGCTTCAAAAGAATAAAAAAAAAAAAAAACTAAAATTAAAAAAGCTGCTCAAAACAATTTTTTGATAAAGTCATTTTGTATGTAATCAACTCAGTTAATAACTAATTTACCAAACATCTTTTTACAATTATCAACTAGCTAGTCAAACCTACTAACTGAATCAACTAATTAACAACTATTTACCAAACAGTCACATTATATTTAGTGGTGGTATGACGCACACATATAAAATAAGTAGCAAGTTTGATGTCATTTCACCAACCGCTACTATACGTACTGCATGCACATGAAAAATGGTACCACAACCACATGAAATATGTTTATTATTTACGTCGCTCTTTAAATTGGGACTTCTCAGGTCCCCATTTCTCATATCCCTCACTCACCAACACAAAAATTACTAATTAAACTAAAACTACCTATCGCAATAAAATGCAGACTTCTCAACTACTGCATCTTTGTTTTTTCCTTTCCTTAATATTATCGTCCCTCCCCTTCATAGCCTATTCTTCGTCGTCGTCGGACACTTTTCCTTTGCCGCCGGTAATCAGCCTGGACGGGAAGGAGCTCAAGCTTGGCAAGCCCTACTACATATTCTCCACGATTTTCCCGAAACGAGATGGGCTGTGTCTTGTGGACAACGTCAAATGCCCCGAGGACATCATCGAATGCCCATACTTCTACGACACCTCTAGCTATTTTCCCGTCACCTTCTCCGCCGCCAACGTGACGACGGAGGACACCGTGGTTCGAGAAGACACTCCGTACCGCATTGAGTTCACCATCCCCGGCGCCACCACCTGCGCCACCGCAAAATACTGGTACATAAAGGATGTCGGAGACTCGCTCAGGGAGTTCGTCGCAATAGGTCCCAAAACTGCCGCCGTCGAGTTCCAAATCAAGAAAGTGAACCTGGGCTACAAGATTATGTACTGCATACTACTTCCAATCCCGCCTACTCCCATTTGCTACGACGTTGGGTTCTATAAGGAAAACGGATTTAATCGTTTGGGTTTCGGGGTGGGTATAGATGCCGTCCAATTTTTCTTCGCCGGTAATCTCTCTTCCATCTCCACCGCCTCCTTCCTCAACCTAGCCATCCCCATGTTCTAGACTGACTACTACAATATATATGTGTTGAAGTTTGGTTCAATTGTTGTTATTATTATTATATATATTGGACTTGCAATATAATAATCTGTCTGATCTGCTGTTTATCACAGCAGTCAACACTGCACCTCTCTAGCTTGTAACTTTGTATTCCATCTTTTTAATACATATTCTTAGTTCTCTCAAATCTTACTATCTTAACTTAACAAGCTCAATACAAATACCAAAAAAAAAAAAAGAAGACTCATGAAGGTGCCGGTGATTTGATGTGTTTAATCAGAGAATCAAGAAATAAAATGTAACATAAAATGACTTACAAATTTAAGGCCTCTATGAGATGATGATGCATAGAATCAGAGGTTTAAGATTCTCTTCTAATTAAGAATATAATGCAGCTAAGCTACCTTAAATTTATGGGTGAGGGCAATTTGTGATCCTAATATAAAATATTGTTATCCATTTTTTAGGCTAATTGAGGTCCCCGGCCGGACTCGTCCTTCCCGTTGTATACGTATCGCGAGCCAAGTAAATTATTCAACTTTTTTTCTTTTTACTTGTTCATTCTGTAAATGAATTCGTCTAACCTATATATTGATTAACTCCATTATTTGAACTATATATATAATTATATTATAATAAGTTAAATTCGTACTACGAACAATGAGCAATTCCATGTGAAGGTCCTTTGCTCCTATTCGTACTATATATATTATAGGTTGTTGGTGACTTGGTGGTATTGTTTAATGATTTATTGTAATTATGGGTTACAGTACAGTTAAGAATATTAATAATCTGATTATATAATTGTGTCTTTCATACGGATATTTAATTGTATTCTAATAATTGAAGCAGGTGCTCAATCTCAATTAAAAGTCTAAACTAATAGTTGGATTGCTAGTTATATGCTCAATAGTAATTAACATCTTTAACTAAAAAAAAAAAAAAAGATGATTTTATATTTATTGATTAATTGGCCACCCATTAATTGATCATTCATCTTTAATTTTTACAAATTAATCAATTCCGTACGTATATGAGTGCTTGACTGTTAGATTGTTGCGGGGTGATCTTGAGGAAGAACCAAAAAGCCCGTTGTTGAATTTGATGATGGCATGCAAAGGGGGAGGGGAGGGAGGTGGGGTGGGGGGTGGGGGGGGGGGGGCGTTAGCGGTGGAAGCTTTATACACATAAAAAGGAAAGAAATAATTTGTGGCGTAATTATTAGTGAAGAGTCTGAAAGAAAATATATAATCAATTAATAAGATGTGTAATTGGAGAAGAATTGATTATATATTAGTCGAAAGAAATTATGTATATTAAGTATAGTTATAATTATTTAGTAGTTTAATTATTATATTGTTAGTAATATAATATAAATAAGTTCATTATATAAGAATTAGGAGAACCACATGGAGAAATATGATATTACTGAGTATTGTTTATGTTCTTTATTATTTTTATATTTTTCTTGGAACTCTCACACACAATTAGAATTTTGCTAGACAAGAATCTTGCTAGAAAGATTTCTTATGTATAACAGCTTTATCTAGAGTCCTAACAAAGATCGGTATTATTATAATTTTCATAAAGAGTAAAATATAGTTGCAAATTCACTTGCAAAAGTATTTGTTTAGTTTGAACTAACATGGGGCCGGGTGTGTTTGCTTGCTCATCCCCTATACTTACTATATATGAATACATGCATGCTATCACATGAATAATGTTTAGTATTTGGCTGTATGTCTGTATAAATTGGTACCTCCGATCCCCCTAGCTAGCTAACCTCTTCCTCATGTCACTCATCACCAAAACCAACTCTCCTACATATATAGTACAATAATAAAATGAAGTCTTTTCAACGTTGTGTATGTGTTTTCCTTTCCTTGTCGTCGTTCCTCCCCTTCATAGCCTTTTCATCAACTCCCCCTTTTCCGGCGATAACCGGCATCGACGGAAAGGAGCTCAAGGTCGGCGAGCCTTACTATGTGTTCTCCACTATCTTCCCCAAAATAGACGGATTATGCCTGGTGGACTCTGTGATGGGACCCAATGAAATCGTCCAATGCCCCTTGCTCTACAATACCGACCACCGTGGCCTGCTCGTCACCTTCTCCGCCGCCAACCAGACGGCGGAGGACACCGTCGTCCGAGAGAGCATTCCGTACCGCATCCAGTTCTCCGACGCCGGAAATGGTAGTAACGGAAACTTCTGGCACATCAAGAATCGCGGAAACCCTTGGGTGGATTACGTGGAAATAGGCCCCGAAACTGTCGCCGTGGAATTTGTGATGAAGAAAGTGTTTCTGGGCTACAAGATTCTTTATTGCGTAATTATTCCAATTCCGACGTTTCCCATATGCTACAGCTTTGGATTCATAGAGGAATTTGGACTTAATCGCTTGGGTTTCGGCGTGGGTGTGAATCCAGTTCTATTTTTCTTCGCCAATGTCACTACTAATTCCACCACTTCCATCCACAACCTGCCTGCACCTATCTTTTAGCAATATATATATTGTTACAACATAATTAAGTATACATGAATATTTAGTATGTGTTATGGTTTGTTTGTTTGACTTATATATAATAATAATATAATTTGTCTGTTGCTTAATAGCAATTCCTAAAAAATTCTTTATCTTGTGAAAACATGTGATCAAATTAAAAAAAAAATTATGTCATTATTGATTCTTTAAGTTAATTAACATAGAGAGAGAGAGAGAGCGCTTTTGGTGCTATTAATATGATGCATGGTTAAATCAATTTTGTTACATATATGTACGTGGCATGCATCCGTTAATTTTAGATGAAGAGCTTATTAGTATTTTAATTTGTACGCAATTGGTGTACTGTGTATAGTATAATCATGCATTATCATCACTACTTTAACAAGCTAAGCTGCGCTAGATAGCTAAGAAAAATAAATGAATATATAAAAAATAAACTTCAATAATGGAAATGAATAAATGATTAATTGCGTCATTATGGTATACATACATGTTGTCCAAGGAATTATATATTGCGTAATGACGACTCCGATCCGCTGGTATAAAAGGTCAGGTTTGACCTTAATTATTTGACCGAGAAATACAAACAACTCCGTGAGAATATTCGAACTCTCAATCACCAAATGCAATTTTTTATAATTTCTTTTTTTTTTGGGGGGTTCTTTTTTATTATACATATTATAAAATAATTATAATGCGATTGTCACTTCAATACTTCATTCAACTCATGTACCATGAGTTTTATTGCTTCCGATGCAAGATTCTTGTATGGAAGCAACCAACCACGCACTCCATGAGTGTAACCGTACCCCACTTTCTAATTAATTTAATCATTTTAAAGTTATGGGAATTAAGAATTCAATTAAATACATTTATTTGAAACAAACAATCCCTTTATTTATTTTGTTTTATATACGGAAGTAACCCAGTTACTCCACTTCTTTTAAATATAACCCATAAAAAAGTATTTCCACTTTTAAATATTGAGAGTAAATAAATTGTCACGAACTTTTTCTTTAAACACATTTTATGTGAGTTTCAAACTTAACCTATTAAAGTACGGAGTATTATGAAAGATTATGAAATACTCTTGTAGCATAGTTCAAGTAGTTAACTAACTCAAAATAAGTTCATAAACTTTATTTTCTTAACAATGATATATAGGGCAAGGCCAGGGGTTCGGATTCCACCAAAGACTAAAAGAGAGATGTATAAATACGACCCTAGCAATTAGATACCTTCATCACTACTCTTCAAAGTTGGAACCTGCTCAAATCAAACCGTCCAATAAGAGTTGCACATAAAACTTTGTAGTTATCAAATCAACAACCTAACTCATTAATGTTGTCCTTAGTGCGTGGTAACTTGGTAACTTAACAAAGGAAATCATGACATTGTATTAAATTAAATATTACAAACGTTATGCTCGAAGCTAGATCTGAGATTTTGCGTGAATGACTAGTCTTTAAATCTTTAAATGAAATAAATTTCCAAATTAAATGTGGGTTCTCAAAGATCACCACAGCTTCCATCTATCACTGCTTATTATGGAGTTAGGTCCAATATAATATTTTGTGGGAAAAGAGCTTGATGATTTGCTATGTGTGCACTTTATAAGATTTGGTAATTAAAAACAAGGAGATCAGAGTGCCACCCCCATCCAACTGTATGAACTATCCATTATCATATATACCGCACTACTAAATTAATTATAAGATTTTTTACGATAGTATGTTAAAAAAAAATGTACTATACCTTTTTTTTTTTCTCTTGAAATATTTAAACTTTAAAGAAAAGGATGGTATATGGGTTGAAGTAGTGAAGTACACGTTTTAATTTGTAAATGTGAATTTCTTCTATAGATGCACGAATAAGAAATGCGTTATTCGTGTGTTCACTGAATGATTTGAATTTTAATTTTTTCAAAAATCGTGCGACAATGTGCCAAGTCTAATGTTTGGAAGGTTGACAGCTATGATCAAATATAATATACTAAAAGGTTCTACATAGCTATTGGTGGAGTTAAGGGAAATTCCAGCCCAAAAAAATTGGTTTAAGATTGAGAAATTGGTTCAAGATTGAGAAATTTGGGCGTGGCTATAAGTTGGGGCAAATTATGCTCTGGACTCGTGTCCACAATGCATTGTGGACACGAGTCCAAAACGACGTCGTTTTAAGGGAAAATGCGGCCTTTTAGTTAATTTTTTTTTTTTTTTGATTTTGTCTCGCCGTTAACGGCGTTATTCGTTTGTGGCATTATGAATGTACAGTTCTGAAATTATGAATGTACAGTTATGCAATTATGAATGTACAGTTATGAAATTATGAACGTAAGTTATGGAATTATGAACACAGAGCTCTGACATTATGAACATATAGTGATAAAATTATGAACATAGAGCTCTAAAATTGTGAACATAGAGTTTCGAAAATTATGAATTTACAGTTATTGAATTATGAATGTACAGTTACAGAATTATGAATGTACAGCTATGCAATTATAAATGTACAGTTATGCAATTATGAACACAGAGCTCTGACATTATGAACTTACAATTATGAACATATAGTGATAAAATTATAAACATATACTCCTATAACAAAGTAGTCTGAAATTTAAATTTTTAAAAAAAAATGAAAGAGAACAGTGCCTAACAGCACTGTTACCGTATCACGCATGCATGCTGGACACGGTCCATAGCATAATGATTGATAAGTTGGTGCATGGTCCAAGTGTTGTACAACACAAAGTGAAGTGCAAATTAAAGATGTGGTCCTTGTTAAATATAATGGACAAAAGCGTCTGGCTCTAAGTGATGCTCCCTTTAATTTGGTGTCATGTTCAAGAAAGCTTGAAGAGAGGGTCTTTAGTTTCTGTATTCCAATGCAATAAAAATAAGTAACATAAATATGTACTCTCGTGTGTATGTTTCTCAATAAATTTGGAATGCAATATATGCATCCTCCTATTATGTAATTGTGATGTCTAGTTTCGATATTAATAAAAGGGTTACGTGTATATATATATATATATATATATATATATATATATATATATATATATATATATATATATATATAGCTAGATTTATGAATTAAATTGATTGTCATCATCTTTTTTTTTTTTTTTTTTTTTTTGTGATATGAAAAATTCTAAAGGCTATGTTTGGTAAAATAGTTAGCATATCAGACAATTTTAGTTTATTTGACTACTATTAATTGTTTAACTTAGTTAAAAAAAAAATCAATATAAGTATTTGGTTAATTAGCTTTTTGTAACTTCGAAATGCTAAAGTTCAAAAAATTGATCAAATCAACTTTTTTAATTAGTTTTTTGAGAAAAGAAATTATACCAACAGCTATCAGCTAACAGCTAATTTACCAAACACTTTCTTATAATCAGCTAATGTTATTAACTAATTATATCCTCTAATTAATTCAATCAGCTAACAGCCATTTACCAAATAGGGCTAAAACATTGATAGGCACACATAGCTATAATATACAAAATGTTACACAAATATATATTATATTATATGGAACAGATGTAGTAACATATAATATATATTTGTGTAACATATTGTATATTATAGCTATGTGTGCCTATCAATGTTTTAGTCCTGTTTGGTAAATGGTTGTTAGCTGATTGAGTTAATTAGAGAGTATAACTAGTTGATCTGATAACATTAGCTGATTGTAGAAAGGTATTTGGTAAATTAACTGTTAGCTTATAATTGTTTGGTTTAATTTCTTCACTCAAAAAGCTAATTGAAAAAATTATTTTGAGTAATTTTTAGAATTTTAGCATTTTGAAATTACAAAAAGCTAATTAACCAAATACTTATATTAATTTTTTAATCAAGTAAATAATTAATAATAGTTAAATACGTCAAAATTAACTGAAAGAGTTACATTTTACCAAACAGGGTCTTGTATCTATTTTAAAACCTTAATCAATTCTCTTAACAGAAAACACAATTAATGTCCGTTTAAAAGGCTCTAGTAATTAACGTTAAATTAACACATCAGTGTCCGTTTAAAGGCAATTAATTAATTTTAATGTATTCAACCTGACACACCTATAAAAGGGACTCTTGCTAATGTCCAATATCATATTCACTCATCAAACAAAACACAACTCAACCTTAAACACTTTCTCCTTAACAGCAACGTAACAATGAAGTCAATCGCAATCCTGTTTCTCTCATTCCTTGTCTTTGCCGCCATCACAACCTCTGTGCATTGCACAACTGACCCACCCAACCCCACTGAACAAGTACGTGACACTGATGGAAAGCTGGTTCGAGTTGAAACCAGTTATTACATTATTCCAGCGACGAACCAAACTGGGGGTGGTTTGGCATTACGAAACACAACTCATAATGAATCCTGTCCCCTTGGTATATTCCAAGAAGATGAGGATAATGAAAACCATGGAATCCCGGTATCATTTTACCCCGTCAACCCTAAAAAGGGTGTTATTCGTGTCTCCACCGATCTGAACATTGAGTTCTCCGAAGCTCCTATTCAGTGTAACAACTCTAACGTTTGGAAGGTTGATAACTATAACCGAAACCCTATAAGATTCTACATATCCCCTAACGGAACTAAGGGGAATCCCGGGCGTGACACAGTCAATAGCTGGTTTAAGATTGAAGAATTCGAGAGCGGTTATAAATTGGTCCATTGCCCAAGTGTTTTGGACCATGATGATAACGATGATGATGATGAAGTATATGACGAGGAGGAGGAGGACGAAATCGAAGTGAAGTGCAAAGACGTTGGCCTTGTCAAGTATAGTGGACAACAACGTTTGGCTTTAAGCGATACTCCATTTGGTGTTGTGTTCCAGAAAGCTTAATTGAAGATCAGAGAAGATTATCTTTAATTAATTTCAATGTCCCATGCACGTACCTATTATGTGTACGTTTCTCAATAAATTTGTAACAATTTTCTACTATGCAATTGTCATATCTGATTCAGATCAATAATAAAAAAAATTACTCCGTAATTTAAATACGCTTTACTTCTTATATTGTTACTTGTTAGTACAAATTCATTAAAATACTGTTATGTTTATTAATCTGATTGTGGTGTTATTTTTTAATTAAATATTATTAAAAAAAAAAAAAAAAAAAAGGTGTGAATCATATATCAAACCAGAGAGTGCGCTCTCCACTACCTGGTATGTCTTCACGTGTTACACGTTATACAAGGTATATGCGACAAGTCGTCAAGGCAGGCATGGGCTCAAGCTTCATTAATGGAATCAAAACGCGTCGACGACCATGTTCTTTTGGTGCAGAATTATATTATTAATGGCAGACTGACAACTCTACAAGAATTAAGAAATTTTATTTTTTTTTTTAATTTCCTAAGTCTATAAATCGAACTGCCACTTCACAATTAAAACACACAAAATCCCATCCATAAATCTCAATCTTTATATAATGAAGGCGTTATTACTGATCTTGCTGCTTTCACTCGTCTTCTTCCCACACCACCAGATAGCCGGCGCGTCGTCGCTACCGTCTCCCGTCCGCGACACCAAGGGCGAAGTGCTGAAAGTGGGGTCAAACTATTTCGTGCTCCCGGTGATCCGCGGCCACGGCGGCGGACTATACCCGGCCAACATCAAATCAAACGCGACCATTTGCCCGCTGGACGTCATCCAGGAAGCCGATGAAGTCCAGAAAGGCATACCCGTGGTACTCACGCCGGTGAACAACGCCACCTCCGGCGGCGTGGTCCGCTTATCAACTGACCTCAACGTCAGGTTCTACACCCCGACCATCTGCGCCAGGAAGACGGTGTGGAAAGTCGACGCCTACGACGAGTCGGTGAACAAATATTTCGTGAAGACCGGAGGGGTGGAAGGAAATCCCGGCCCTCAAACGTTAAGCAGTTGGTTTAAGATCCAGAAGTATAAGAGCGTTTACAAGTTTGTGTTTTGTCCGACCGTGTGCAACTATTGCAAGGTTATCTGCAAAGATGTCGGAATCTTTGAGCAGGATGGGGTGAGGTTTTTGGCTTTGACTGATGATGTTCCATTCAAGGTTGTATTTGAAAAAACCTTCTGATCGAGCGAGCTGAGGTTTCTCTCTGCTTTCTAATGTATCATCTATAGATATGATATGAATATATCCCATTAATAATAATGACCAATATAATGGATCCGACTATAATTAAAATTTAACTATCAAAGTTTTCAATCACAAAACAAGTTATATATATGATTAATGTTTCTACAACAAAACGATGAATATATTATGTCATTAAAACAAATTACATGACAATCTCTAGTTAAATTTGCCTATGCCTTTAATTCAAGATATAAGATAAGTCGGTTCATAGCTGAGTACCCTTACATTATATTAAGATTAAATTATATACATTTAAAAAACACTAATTTATAAATTTCTATTTTTATTTAAGAGACTTGCATTTGCATATATCTCCTCCTACTTACACATTTTAATTAGTCTTTAGCTAGCACATAATCTCTAACAAATCTTTAGATTTGAACCAAATTATATATATATATATATATATATATATATATATATGTGTGTGTGTGTGTGTGTGTGTGTGTGTGTGTGTGTGTGTGTGTGTGTGTGTGTGTGTGTGTGTGTGGCCTTATTGGATTTTTGTGTAACAAAAAAATAGTTGAATAAATAAACGTTTTTAACAACTTATATTTCATATATTTTGTAATAGTCATCCCACGCACCCAACTTTCAATATATATATATATATATATATATATATATATATATATATATATATATATTCTTATTATAAAATATAATTTTTTTCAACCTGTTGAAGATATGAGATCTATGACTAAATCCGTGACCTACCAAAGTAGTATATCAACTTGCATATATATGAATGTGTACTTCACTAACTAATGCACTTGTCCAGTTGTCCCATCAAATTTTTGAGGTTGATAACTTTTTCTTATATTCAGATGATGAAAATATCTTATCATTATTTGTCACATCAAAAAGTCCACGTTCATATAGGAAAATTAAAGTAAATTATACTAGAAATATCTAATGCAAATGCAGTGGGCTCGATTGAGAAGTTATTATAAAGAATTGAATTTATAATTTTTATATATGAGAAACATGTTTCACCTATCCTGCTACCCTTTCAAAGTTGAATTCTTTTGTATCCCTAGAAAATATCAATCGTACTTTTTAATAATTATTAATAATCTATTACAATAAAAGGTAAAGTAGAGTAAAACGTTGACTAACTCTTAAAATCAAAATAGTATACACATATATGTATGGCCGCACAACCTAAATATGCATGGGACCCAAATGTGGGTGGGTGGGTGAGTGCATATCCTATCCCGTGAGCGATACAAATGCAACTGTTGGAGATTTATGCATGCATTATAATTGAATTGGCAATCATGTATAGTGTGACTTCGGTTAGTTGGTGATAATGTTAGGCGGACGGTGGGCACTCACTGTTTTAAATTATATATAAACATAAACAGACAGATGGAGTTTATGACAAAACTAAAGTTAAAATAAAGAAAATAGTTGAATGGATGGTATCCGAAGTTTGTAGTTGTCTATTGAGATTGGAAAGTATCTTTGGTAAAATACTTTTGGTTACGTTGTTAAATGAAAGAGGTTGATTTAAACATGAATTATATATGTTTAAACTTGCAAAGTGTTTGTTTCTTTTTTATATTATAAATTGAAGTTGAGGCTAATCAATTAAGAAGTGGAACAAATTAAAGGTGGGTTGCACGAGTAAATTGAGAGAGTTACATTAAGTTGTAGGTGGCCTTACATCAAAGCCATCATTTAGCGGCGGTTATTTTGTTGTCTAGCAAAGTTGTGAATCGCACCAAATTGTAACTACAACCTAATGTAACTCATTTTGAGAGGTTACTCTCACACTATCGCTGTGAGACTCGATCCCTGGTCATTCTTTCAAAGTTTCACCTCTGTGACCAATTGAGCTGCCCATGCGGGTAGGTCTCATAAATCTTAACCAGATACTCTCAGTTTAGCTATTAGTGTTGCATCATATAACAAACAGTTAATATTATTGTAAATATTATAATAATAATTAATAGTTAATAGGAAAACGTTACACATGCATCTCCCCTGGCCTATATATACACAATCCGACCATGTGATCCCTTAGCTAGCCAGCCAGCCAGCCAGGTCATTACCAACACAAAAACTAACACTTTTTCTCTTCTCGATCTCTTCTGTTCTGTTCTGTCATCTGTTCAACTGGATCGGAGCTAGGCCTGGCCTGCCATGGAGATCTGCAAGACGATGCTGGTGTTTTTCCTTGTTGTTTCTTCTACTCTTCTTTCTGCACTTACTGCCTCAAGTAATTAATAAACTAACTCATCAAAACCCCGGCCCCTTTGATTATATAAATATATATGTTCATGAAATTGTTTAAATTTGGTTATATATTTATGATGCATGATGAGTTAGTTCTTTGGTGAACATACAGGAAATATAAAAGAAATTAGCAGTGAGAATATAAAGGCAGCTGAAGAAGATGAGGTTATGATGGATCTGAGCGGAGGTGTTTTTGAAGAAAAAAGATACGGTGATGAGGTGCAGGGAAGGGGAAGGGGAAGGGGAAGGATGGATATGGAGACAATTAATGATTATTCAGGAACTGGTGCCAACACCCATCATGATCCAAAGCCTCCTGGAAGTAATGATTAATTTGTTTAATATATATCACAATATATGTACCTGGATGGATTCATGTATGTATGTATACTTAGAGATCGAACATATATATGTGTGTTGTACTTGTATATATAGAAATAAATAATGTAATGATAAAAAGTTGTTGCACCATTGATTAGCCAAAGAATGTGGCTTAGTTTAGCAGTTGTTTATTATATACCCATCTTCGTTTAGCAGTTGTTTATTATAGTTTCTTGGATAATTTAATTTAATTTGCACTCTTTTTTTTTGGGGGGAGATATATAATAAAATAGAAGTAGCCCCTCTGACCTGCTTTCTTCTTGCCCTAATGAAGGCTTCTGAAAATAGCTTAGCTAGCTGGCAAACACAGGAGTTATAAATGAACTTCAAGGTCATATGTGTGATCGATAGAAATCCGTTTCACACTCTTCAATGCATAACTAATGCTGACGGAATGGATAAAGTAGCTAGGAATATGCATATATATGCTTAAATATATCTTTACATGGATTAATACTATAGTTATTATATATATTTAAAAAAAATTCGAGTAAACAAGTAAAATAATTAAATTGGGACCAAATATATATATATATATATATATATATATATATATATATATATATATATATATATATATATATATATATATATATATATATATATATAAACCTAATTGCCAGTAGATCAGAGTTCACATTCATTATTGAGCTTCCCTCTATCAAATGTTGTGAATCTTGGATAAGATTTTTTGCATTTCCGGCCAGATATATTCCAGCCATGTGTCACCATATCATATCCTTACACCATTATCAACAACTATCCCATAATCATATCATGTGCCTTGCATTGTGACTATATTAAGTGTTACTTAGATCAGAGTTACTGCGATAGATCATGGAGCTTGCATGAGTTGAGATGAACATACCTTTTTTTTTTTTTTTTTTTTTTTACCATGAATTGGTCTAGGATATGATGATGAGAAAAATTCGATCCCAGTCACTATTCAATTGTATAAACCTACCTCTATATAATTATAATAGTTGTGGTCGCTATAATGTTCTTGTTAGACCTGCAAAGTTTTAACATTTTTATTTAAGATATTATACAATGGACCAAGGTTCACATTGCAAGGTGGACCCTAGTCTTAAATTGTGTATTTTTAGTATTGGAATTATGAACTTTTAAAATATAAACTGTGTTTCTAAGTTTTGAGAATTTGTAAATACAATATAGGGTCATCACAAATTGTATATTTTTAAAAGGTAAATTGTGTATCTTTGAACTCGAATTCACATAATAATTTGCCAAACTTCGTGGTCAAGGAATTTTTTTATTTTATTTTAAATGTTTTACCAACTTTTCTGATGACCTCGTAATGATGTGTGCAGGCCCAAAAATCAAATTTTCTATACATGAAATTTGATTCCCTAATTTCACACATTCTACTATAGTAATATTTTACATGAAACTAGTTATCTAATTTTAATATGCTACGAAATTGACCAAAAGGAACATTTTTCCATTGGCTCAACCCATGATTTCAAAAAGTTGATGCAATGATATTTGTGATGAATATTTATTTTAATTAATTCAAAGGTCCAAAAAGTACAATAAAGTGAGGAGACCAAAGTTAAATCACCTGTTAATAAAAATAAATTATTTATGGAGCATCCTTAATACCAACAAGTGGACAAAACTAAAGATAAGAATGGTAAAATCGATAAGAGTCATCAATTGGAATTCATGTATAGTAACTCCACGCGCGCACTATGTTATGTACTCCTAATGTTGGGAGTTGATAAATTGACATTTATATATTTAAGATTAAGAAAAAGGAAATTTGTACACACCAAATTCCTAGGCACTCTGCTTAATTTTCAAATGTTTACACTTTTTTTTTTCTTTTCAAATTCTCTATATAGAACCTAAAAATAAATAGAAAGGATTAATTGATAGAAATTGCCTTCTGCAAATTCAGAAAAGCCTTCTCGTATCGTACGAATCCCATGAACCAAAACTCGAATTTGTCTTTCGTCACTACTTGAATGTACTTCTGAGATGGTTTGTCCACGTTGGCACTTGGATTAGCTCGCTCGATCTTCTTCACTGGAATAATCACCTGCTTAATTCTTTAATTATGATTATTCACGTTATAATTAAATTGAAAAAAAAAAGGGTAGGTAGAGAAGATGGAGTAGTTGGAACTAATTAACTAACCTTGTATGGTGTTCTAACGACACCGCCGGTGGGACAAGGAAGGACGATGGGTCGTTCGCTGCAAAACGCCACTTTTTCCGTCGAAACAAACAGAATTCCGGCGATAGGACCAGCCGTGGTTGACAAGTAGCACTGCGAAGCCTTGAGCAACTTCTCCTCGTCGCTAACGTTAAATATGTGCCTGAACATTTGTCTTCTTCCACCTTCTTTTATTATTTTTGCCCCCAGCCTCAATTTCCCTTTCACTGTCTCCGACAACCTCGGACTCATCTTCACTGCATTTTCATTTTCATTTTAATTAAGAAAGGAATGGAGGATATATGGAATTAAAGAGAAATTCAAGCCTTAATAAATTTACGACTATTAAAATCTTGATAAAAAGAATTACCATGCTCTCGGATTCTGTAAGCATAACTCCTGACCTTCTTCCTGAACTTCTTTTGGGGAACAATAGCAGAGTCATCCTGATCTGTATAATCCAAAATAAATAAACAAAAATAAAAAAATTTTCCAGCTCTTTCGATCTGTGTCGTTCGTCACAGTATCTCCAGAAAATACAGAAAAGAAGAAAAAAATGCATACTCGTCCTGAAGCTCGGGGAGTGGTCATCTGAACTCACAAAAATAGACTCATCATCTTGAGAGAAAGAAGAGTGTCTCTCTGAGATTGTATCTACTGATGACGCCATGATTGAAGGACTTGTAGAAAACTGATCTTCAAACTGATGATAATTATCGATCTTCATCTTCAATAATGGAATCGTCACAAAAAAATGAACCTTAGCCTTTTCTCGTCGTTTTTCCCCTGGCTCTGAGATGAGATTCTGGCCTGGGGACACGGGTGAATCAAATTAGTGCATGTGAATGGAGGGAATTAAGGGCATATTTAACGTGACGGTCGGCGCCGACTGTACGTACATGTTATAATAAAGCCCTGTAACTTTTTCCATGTTTTCGTTAAACAGTCAAAGATTCTTTTTGTTTTTATTCTCCATTTCCATACCAAATGCTATGGCAGTTTGGCCAATTGGACAAATTCTAGAACATAAATTTATTAAGCTAAGGCTGCTCTGTGAAGCTAAGGCTAACTAATCCATTATATTGCTATCAATTATACACCTACATTATTGTTTCCAATCAAATTAAACAATTTTTATTTTTATTTTTATACAATATCATCTTTCTATATTCTGATTATTTGAACAGTCATCTATGTGCAACATAGACTGATTTATCTTCTTACGATTCTTTATCAACTAGCGTACTTCATTCAAAATACACTTTTGAATAGTAATTGTGACATTACCGTAAATAAAAAATAATTTAATTTAGTTTTACTAGCTAGGGTTACTTTTCTTATATTGACGACTATATATATACAAAGTCTTCGGCGCATGCAGCCTAATAAATACGACCGATCCTATAAGTAATTGATAATATTTGAGTTTGTAGTCTACAATGTGACTAACATTGAAAATGACAACATATATAAGGCTGTGAATGGATGGATAATGTGGAAGTTTCCTCTCTTCATCACCATATATATAATCTCTGTATCTCTACTGATATTTTAAACCTATAAACACGCACTGTACTATATACTATACATACGTCAATTTCTGAAGAAAAGTATATCTGTGGAGGGAATAAAACTAAAGATATGGCCACCAAGATGGAATTCAAAGCAAGCACTCGTTGATAGAACAACTAACCTAACTTCAAAATTCTAGAAAGACCAAATGTATGTTGACTTTAATTTGATTTTACAACGTATGGTTTGTAGTTATTAATAAATGCATATACAAATGGTTTCCATTAATATTAGCGCCCAGCAGCCGTGGGAACTTAATTGACTCCCATTTTTGTAGCTCAAGCACCTATATCATCTAGTTAGATTCGAACTTAGAAGTATATAGACAGTTTTCCTGTGATTCTTCTGGATGATCAGTTTGGTGTTCCTCGACCACGTAGCAGCTGGGTGATTGTGTTGTTTTTTATAATTTCGTTTCCGTTTGATTTAAAAAAAATAATCCTATATACTAATTACTAAATACGGAATTTACAACTACTATGTAGTGTTATGACACTTCGACTACCATTATATTCTAAATGGGTGGTCACAAAATCGAATTTTAGTGGCATTGATAAATATAAAATATATAACAAATATTACCTTATAAAGAAGCATGAATGTTAAAAAGAAAAATACAAATTTAAAAATATAAAAATTTGTAAATTAAAGTATTTGATTGGTCAAAATGGGGCAAATTATTATGTCCCTTACAAAAATATACTGAATGTTCACAATTTGAATTGTGAACATTCAATATATAAATTGCGTACTTTTGTCCTGAGTCTACATTGCAAGATGGACCCGTTCCATGGCATAACTGTCGCCATAAGGTAGATCAGGATTGGATGAAGTAAAAGGTTGAACCCATGGGCATTGGACAAGCTAAGAGGGCTAAGAAACAAAAGTTGATGGATCAAATATTTATGCAAATAGACTTGCACCTGGTAATCTCATCTGGGCTTGGTGCATTGGACAAGCTAAGTGGGCCTTAAAATCCAGACTGCTTGAAATGAATTATAATAAGAAGAAGACTTAAATAAAATAAAATGGTACTCGAGTAAAAGTCTTCTTTATCGTCAATTCCCTTTGATTTTCAACGATCCTCTTCTAATCTAATGTTATGTGGATCCTCCCTTCCCACTGATGCTGTTGTAGCTGAGTACTCCGGAGTATAGTTTCAGTAGCCTTGTAGGGTTTTTTCAGGAATTCGCAGCCAATTTCTACCAGATCTAAATTAAATGGTGACGAAAGAGGCGAAGGGTACGGCGGCAATGGATCTGCCGGCGGCCACGCCCACCCTCACTCTGCAATCCGCCCTCAAGTCCCTCAAGCTGAAGACGAAGCAGCAGGAGGTGCTCATACGGGTGACGATCCTGTGCTTGGTGTACGTTCTGGCCTTCATCACGCGCCTCTTCAGCGTTTTGAGGTACGAGAGCATGATCCACGAGTTCGATCCCTACTTCAATTACCGGACCACCCTCTACCTCACCGAGAAGGGCTTCTATGACTTCTGGAACTGGTTTGATTCCGAGAGTTGGTACCCGCTCGGCCGGATCATCGGCGGCACGCTTTATCCGGGCCTCATGGTTACCGCTGCCCTCATGTACTGGATAATTAGGTTCTTCAGGTATTGAAAATGTACCAATTTGGCTCATTTACGTTCACAAGTTTGTTTCTTTTTTATAATGTGGACATCTGGATAAAGCATCTGATTCCTATTCACGTGAAATATGATCCACAGTGTGGCATTGACGTCATAGATATGATTGTTGATCATGGATTTCTGATTCCAATTTAGCTTTATGTAAACTTTAGAAAATGGGATCTACTTCAATTAGCTGAAATTGAAAGGGAAGAAGAGTAAATGAGGTGTTTGTGTTTAAGATTCTATTCCGGTGTTTTATTTTTCACTCTATTTGCCATTTCGCTCGCTGGAAATTACCAGCATTGAAAAATGTGAACATTTTTTACTTTATAGGAATGTTATTCATCAAATACAGCTGAATATTAATAAAAGAAATGAGACTTTTAAAAAAAGGTGTGAACTTTCTACTTTAAGAATTTTGTTGATCAAATGCAGCTGCTAATATCACTGTATTCCCAAGTTATAGGTTATTCATGAATACATGATGCAAATTTTGTTAGTTGGCTATAAAATATCAAGACTAGTAAATGATTTAGTGATACGGTAGATTGGAATACACACTAGCTTCAATGTATGCTTAATTTTGTTTTGAAAACAACTTACCAAAAACTTCATGAATGTTTGCAGGTTTGCGGTCCACATTCGTGAGGTCTGTGTGCTGCTTGCACCATTCTTTGCTTCCAACACCACTCTTGTGGCATACTTCTTTGGAAAAGAATTATGGGATTCTGGTGCTGGACTTGTAGCCGCAGCATTAATTGCTATTTGCCCGGGCTACATCTCACGGTCTGTGGCAGGGTCATATGATAATGAGGGGGTTGCCATTTTTGCCCTTTTGCTTACTTTCTATTTATTTGTCAAGGCGGTGAATACAGGCTCACTTGCTTGGGCTCTTGCCTCAGCTTTTGGGTACTTCTACATGGTCTCAGCTTGGGGTGGCTATGTCTTCATCATTAATTTAATCCCACTCTATGTGTTGGTTCTCTTGATTACTGGGAGATACTCAATGAGGCTATATGTAGCATACAATTGCATGTATATTTTGGGAATGTTGCTTGCAATGCAGATTCGTTTTGTGGGTTTTCAGCATGTACAGTCTGGAGAACATATGGCTGCGATGGGAGTGTTTTTCTTAATGCAGGTATCAATTCTTTCCCCTTTATTTGGATAGTTTCTTAAGAACATCTTAGGCGTTGATCATGCACTTGCTGGATATATTGGCATTTCTTTTCTATATGCTAATGAAACAGTAATTCTTGGCCTTTTTCTTCATCTACATAAATGTTAGGTTGAGTTAGTGTTAATGAGTATTACAAATGTCTGATCTTTGTGCAGGTATTTTACTTCTTGGATTGGGTGAAGCACCAATTGAATGATCAAAAGTTGTTTCAAGCTTTCCTGAGATTTACAGTGACTAGTGCAGTTGGTTTGGGTGCCATTGCACTTGGAGTTGGAACTGCTTCTGGATATATCTCTCCATGGACTGGTCGATTTTACTCTCTCCTGGATCCAACTTATGCAAAAGACCACATCCCTATAATTGCATCTGTATCCGAACATCAGCCTACAGCGTGGTCATCTTTCATGTTTGATTTCCATATATTGCTTATACTCTTCCCTGCTGGACTCTATTTCTGCTTCAAACGACTATCAGATGCCACAATTTTTATAGTGATGTATGGTCTCACTAGCATGTACTTTGCTGGAGTCATGGTTCGTCTAATTCTTGTTGCTACACCTGCTGTATGCCTTATTAGTGCAATTGCAGTCTCTGCCACTGTAAAAAATTTGACTCAGCTGATCAGGACAAAACCCAAAGTTGCCCATGGTGGTTCTGGAAAAGGATCAGCTAGTGGAAAGGCTTCATCTAAGGTGACATCCAGCACTAGTAACACTATAGTTTGATAATTTCTTGAATTAGTATTGCTAAATTTTCTCCATAGACTTCTCTCCCTAGCTAATGTCACTTTTATCAGCATTTCTATGGTTTATGCTACAGTTTTATTTTCGCTTCTATTTGTATTATTGAAATTTCTTGTTCTCTATATACCTCCCTCAACCCCTTCAATCAGAGACTATCATTTAACCTTCAATGCTGATTAGTGATTAATAGTATCCCTAGGGTGGTTTGCTCTCTTCCATCTCTTTTCAAGTGAATTATGCATGTTCAGAAATGTTAGTTCCCTTATCATCTTGTTATTTTATATAATCCTCTAACAGGCTTCACTTGATCAATCTCTGCCATACCAAAGAAATGGTGCAATTGCTTTGCTCTTGGGTGCTTTTTATTTGTTGAGTAGATATGCAATCCATTGTACCTGGGTGACATCAGAGGCATATTCATCTCCCTCAATTGTCTTGGCTGCAAGGGGTGCCCATGGAAATAGGATCATCTTTGATGACTATCGTGAAGCATACTTTTGGTTGAGACAGAACACTCCTCAAGATGCCAAGGTGATGTCTTGGTGGGATTATGGTTATCAGATCACTGCAATGGGAAACAGGACTGTAATTGTTGACAACAACACCTGGAACAACACACACATTGCAACTGTTGGACGAGCAATGGCATCTTATGAGGATGAAGCATATGACATAATGAGATCCTTGGATGTAGATTATGTTTTGGTTGTATTTGGAGGTGTCACTGGGTATTCATCTGACGATATAAACAAGTAAGTGATTTGTGTTTTCAACGTGTTCAGATAGGGTGCTATCTAGTGTCAAACGTATATATATATAAATAATATATAGCGAGAGTATTCCAAAAATACCCATTTCAATTTCTTGATGCATTTTTTTTTTGCTGGGCAAGTGGCTACAATATATTACCTGCCTGCTCTGGGACAACTGTTACTTTTTATTAGGTGCATCCTAGAAGCACTTTGTATGCTAAGGAAAACAGTTAATCAGATTATGCTGATGAAGAATAGTTCATATCGTCATTTCATATCTATTTTACATAATTCTTATTTTCTCCCATTCCATTGCTTACCTGCAATTTCTTATGTCTACATGCGTACAACATTAAATTGGATGAAATTTGTATTCAGGTTTCTTTGGATGGTAAGGATTGGGGGTGGAGTGTTTCCTGTAATTAAGGAACCAGATTATCTTGGCAATGGGGAGTATCGTGTTGACAAAGGTGCTTCGCCAAAGATGTTGAACTGTCTAATGTAAGTTGTCCCCTTGATTATATATATAATACTTAAAATGGAGTATCCGAGTATTTCATTGCTTTGTATTAGGTTTGCCTACTTCTATCCCCATATAAATATGGTTATGTACAACAGATTGTTTTATACTCTTGTGATTGTGGTTAGGTACAAGCTCTGTTATTATCGCTTCGGTGAGCTGACAACAGAATATGGCAAACCTCCAGGGTAACTCTTTGCTTTCACTATTGCTTTCTCGTCCACATGACCTTTTAATGGAAGCACATGCGTAGACACTTCTGTTCCTCAAATTATGTTTCTAATTTTTGCATTGCATTGCATTAGCTAACCTGCAAATTAAGTTTCCAACTTTTTTCATTCTCTTCAAATTGTGTTTCTAACTTATTGCATTCTCTCTTTCTTCTAATAATAGATACGACCGAGCAAGAGGAGTTGAAATTGGAAACAAGGACGTAAAGCTCGAGTACTTGGAAGAGGCATTCACGACATCAAATTGGATTGTCAGAATTTACAAAGTGAAGCCACCCAACAATAGATGGTAGTTAGCTCCTGCTCCTTAGAACTTAACCTCCCCTCTCCCCCAAAAAGACCCCTTTGCCCACTCTTCCTGCGGGATGGACATGTCATATGAGTGCCTGAGTTTTTACATACATTAGAGATAGATACCATTTTCTTTCTTGCTTCTGTGACCTCATAGACTCCTTTTTGCAGGTTAATAGTATGTTCTTAGTAGACTAATTAAATTAAGGTAGTACATCATGAAATGGGTTGTACTGATTTTGTAGTTTCCTTTCACCATTCTGTGTCGTCCATACATTTTCACCAATGTCATATAATGTTTTGGTAGGTCCAACGTTTTATTTTTTTAGTGACGTTAGTCGGCAACTCTATGACCCTAGGTGGTAAAGGACTATAAACCTTGTCTATTATTGAGCAATTTAAGTTGAGACCCTCCCTAGTCAATAAAAGACTACAAGATTGTCTACCTGATCAATTCAGTCGAGGATGTCCTAATGTATTGCTTCTATTCTTATCCAACGGCGACCCACATGTTACATGTATGTATCCAAAAAAATGAAAGGGAAAATGAATTAGACCATAGTTTAAGCCTAATTGGATAGTCTTCTAAATATTTGCTGGCCAGCATAACGCCATATAAGTACAAAATAAAGGTTTCTACTCTGCTGGGCCTCCTGATTTTGACCCCCCACCCCCTACAAGTATTATACCATAATCAGGATTTTAGTTTAAAAATTATGTGTTTGCAATTGATAATTTATATGCCTATAAATATAAATTAAAGATACATAAAATGTTAATTATAAACACATAACATGATAACTACAAACACACAACCCTGTTTGGTAAATAGTTGTTAGCTGATTGAGTTAATTAGAGGGTATAACTAGTTGATAATGGCCGTGTTTGGTAAAAATTGGCATATAGGTCAATTTTGGCTTATTTGACCACTATTAATTGTTTGATTTAGTTAAAATATCAATATAAATGTTTGGTTAAATAGTTTTTTGCAACTCCAAAAGGTTAAAATTCAAAAAGCTACTCCAAGCAACTTTTTCAATTAGTTTTTTGAGAAAAGAAATTATACCAAACAGCTATCAGCTAACAGCTAATTTACCAAACACTTTTCTACAATCAGCTAATGTTATCAATTATTTATACCCTCTAATTAACACAATCAACTGACAGCTAACAACTATCAACTAACAGCCATTTTACCAAACAGGGCCAATATTAGCTGATTGTAGAAATGTGTATTTGGTAAATTAGCTGTTAGCTGATAGCTGTTTGGTATAATTTCTTTTCTCAAAAAGCTAATTGAACAATTGCTTTGAGTAGCTTTTTGAATTTTAGCATTTTGGAGTTACAAAAAGCTAATTAACCAAACACTTATTTGATTTTTTTAGCTAAGTGAAACAATTAATAGTGGTCAAATAAGTCAAAATTGACTGATAGACTAATTATTTTACCAAACATGACCATAATATGTTAACCACAGACACATAATATTTTAAGTTTTAACAACATATTATGTGTCTGTGGTAATTACATGTTATGTGTCTTCAATTTATTTATTTAGACAAACGATTAAGGTATAGAATATGACAACTAGACTCCGAATGTTATTTGGAACCAAGGTCCACAATGCAAAATAAACTCTGGTTATAATTTGCTCTAACACACGCAAGGTTTGTTCTAATAAAGCAAGAACTATGGTTATAGGTCATTACATCTCAAGTATAACTTTATTATCCCAAAAGTGTTTACTTCTAATTAATTGATTCTTTACTTTGTATTTTGTGTAATTTGAGTGCATTAATCATTCACATTTTATGATAATTTCTGCATTTATTGGATCAGACGTTAACATGTTTGTCGAAATGTGCGTAATGTGTTATGTCCCTACCGTAACGGCATAACTTTCGCAACTCAAATTCCATTAATTAGTTGGTTAATTGACAATGAAACTAAACCCCACGCACTTTGAGAAGTTCATCATCAAATCAGTGGGCAAAAAAACAAACTTTTCTGCACTAACAAAACGTTGGCAAATTATTTTGTGTACTCGAGTCCACCTTGCAAGGTGGATTCTGATCTAAAAATACACACGCAATTTTACATACTAAGGGTGGGTTTGGTTCGCATATGAGAATCGAAATCGGAATGGGCCGGGTATCAAATACTTGGTAATGGTAATGTGTTTTAGTGAAAGTATTTTACATGTTTGGTTGTATGATGGAATGGGAATAATTATCAATAATGCTGTTTGCTGTTTGGTTATGTATGATCCTATAATGGGAATAAAGATTTTAAAAATACAAGAACACAAAATCAAAACAAATAAAAATCTAAAAGCACTAATCAAAGTGGATGAGAATGAATAAGGGAATGAAAAGGGGTGATACCTTTATTTTATTTGGGTATGAATTTTTCAATTAAGGAGTATTTGAAACCCATAGTAGTATTCTAAAAAGCTATCAACCAAACAATACCAATCACTTTAATACCATCTTTAGAACTAAATCTGTCAATCAAACACACTCTAAATATTCACAATTCAAATTATAAACATTTAGTATGAAAATGGTGTATTTTGGACCAAGGTCCATGGTATAACTGCTGGAAAACGCTTAGGATACACACAAAAACAATTTAATTTTTGAATTAAGCACATAGATAAAAGCCTAAGGTAGGAAATTAAAACAGCGAACCATAAACTATACTAGGAATATTGCTACTTTGATTTACAGCTGTTTCCACTTTCCAGCAACGTAACACGTAACCTTTTTGCATGTATATATATGAGCATTTGTTATACCCTTCAATTCACGTAACCCAGCTTAGCTCAGATCAAATAAGAAATATATATATATATTGTGATCGAGTACTGTCTTTAATTCGAATTCGTCAATGGGGGTTAGTAGCTATATTACATTCAAAGTGATATTGGTGTTGGCGGTGCTTGTGGTGGCGGTACAGCCTCCTCCTTGCGGCGCTGCAACTGACCGGCTAAGCACATTACTCCGGTCGGCGGTAGACAATGACGGAGAAGATGAAAATTCCGGCGGCAGAAAATGGGCGGTTCTTGTGGCCGGTTCAAATGGCTACTGGAATTACCGTCATCAGGTAGGTGAATATATATATATATATATATATATATATATATGCGTAATTAATTAAATTGGTAATTAATCTGATCTGTGAGTGTATGTGGATGTAGGCGGATATTTGCCATGCATATCAAATTCTGAAAAAGGGAGGGTTGAAGGATGAAAATATAATAGTTTTCATGTACGACGACATTGCAAACAATAAAGAAAATCCAAGAAAAGGGGTGATAATTAATAGTCCAAATGGTAGCGACGTGTATGGTGGCGTGCCAAAGGACTACACGGGTAAAGAAGTGAACACAGAGAATTTTTTTGCAGTGCTTCTGGGAAACAAGAGCGCCGTGGTGGGTGGAAGCGGCAAAGTACTTAACACAAAACCCAAAGATGTCATCTTCATTTATTATTCCGATCATGGAGGTCCTGGAATCCTTGGTCAGTTACTTCATCGATCTTCATCCAATTTCATTATAATTAATTATTATTATTATAAGTAGTCTTTGATTTGAGTTTAATTTGCAGCTATGCCAACCGGCGCTGATCTTTATGCCGATGACTTCATTGCGGTTTTGAAGAAGAAACATGAAGCTGGAACCTACAAAAAGATGGTAAGTATATATATATATGTGTGAATAATAAGTATATATAATGATGAGTGCGGCATTAATTGTATGGTAATGGTATATAAATGCATGCATGCATGCAGGTTATCTATGTAGAAGCGTGCGAGAGTGGGAGTATGTTTGAAGGATTATTGCCTCATGATTGGAACATTTACGCAATGACAGCATCCGCTGCAGATGAGAATAGTTCGGGTTGGTATGTATAAAATGCTAATCTTTTATTTATTTATAATATTGATGAAAGAGCATATATATATATATATATAATATAAATCCAGTACAATTTTAATTTAACAACCTAACACATACAGGTATTGTCCTGGTTCGGACCCTTTACCCCCACCAGAATACACCACGTGCTTGGGAGATTTGTTCAGTATTTCTTGGATGGAGGATAGGTATATATATTTAATTTATATATTTTTCGATCTGATCTATATATATACATGGATGGAGGAAGCTAGATTATTATATTGTTTAATTTCTTCCATTCCATCTTTTTCTTCAACTTAATTAATACAATTAGCTTGCTGAGGTCACTAGCTCGCTAGCTAACATATATATAGATATGGTTTGTAGCTTAGGTTGTAATAGATAAAATGTTTAATTTGAGTTTGCAGCGATCGTCACAACAGGAAGAAGGAGACAATCTCAGGGCAATACGAGAATGTGAAGAAGAGAACCTGGAACAATGGAACAGGGGGAGGGTCTCACGTGATGGAGTATGGAAGCATGGATTTAAGAAAGGACAAGCTTTCAAAGTACCAAGGATATGTTCTACCCCCCATTAATGTTGCCACCATTCCCATGCCTGGGACTACTGTTCATCAAAGGGACGCTGAGCTTCTCTACCTCTGGGAGAAGGTATTACTATACTTAATTATATTATTTCACCCCATCCATCTCACCAGTAATAATTAAGGTAGCTAATTAAATGTGGTCGTTTCAATAATATTATTATATTATGTGTAGTACAAGAGATTGGGAGATGAGAAGTCGGAAATGAAGGACAAGGTCTTAAAGGAGATGAGTGAGAAGATGCAGGTGAGAGCATATATAGATGGGAGTGTTGACGCAATTGGAGATTATCTATTTGGTACAGAAAAAGCCCATTCCATTCTCAAATCTGTCAGGAAAACACTCCCTCTGGTTGATGATTGGGAATGCCTCAGATCAATGGTACGTAAGCTACCTACCTATACTAACCTATATATTGCTTTAATTACATACTAACCTATATATTGCATAAATTGGCAGGTGAAGATATTTGAGGAACACTGTGGGGCATTGGGAGAATATGGAAAGAGGCACATGAGAGCATTTGCAAACATTTGCAACAATGGCATCTCCTTAGCTGCCATGGGGAAGGCCTCCATGGCCGCTTGTGATGGCCATAGCGCTCAGTAATTATAATTTTCATATATGGAATAATGAAATGTATTAAAATATAAAGGGTTGATGGTCATCTCGTGGAGTAGAGATTCCTATTCTCTCTCTTTTTTTCCTTTACATATATAAATAAATCAAATTAATGATAGCCTCTGCTCTTTTTCTTTTTTTTTTTTAATCCCAATTCCCAAAAATAGCAAATATGCCTGGCCGGATGGTGGCTGTGACCGGCGTACCTATTGATGATAAAATGTTTTTTTTAAAAAAAAGTTTTCAGATCCCTTAGCAAGAAGCCAAGAACAGAACTTTTGCTTACGCATAAAACCTTGCAGGATCTTTGTTGTTGTTTCTACACAATGGAGATACATACGATGTGTATTCCCTCTTCTCCAGGAAATTCTCATCATTTTCCTTTTCCTCCTAATCAAAAATCAAAACTCGTTTTTCCCATGCTTTTGTACAGACGAGATTTCACTGCGGGGCCGCATTTATCTATTCAACAACTGAGTTGAATGTGTCACGTTTGGCCATGCCAGGCCAGCTCAGGGCCTGCAAACTTTACAAACTAACACTCACTGTGAAGGTTGAAATATAATAGCATCAGCACGCATAATTAGTTTACCTTCTTTTCTTGCTTCCTTCCACATTACTTCTGCATCCTGAAATCAACACAAGGTTTGGGCTTTTCTTGGCATGCTCCCTCAGAATTCCTGCCACATCACCAACCAATTTTCTTGGCTCATCCCTGCCCCACCATCATCTTCACCATCTCAGCTTGGCTTGTATTCATTATTCCTTAACCCCACCCAATACTCCGAGCTTGTCACAGAGAGAATCAATCAATCAATCGATTTCACCTTCATTGGTTTTCTTTGAGCTTTCTATGCTGATATCCGAATTCAAACTTGGCATTCCTTTTTTAGATCCTCCAGTATTGGGAATAGAATCTGTTCTACGTGCACGTTTTCTTGGTTTCCTGAGTGAGGAAGCCAAAGAACCCAAATTCAACTCTTCTAGAATAATGTTTGCAGCAGGCTTCTCCATTTTCGCACTATTCTCATCAAGAATAACATTCACTCCAGGCCTTTTAGAACCAGCAGGCTTTTGCATTTTGCCAACAGAACCACTAGTAGTATCCTTGAGCTTTGATGGAGGTGAGGCAGGTGGAAATGAATTCAAATTCAAGCACAAGGAATTGGGCTGGCTATATCTCTCTCTATCTCTCAATACCAACCGTGTCATATTGCCTTGGGAGGGGTTACAAGAATTCTCTTTTGAAATTCTACGCCTAACTGGTACATGATCGTCAGAGTCTTCATCACTAGCAACTCTGTCCGCCTCCTGATAAAATTTGGACCATTAAACCAAAACAAAAAACCATCAAGGAAATAACTATTACTGCAATAGGCTGCCATATATATTGCCGCAAGATAATATACTTGAAGGTATTTCTAAACAATATTAGAGAAATAAAAAAAATAAAAAAGGTATTTTTTCCAATATTGAGCTGTTCAAAATGCTGAAGAAATAATGAAAAGGTACCTCAATTCGTCCACCAGTGATCTGCTCAGAATGAGATATCTCTCCCTCTGAATCTGCCATCTCCTCGCATTCAAACTCCACATTTTCTTCTTCTTCTTCTTCTTCTTCCTCAGAGTCACTCAACTCTTCTTGCTCCATCACAATTTCTGGAAGAGACTGGCCTGATATGTCATCAACGTTGTTTACAATATCCTTTTCGTTGGATATGGCCAATGCTTGAGCACTTGAACCAAGATTACTGCTCATTCTGTTTAAAGTACTTGTATTTGGAGACCTCACTTCAGTATCCGAAATACTTCTCGATGATCTTCCAACATCATGATCAGTCACACATCTTTCTAGAGCTTTCTGCTTTCTGGATGTAAGACTCAAGTGCATTTCAAGATCGGGTTCACTATAATTTCCAATAGGACTAGTGGGTTTAAGATGTGCAGCAACTAAACTATTATTCATACATGACTCAGTTCGAGAGGCACCTAATGAGCTTGGAGGTTGGGCAAGTCTTTCCCTTGGTAGTTCTGAATAAGTAGAGGGTTGGGCAACAGAATTTGCAGTTTCTGAGACACAATTTGCATCAGCAGCTCTTTGTAGAAGTGGATGAAAGCCAAGACCACATGATGTAGAAGCTTTTCCCTTAGGTTTCAAAGCCTTGTTAAAGAAGTTAAAACCACGGTTTGTTTGGCGATAGAGACTCAGATTTAGCTGGGGTGGACTGCCTGGAAAAAAGTTGAATGAACTATAAGCATTAGGACCAGAATTCAATGGATAATATAGCAATTGACCATCTTCTGGAGCCCGAAAAAGTAGTGGATGCATATGAAGATCTGGGCCATCTTTTTCTTCCACCACTTGTCTATCCCTGAGGACTTCAGACTCATCATCATGATGCCGTGTGCTAGTATTGCTTTCAGCAGTGATACTCCCGACTTCCACATCTCTTCTTGAACAATTGAGTCCTGTCTTTGCAGCACTTGCAACTTGCAGATCATTATCTGTTGTGGCATTTACATCCTGGCAAGCTTTAGCACCAGAAACCTTTGTACAGACTACACCTTGGTAGCTTTTAAATGCTGACTGTGACATCACACGAGCAGTTGGTGGAAGATTAACAGGAGGCAGCTGTGGGGCTAATTTCACTACGCGTGCAGTGCTACTTTTTCTGGCTCGATATGGCCGCATAAACACCTCAGTATTGGATGACCTGAAATCAGATATGAAACATGGTTCAATGGAGAATGTAAAATGTAAAATGAGCAGCCTCATAAGAGAGGGATTATACAAGTAACAGCAGTACTTTAAAGAAATAGGAAACTGGTTGATTTGGGGTAGAGGGTCTCTACAGCCAATTTCATTTATTCTCTCTCCAACTTGAGAACCACCCATTTCTGGTGGATAAGGAAGACTTTCATCTGCTAGATTTGGAATAGGATTTGTTGCCGAGATGACTGAGACACCAGCCCTTGAATCTGCCAAAAATGCCTCATGAACATAAGCTTCATCATCTTTATCCGTACAATCGTCCGCACTATTCTTGTCTTCAACATTTTTACCAACACCATTATCCTACAAAATAAAGTCCAACTCACTTTAAGATAAGATAGTACCATGAGTCCATTACTCATGAAAGGAATCCCTCTTCTCCCACCAAAAATAGGCATACACACAATACTATATTTGTTTAGCGGACATGGTACTTTGTTATACATTTACACTGTATTAAATTCAAAATATGAGATTGAGACTTTATAAGTATTTTGAAAGAATCAGAAACAATTATTGAATACATAAAAGCTAAAGACCATTAAAATATATATATATATTTCTGAGGACTATATGACTTCATATCTGATTTTACTAATTTTAATAATATAAAGCAGCCAATCAGGTGGGAAATGTTAGTTCAGCAATGCGAACTAGTATAGAAGAAAAACTGTACCATTTTTTCTGATGAAGAGTGCAAACTTGCCAAAGCTGCAGCCTTGGACTTTCTTCTTTGTGATTCATATAAGCGCCGCCTTTCCTTTTTATTTGCATCTGATCTGTATGACTTCTGAGTTCCAATAGCAATACGCCATTGCCGAGGTAACAGAGAAGGATCTCTATATGGAACAATAAACTTCCACACTGACATCCAGTCAAGCTTAAACACTCTCAAACCCTGAATGATTTAGGCAATTAAGATTAGACAGCTTGGGAAAAATAGTGGAATTATGGATTTAAGTTACTTTACAAGCATACTTCCTCAATACGTGCAATCTCTTCTGCGGTCAACGAGGAGTTCTTCATCCTTCGAACAGCCTACATAATCAAGGAGTAACTTCTGCAGGTAAGATTACTATGCATGATAACATTAAAAACATATTTCGATAAAAGAAAAATAAAATCAGGCCAATGCATGAAAATGGTCAGCTGCTGATGTTCAAGACAACTTTCACGCCATATACTGAAATTGCAGTTAATTACCTTTATTGGATTCTCAGGTGCTTTAGCTGATGAGCGATTCTTCTGCCTGACAAAAATCTGCATAAAATATAGTACAGGAACTGCTTTTAGTGAAAGTGGTTCATAAGACACAGAATCATTAAAAAAAAAAAAAAAAAAAAAAAAAAAAAAAAAAGAAGAGAGAAACAGGCAACAAAAAGGCAATACCGGGTCAATATGAAAATCACCTGATGCTTAGATTTGCAAGGAAGAAACCGCTGTTGAATAGCTTTCCAGTCCGTATTGTATTCCATGAGTCCCAAAGCCAATAATCTACAAGACAGCAAGGTTGAACAAAATAAGATTTCAAGATTTCCATCATAATAAGTAAAAGCAGCACAGCATTATATGAGACTATATGAAAATGAAGACCATTATTTTATTTTTTTAAATGGTGAAAAAATAAAAATGAAGACCATTAAATAAACATACAAATATGCTGAACAACTTTCTTATGTACCCAAAAGTAGATTGAACAAGTTTCATAGCTTCAAAAGTTATGAACCTAATGATGCTACTTTTGTGAAGAACTGATCCCATGCTGTGTTTGGAATTGATATCAATTAGATGAAGAGTTTTTAATTAACTTCCATTTCCAACATCTTGCAAGCAGAAGTTGGGCAACCTTTGTTTGGAATTGATATCAATGTTTTTCATAAATAAGAAGAAGCAAGTAGCCAAGTAACCTTCTCTTTTTAAAGTGGACACAACAGAACTGATATTATTACTGTATAAGTAGAAATGCAAATAACATGAAAATCGAGTAAAATATTCCTTCAGTGATATTATATTGTATCTACTGTTGGGAATCATTTACATTGTAGTTTAGTAATGGGTCTACTTAGCCTGCATTAATCACCTTATGTTTTTATTTTACTATTAATTCTCCTAATCACAGAAGAGCAGTGACTAGTATAAGAGTAAAGGTATAATGTTATGTGCTCCCGTCATGGACAAGAAAACATAGGGAAAAAGGAAGAAGGAATAATAGTTGGAAAAGGAAAAGAAGAGAAGAAGACACTGGGTTTGCTTGAGACCCAAAACTCCCTTAGACCCTTTTTGGGATTAATTTTCTGCTTCTTATTATTCTGAATAATACTCCCTTTTTATAGGGTAAAATACAACTCATAGAATGACTAAATAAGCTAAGTAATCTGTTGAAATCTTCTAAATAATTAAACTACCTAAATTAATTCGAAGACTAAGAATAATAAGGTAAATAACTATTTAGTAATTTCTAAATAACTATTTAGTAATTTATTAATATCTCAAATAAGACTTCCTCAAAGCATGTATCATATAAGCATTGCTAAAAGTCAATATCATTTACAGTACTAATCAATATATGTATGTACATACACACACAGAGCATCAACTTACTTATCCTCTGCATCAGTGAAGAGCACCCGGTTCACCACAGCTGCTGGAGGTGCCTTATGAGGATACAGGGCCGGATTAAATAACGGATAGAACTGCTGAGCCAGTTTAGCAATCTCCTTTGGAACAAGTGCAATTGATTCTTTTTTGGCCCTTTCAACTAGTGAAGCAGCCAATGTCTTTTTCACTATTTGAACATTAGATGAGGAAGTAAGGTCCACAGATGAAGACGATGAAGCATGACAGTCTGTTTCAGCAGATAGCTGAATGTTACAAGCAGGAAAAAGGGGAACTTTTTCAGCGCGAACATCATTGGTAGCTCCTAGTGGCTGCCTTTGGTATTCTTGTGCAACTGTTAGCAATTGTCAATACATAGTGTAAAATAAGGATCAGGACCTAATTTGAGTTAATAAACAAAATGAAATTCATTTTTCCCACATGACATACCTGATAAAACATCATCCATGAATTTTCTAACCAATTTGAGTGGAGCCACATCAAGAACAGAAAGTGTTGGATTGCCTATGCAAGGCATCCAGGAGGAGCCTTCAGGAGTTCGCAAGCATCCCTCCTGCTCATTTGAGGCATATCCTACCTGTCCTGTTGAAGGAGAAGTTCGATTAGAAGGCTGCACAGAAGAGCAGTCTTTCTGCATATCAGAGGCAGAAGAAAATCCATGGGTACTTTGTCCCGGCAAAACATCTGGAGCTTCACCAGTCACTGATGGATGAATATGTTGAGGGAAGAAGCAAAATTGGGGGTATGGTACCCTTCCCTGTGCTAATACTTCGTCACGCTTGCACAGCATTTCGGAGATCAATTTCTGAATGTCAGAAGCAATGTCTCGTCTGACAGGTTCAAGAACACAAATAGAAAATATCTGAATAAGAAGTTGAACATGCTCATGTATCAGGCAGTGCAGTTGTCCTATCTGATATGGAGTAAATCCATTTATAAATCCATCATTGACAGGACGCAGACAAAGTGTTGCAGGCCTAGGAACCAAGCCTTTCCCTGCAAGTGCAGAGTATGAAGCAACTGGTGAATATGGCAACAGAGGGCGTAATGGCCTACTTGATTCTCCTGAAACCTTTTTCTTATGTTCAACAGATGTCTTTTGGCGCCTACTTAGCCTAGTCTTAGGTCGTTGATCAACAGCCTCATACTCCTCTACAATATCATCCTTCATGTTTTCATCAAGGTCACTCTCTAATGCCTCTTCAATTTCAAGCTCAAAATCAGCATCATTATCCTCATCTTCATCATCAATGTTTTCATTCTCTTGTGCATTTGTTGAGCTTCCATCTACACCCTGTAACACAGCTGCTAGAAATTTTCTGTATTCTTCTTCATCATCAGCATTCTGAATATCATCCTCATCATCTGTTTCCTGAAGGAAAGTCTCCAGTTCATCAAGTGTAAAGCCAGCAAGTGAATACCGTGCTCTGGTTCGCCTGCATATAGCATCCTCATCATCCTTATCCATAATAGCCATCTTTGAATTTGCACCAGTGGTAGACTCTTTGGGTGCAAGCTCCTGAATACAATCTGTCCCTCTGTTTGATACATTCTTCTTAATGTTTACTGTTTCATCTTCAGTTTGAGTTACTGAAACAGTTTCTTTTTCCATAAGCTTTCCAGAAGAGGCTTCAGTTTGCATCACAATCTCTTCACCATGTTCAGTATCACCAGCCAGGCAGTCCTGTGGTAGACCTAGTGAATTCACTCCATCATAACCTTTCAAAACTTCAGAAACATTGTCACCACTGTCAGCAACATCAGCATCCAAACCTTCAACTTCCGAGCTCAGGCTAGAAGAAGCTTCTGGACAAATAACTTCTCTTTGAAAGGGATTAAAATCTACATCCTCTTCTTCATCATCCTCCTCGTACTCAGTCCCATTATAATTTGCATTTTGAACATCATCCTTGTGCTCATTTTCTCCTTCGTCCTCATTTTCTTCAGTGCCCTTGCCATTGTTGGAAGAGTTTCCAACAGCATGGTTAAGATTTTGTTGGTTGGAATCCTTAAATTCAATAGATGGCACAGCTGAACATGATGACATCTTGAGAACAAAATATAAGAAAATGCTTATGCAAATGAATCCCGACAAGCATTTAAACTGGCCAGAACTAGACCATCCCTTCAAAGATAAGCAGAACCTTGGGCTTCTTCTTTCATGGGCTAGAAAGGTGCTCTATTAGCTTGCCAGAAAACGGTGATATGTTAGAACTGGTGCTTATGAAGGGGTTTCCAGATCACATGATTACAGTATAGTTAGGTATGCATTTATAAAATTTGAGTGTCGATCAATATGTTCAGTAATTTGCCCTTCTTTACACTAATGATATGCTCATATGCTCCACAATTTACTCCTACAATCCAGTTTCTTCAGAACATCCCCTCAATTCAGTCCAAAATTTAGTTTTTTCAATGCAGATCGTCAGAATAGATAAAAAGGAAGCAAAACAGTAAACCATTCAATTACCCAAACAAGAGAAGCAAGATGTACTGGACGCCAGCAGAAACGCAGAAGCCCCCAAGCTTTCCCCCGCCTTCTCCTAAAGGTTCGTTCAATGAGAGCTTAAGTGCATATGAATTCTTCGCCGGAAGATTGATTGATCGCGGGAGAAATTAGGGATTAGGAGAAGAAGCCTGATTATTCCCGGGTCCGAATAGCGAGAAGGATATTTATATTATTAAGAAACGCCGTCGTTTCAAATGTTTTTCTTTTCCTTTCAAAATTCTAACAATTCGAACGACGCCGTTTCATGACCATTCAAATTTCTGCAAAGTATCAAATTGGGAGTATGTAGTAATGTTTTTTTTTGAAAGTGGGAGTATGTAGTAATGTAGTATGAAACGAATAAACCAATTTGAAACACTACCACAGCTATGAGCCTAAGCCAATTAATTAAAATAATAAAAAAAAATTACAACCATCATATCTAACAAAAGCAACAATCACAATTAGACGACACATTTACACCTAAAATTTAGTTCTCATATGAAATATATATATATATATATATATATATATATATATATATATATATATATATATAGGATCGCACTCCTGTGCGAATAGGTGCTCAGGAGAGAAATGTGAATGGTATTCATCTGTCCACGTGTTCAAATTTAATGAATGAGAAACACGGATTTTTTTAAAAAAATGTGGTGGCATTTTCATAAATAATTGAACATCGGAGTACAAGTAAAATATATTACAAGTGCAAGTAGCAGTTTCATATAATGCACATAAGTGCAAGTAAAATGTATTACAAGTGCATGTAAAATGTATTATAGGTGCAAGTAAAATTTACACTGAGCCTCAATACAAGTGCACCTAACGTTATAACTAGGTGCATCTATAGTTATAAGTAGTTACGCTTAGGTGTACGAATGTTAACAGGGTAAAATTACTTGCACTTTTTACTTACAAAGATGCACCAGCTACTTGCATTTATAACACATTTACTTGCATCAAAATTCGAATTATTTATAAAAATGCCACCGCATCGTTTTTTAAAAATAATATCTGATTTGTTGATCTGGACACATGGACGGATGATATTCATTCACATTTCTCTCCTGAGTAACCCATTCGCACCTAAACGTTCTCATATATATATATATATATATATATATATATATATATATATATATATATATAAACATGACATGCCTTATACATATAGGCCTGACCTTTTTAGTTATAGAGTTCTACTACATGTACTCCCTAATTCTACTCTCTTACTTGTACTTCCAAATTCTACTCCTTTACTTGTACTCTATGACATGACAAACAAAGATTGGCTATTTTCACTATGTGGGTCACAGAGAATGTATCTACATTAAAAATTTGTGAGAAGGAGTACAAGTTGAGAGTAAGAAATAAGAATGCATGTTGTATATTCCTTAGTTATAGGCCAAGCAGGGTTAGGGCCATCATTGAAATGGAAAGTTTTGGAAACAAGTAAGACATAAATGGATGATTTTAAAGCATGACAAACTTTATTAGGACTTGCGTGTTTGTCAATATAATGAATTTTTTCCTAAAATTATGTTTTAAAATCATCACATTTCTATATATTTGTTTCAATAATCAATAAAAAATAAAAATGTTTCCTTTTTAATTTTTATTTTTTAAAATAATTATGTGTCGCATAATAAGTATTATGCGTGCTGTAATTCTAGTATGAAAAATGGTACTATTATAAACAATATTAAATAGCATTTTAAAACATTGTGTTAATTATTTTTTGTTTTAAAAGCAAAAAGACGTATAAATGATTAACTTAAGTCAAGATCCATAACATGAACTAAAGAAGGAAAAGGGATTAAGAAATAGTCGATACAGCTAGACTTTGACAAGGCTTTCCGAATTAACAAATGACTGACCATGTTAGAGCAACTCCAACTCAATTCACAAAATTTCTCCACCAAATATCACATCAGAATGAATATTCTCACACTAAATTTTATTCATCTCCAACTCAATTACACCAAAACATCAAAACACCAAATTTCTACACTAAACTAATTTGATTTCTCAATTATTAGTTCAAATTTAATTAGTTTAATATAATTTAGTTTGAATTTAATTAGTTTAATATAAAATATAACAAGTGATGTAAATAATAATTTTTATTAACATTAATTTTTTTTGCATAACATTAATTATTTTAAAAATCAAATTTAACAATATTTTTTAAAATTTAGTTTATTCCACAATAATAGTATAGCATAAAACATTAGTACATTTAATTATCAGAATTATTATATCGTTTCACAAATACGTTGCTTTTTTTTCGTAACATTAATTATTTAAAAAATTGAATTTAACAATATTTTTCAAAATTGTGTTGTATTTTCTAATATCAATATTATGTCATATGCATTTTAATTTTTATTATGTTCTAGTTATGTTTAATGTATTTGAAATTTTAATTAATATATATTCAATATTAATCTTGTTTCGATCGTCTCAATGAGATCTTTAAAATGGTATAATTTATATTTAATAATACAAACTTTAAATATACGTATTTAACAAAATAAAAAATTACATATAAAACAAATAAATGATACATTTGAAATTATAAAAAGAAGTAAGGGCAAAATGGTAGTTTTCGTATATGGCGCAGCACGTACTGGTCATCAACGCCAAAATATTTGGCGATTTGGTGTTTTGCTGCTGCACGTTGGAGACCAAAAAATTAAGGAAATGGTGAGATGGAGCTGATTTTTTCCGATATGTAACCTCCCTTGGAGATGCTCTTAACAGACTGTTTAACAAACAAAAAAGTCAAGATTGGAAAAAATTCTAGCTACTTCTTTAATATCATTAGTGATGAGATCGAAAGACAATATCAATGACTGATTTTTTGGATACCGTTCACCATTAAATTTCAAACATTAATATGTGCATGTACTATTTTGACATATATGTGTTTTAGCCGTGATGGAGTGATGTGTGTTAGGGTATCCTCACATGGGATATCATTTCAAGGAGTGGATCAGAAGGGAATTGAATAGGGGGGATTAAGCACAAAAGTGTATTATTATGTTTGGACGAAGCTAGTTCGAATGAAGAGATGAGAATTATGTGAAAATAGAAAACACAATTAAAGAAATGAACAATCGAACAAACAAACAATTATGTCTATGTTTGGTAAATGGTTGTTAGCTGTTAGTTGATTGTGTTAATTATAGGGTATAACTACACTGCTGGAATTCTGCATTTTTCCGACCACCGAAAAGTGGTCGGAAAAGGGAGATTTCCGGTCGGAAATGCAGTTTCCGACCAACTTACCGACCATTTTATGGATTCGGAAAAAAAGCCCACGCTATTACCGACAACTAGTCATGGTGGTCGGAAATACCGGCTTCTTTTTTAGGAGGTCGGAACTATTAGTTGTTGGATAAAGAGAGCATATTTCCTACCACTGGTGGTCGGTAATTGGTCGGAATTATCATCCACCAGTGGTCGGTAAAATTTACAAAGAAAAAATTAAAAAATTTGAATTACCGACCACCTAGTGGTCGGTAAGATTTACTAATAAAAAAAATAAAATTTAAAATTCTACAAATACCCATTCTCAATTAAAATTTGATTACATGATCGATTAAAATACTAATCTCTTTGAGCTCAATTGGGTAATAAGGATAGATAACCTTATCGTCAAAATGTATGTTCAACATTTGCAATCTCTGCAAGGAGCCAAGCTTCATCAATGAAAGGCAATTTGGCAATGCCCTTGACATCAAGAAATATTTTAATTTAGTTGCATGATAAACATCACAGAAGATATCCTTTCTCAGAAAGCAAAATTATAAATGTTTTAATCAATACCTGCCAAGAAAACCTCTTGCCATTCATGTCCACTCCAAAATCTACAAGCATAACAACCATATAAACACAATTCCATTACGTTTAAAAAAAAATGAATACATTAAGCAATAAAAAATACTAGTGGGATAAAAATCAATAGTAGGCGAGTTTGGGTCTGTCATCAATCTCCTATAATGCTCGGGAAGCGCATGTAAACTCAGTTCGAACCCCAAAAAACACCATAGCGTGAAAAGAAATAAAGAAGAAAGATACTGGTACAAACCTTGCTGCAGGGAACACACCAAAAAAAACAGAATATGAGATGAAAAACAATTAATAAGATAAAATCTCTAAATTAGTAGACCTTCTTTAATACAAATTGAATACCTTGCTGCCATCCGTCAAATACCCTCCCATCAACCTAAACTCCTTGTAAACAGCCATGAGCAAGTTAAAAAAATTCATATATCCTGAAACATAAAAACCTCTACAACAAAGTGCAAGTGAATAAGTACATTAAGATGGTAGAAATATTAGTTTCAAGTGCCAACATCTGAAACTCATTGAACTATGTGCTACTTATGAGAAGCATATGAATATATATAGTGCCAAAAAAGTTGGTCTGAGCAACACATCAACTTAAGCTCCATTTGGGAGAGCAATGCGATTCAGATAAATGCCAATTCAGATAAACCAAGCTAAAATAAAGACTGACCTGCTCGCCGCCGTTGGCTTGAAAGTCCTCGCCGCTGCTGCCTCTTCAGCTAACACTTCATTATTCTTAATAGCAGTAAGCCAGAAATGTAGAACTCCTTTCTTTACGGTTTTGTCATTGATCTTCTTCACTTCATTATTCTTAATAGCAATAAGCCAGAAATGTAGAACTCCTTTCTTTACGGTTTTGTCATTGATCTTCTTGGTCCATAGACACTGCTTCAGCTTTCTCACCTTCAACTTCAACTATACCATTCACTATTCCATATCTCTGCACGTTTTATTTTTTCACTTCATTATGAATTTGAGACACAGAATTACAAGCCAATGGAACAGCATATGTATAACAATAATATGTAAAAGAGCCTTACAAACCTTTGTATATAGTGCTAATTACTGACTTGAGAATGAAGTACATAAGTGAGTTCCATCTCCCATCTTCTCCTTCTGCCACTGCAGCTTCTTCTGCATAACAGAATGGTGCAGCTTAACAAGACCATCCCATGCATATATTGAGTTGTTCTGCAAAAGCCAAAGTTTCATCAGAAACTATCAAGAAAATCTTCTGAAGCAACAGAATTGAATGAAAGATTTAGACAACATATATAAATAAGACATGAAGTTAGAATAAAGGAAAACTTCTACATTCGAAATGCAAATAGATATTCCAAAAGAGCATATAGATTATTCGACATAACAAATAAAAAAAATGACATACTTTGCTATTCAGACATGGAAATGACATACTTCAGTTCAGACCTTGATCCCATAGTTCAATTTAACAATGGTAGTGTATGCATTTCAACTACTATGAAGGGACTAAATTATGGTTACCAAAGATAAACTGACAAAAAATGTAAGATAAAATAGATAGAAGTAAAGCAATAGTAGCAAACACCAAAGAGAGAGCCTTCATATGCTAATGAAATAAGACCCAAAATTTAAATTTAAAAAAAAAAATCATTTATCCTTCAATCACTAAGTTCCCTTGATGACATTAAAATCACAGGATAACTCCTACTTAAAATAATACAAATAAATAAATAAATAGATGTCAAAATATATGCAAATAAGTTGAATAAAGAGGAACCATAATTGGAAAAGATCTTATAGTCTAGTGTTTAAATGCTTTAATGTTCCTTTTTGAGCCTGTAAAGGTTTCAGAGATTATAAACTAACTCCCTCAATTCTTCATCATTTGGTAATTGTGAACTTCTCAGAACTGATGCTCTCATATCAAATGCATGATGGAACAATTATATTCCCACATGTCCCAATGAAAACCCAATTTCTCTCAGTTTTATGCTAGTTTCTCAATGAATCCTATAACCAGTTTGGAACTCAAGTTGAGGAGGTTTTTGCAGTGGCTAAAGCAAGTTCAGTCAGTTCATTAGAACTCATTGAATACCTAAAACTTGTGTCCACAATATATTAAATTTAATCCTAAAATTTGAAAATAAAAAGTTGATTGAGCTTGCTATTACTATCATATTATAATTATAATATCAAATATACCTTTTCCATGCCTAAAGATGCGAGTGATGTGGTTTTTAGTATCCCAGACTCGAATCGTTCCATCCTCTGATCTAGACACCAACAGAGATCCATCCATACTGAAAGCTAAGCATGTAATGCATGTTTCTGTTTCAAGGACAAAGTCAAATCATTTAAAGTAAAATCACGAAAAGACAGCATAGGTAAGTCAAGTATCCATTCAGATAAGACTTCCCAAGAATTTAATGAAGAAAACGAAATACAGAGTTTACCATTCATAAATTTATAGAAACCAAACGCGTGGATGTTTGAATACCTATGTTCAGTCAAAGAACCATTGACATACTTCAGTTTCAGACCTTGATCCATAGTTCAATTTAACAATGGTAGTGTATGACATAGTAGTGAGTAAAACCAGAATCCTGTGTAATTGTATATGATCTAGAAAAGTAGTGAGTTTGGAATCATCACCTTCAGGACAATACCGCCACTTGAAGCCCCAAATGCCATGTGCCCTTCTGAGTTGACACAAATAACTCCGATAGTGTCACTAATGCAGTTCTAATCTAGGGCATTTTGCGAGGAAGACTGGTCACCATCTCTGCTTCCATTTGATTTGTCACACAATTGAGCTTCTATTTATAGAGCAAAACATTCAAACTCATTTGTTAGACAGCAAATTTATTTATAAAATTGGAATTATAATATAGCATTATACGCTTATAGCCTTATACAGAACAAGTTTCCACAGTATTATATTCCACTTAAGTCAAAACAACCTCAAAAATAAATGGCAGCTTTATACCTGATACTGCACACGTTTTCACAGAATTGGCTGTTGTGGAAGAAACATCATTAACCGCTTTGGCTCCATCAAGCATTCCTTTATATTTTTTCCAGAGGTTTCTGGTCTTCTCTGTCAAAATTCAGTCTCAACAACATAAGGAATATGATTTTAACTTATTGATAAACTTGATGTATGGAGAAGTAATAACCAAGTTAGCATGTATGGAGAAAAACTTGACACTGTTCATATAGACATTACTGGAAAGGGGAATAATACCACATCAACTTCTGCTATTGTTTTTGGTAAAACAACACCTTTGGAGTTTGCCCATGCTCGAGCCGCTTCACCAAACAAAAACCTACAAAGGTAAGGAAGCTCCTTCAGAACACATTTAGACAACAAATGAGAACTAGATTTATTTTATGAAATGCAACAAGAGTTCTTCATGGTTTAGAAAGAGTAGTGATACATGGGGAGTATACGTCCTAGCAGTGTTGAACTACATATCTACTCCTTAGCTAATAATGGAGCAATTTGGATGGCATTTCTAACACCTGATAATAATAACTTCACAAAAGATATATAGTGATTACAAGTGAAAGCAAATCACACAATTCTAAGCATTCCTTTCAAATTACACTTAACAAGTTCTCAAATTCATTACTGATAAACTTCAAGAATGTTCAACAATATGACAGTAAATTCACATATATTCCTTAATCATAAATCCATAAAATTCAAGATTTAAGAACAGTATATCATAAATAACTAAAATAGTAATAAAGTACCTGTTATATTTTCATGGCCAGAGACGGTAACCGGAAAATTTTAGAAATTCGAAGCCTCGCAGGTAGATCTAGGGTTTCCTATGTATAGAGCCAGAGAGGTTAAAGAATGAATGCTTGAGCTTGAGACTATGAGTATGAGTAGATGAGGTTAGAGGGACTTACCGGAGAAGCAGAGGGACGGAGAAGGTCAGAGGGCGAGAAGAAGAGAGATAGAGACGAGGCAGTGAGCGGCGGAGAGACGGGGACAAGGATGTGAGCGGTAGAGAGACGGAGACAAGGCTGTGAGCGGTGGAGAGCCGGAGACCGAGAGATTGTCGCATGTCTGTGAGCGGCAGTCTCCGGAGATGATGGCTTGGTGAAGTCATTGAGGAGTGAGAGAGATAGGCTGCGCAGATGATGAGATGAGGCTGAATCGCTAACATAAAGCCTTTTGTTTTTTTGAGTATACATAAAGCCTTTTGTTGATTTATATATTTATATATAAACATTAAAAAAACTAATTTCAATAACTTTAGATGGCCGAAAACTTTTTCCGACCACCAAGTATGAAGTGGTCGGAAATTCCGATCACTTTCCGTCCAGTCCAACTCCTTGACGGAAAAATAAAAAAATGTCACTTGTTCCGACCATTTTTGTGGTTGGTCGGAAAAGTCATCAGAAAATTGAATATTTCCAGCAGTGCTAGTTGATAATATTAGTTGTGGTAGAAAAGTGTTTGGTAAATTAGTTGTTAGCTGATAGCTATTTGGTATAATTTCTTTTCTGAAAAAGCTAATTGAAAAAGTTGCTTGGAGTAGCTTTTTAAATTTTAGCATTTTGGAGTTGCAAAAAGCTAATTAACCAAACACTTATATTGATATTTTAATTAAATCAAACAAAGTAATAATGGTTAAATAAGTCAAAATTGGCCTATAGGCCAATATTTTACCAAACAGGGCCTAAATATCAAACAATTATTGGAAATGGAGGGACTTGGATTTAACCACTTTTGTATAGATGTTATAATGTTTCCTATGATAAAGACCGTGTAATGCCTTAACAAGGGACTAGAGAGACGATACTAAATACCAACACCAATCTTCTTTACCTACAATAAAAAGCACTTCAATTAGGAGTAATTTTCATCTCAACCACCTTAAGATTGTCCATGCAAATTGAGATTAAATTAGGTGCACCACTGAGCCAAATTATGGCTTATCATATGTAAAAATACGTTTAGTTGATTTCATTATTTTTAAATCTTGCAAAACATACCGAGAAAATATGAGAAATAACGACAAAGATAAAATGGAGGATGAGATGGATTTCTATATATCCATCTACACATTTAGATCAAACTACCCCGACCTAATCATATTATAGTTATTCAATCAACAACATTAAATAATGTTATTATTATGATATGACTTTCACATATGCAAAACTTCTATTATATATATGCTACTGCAAATGATAAAGACAATAGATCGAGAATATATATAATAATTACCCCGTTAGAAATGTAGAAAATTAAATAACAAGAAGTTGGACATTATTTTGGTGTGAAAAATGAAAAGCAAAAGGACTTACATACCAAGTAAAAGTCATCGAATTGGCAGCCACTTAATTGGTCAACACAGGGAGTTATTAACAACTATATTTTTGGCTTATTATGATCGAGATTGAGACTCTGTCCCCTAATTAATGTTGGACGGCAAGAATCTTATCTGGAGGAAGAATATGTTGTAGCCAATACTACTTATTAACCAATCAAAAGTTAAAAACATGTATGACAGCATGGGCTCATTTCAAGGACATCCAAGAATATTGATAATTTGATAGTGAAGTGGTGGAAAGCTTAGCTTGGCTTGGCAGTGAAGTGTACGTCCTCAATCAATAATATAATAATAATATATTGAAAAATACTTACCTTTTTTTTTTGAAAGTTGAAAAATACTTACCTAATTAAACTAATCTTCTAATAATTAAGGCATTAAGCCAACCAAATAAGCAGCATGCATGCATGCTGCGATTTGTCTCCTTAGTTGGGAACATTATTTTGACCAACTGGCTCGTCTCGTCGAATGACATACACACACACACACACATATATATATATATATATATATATATATATATATATATATATATATATGCTCATACAGTCATACCCTGGCCTTATGGGTAATTAAAGCCACGAAGAAAGAAGACGATAGAGCGCCGCCCCGCGCCGCCGAGTGGAGGCATATCGAGCACTGCCGCCACCCTCTACTGCCTTGTATGTGTATAGCCTTTTATGCTGGAAGCTAAGTCTGGAACTATGTAATATTTTGGAGTATACAAGGGCTGAATGGATTGATTCATAAGTTTAATTTTTTTTTTCCTAGCTGCGCTAATTAATACAATATATTTTATGGTGTGTAATTGAATTTGATTCAACATTGGATATATATCAACCCAATTAGTTCAATTAGTTCGGTTGATAAACCAATCAGTTTGTTAAAACTATTCATCAAACTTAAAAGGTATAAGCACACTTAATAATATCATTAATTAGCATAAGATCCAGGTCATGGCAGGATCTCTTAATTTATGACAGGATCTCTTAATTTATGATTATCTATATGTAACGCTTAATTAATATTCTAAAAATAAAAAATCCTAATATAAATATGAGTTTTTTGCATAAAATTTATGCATGCTATATCCAACTTTAACTTGTATTATTATTATTATTATTATTGTTATGTCATTTTTAATTGATGAACATTTAAGAATAATATTATTAATTAATAGATCAAGTATGGTTAAATAATAATAATAATAATAATAATAATAATAATAATATCCATGACACATCTTATGTATTAAAATAATATTCCAAAATTAATTAAACGCGTCAAAAGTGATATTTAAAAGTCATGGAAAATGACTAGCATAGTTATAAATCCCTCAAGTCTACTAAATAATTAATGTCCACTTTGGATGGGTGGGAAGTGAAGGAAAAGTGAATGAGGAAATAAACTTTATAGTTGGATAGTAGTATTTATGTATTAAGAACTAAATAATGATTTTTATCTCATTAATTTTTGTATTTTTGTGATAAAAATATTAGGTAAATAATGAGAGATTTATAATCTTCTCTTTTCACATGATAGCCATATCAAAATGATAATATCTATTTAGTGATCAATCCCAACAAAATAGAAGCTTTTGCAGGTCCCAACATATATCTTGATTGTTTATGCATGCATGAATCAAAAGATATGTGATGATAATAAGTGAATATAATTGGGTTTCATTTGTCTTCAATAATTTTATAGAGTATTATTATTGATTCATGCATGCTCTACATATATGTAGGAATGTAGTAGTTTGCTTATATATATAAATTAAATATATTTTGATTGAATATACATATATATCCCCATACGGCCATACATGATTGCTTTTATTTTATTTATTTATTTATTTACTGACAACATTTATGAGAGATGACAAATCATTTTCAGAAAACTATATACTATGTTATAGTCAATGGTATGCATTTGGACATTTAATTGGATGAATAAAACTATTTTCTGTATTGCTAATTGTCCCGTATTGTCACTACACATGTACACATCCATACACAGTGAAAGCTAATTAAGTATGTTGAAATTTATTTTTTTAAAAAAATTAAAAATTGCAAAAAAGTTTTGGTCATCTTCCTGACTTTCACCCATCATGAAACTTTCCTTGCAATTTTCACTTTCTCAACACAATTTCTTTCGATTATGGAGGACCAAGAGTCGTTGATCGCCTTCTCGGATGACTCTTTGGTCACTAGTGTTTTCCTCTTCCTATAACCCTTTGAGTGGTTCTTCGAATGGTTGTGATATACCACTCAATCGCGACTCTCTAAGTACCTTTCTCGAATCGTTGTTGTTGATACATACCTCTCAGTTGCTCTTAATGCTTCTTTGCAACTAGCCGGATAAGGATAATCAACTTTGTATTATTTTGCCAGACTTTCTACAATTGTAGCGTGTACTTAATTATTACGAAGTACTTTTTAATTACTGACAAGTAAATATTACAGTAATTTATATTCACAAGATTACGAAATTAAACTAATTGATGATACTAGGTCATAAGTTGAAATATGACTGTGGGTTCATTGGGTAGTGAATAACGAGGTAACTCACTAATTAATTAATTAGCAAATAAATTTCTTTGACCATATTGTGGGGTTGTTTCATATTCAAGACCTTTAGCCGAAAGGTGTAGTAGTTAATTTATTTCTACTTTGATTTCTAGATTATATAGACATATATATATAGCAGTACGTAGTATGGCTACTGGGGAATGGGCAGCTGGTTTCTATTTTATTATTTTATTTTATCTTTTTGGATAATTTATCCCTACATACTTATTAGATTATAGTCACGCAGACGACCCTTTTTTTTTTTTTAATAAATTATTTAATATTATTATTACTTTATGCAACTTTAGTATGAATACTTTTTATTTCTTTAAATGCTAATACCATATTCTAAAAGTATTGATGACGTCCATACGAATTTTCTAGGAAATTGCTAAGAACATTATAACAAATTTATGTATTCTGGTCTACTTTTGATGATTCTTTTTTTTTTTTTTTTAATTTTTTTTTTTTTTTTTAGGTTTTGACATTGAAGGACATATCAAAGAGTGACCGGAAAATCAGGGTGAATTGTTAAATTTCTAGAGTAAAGATTTTCTAGAAAATTCATAGGATGATTCTATAATATAATATTTGGTCTTTAATTTTTTAGTGAGGTCATGAGGTGTTCGGAGCAGACCTTAACGGTAGGAGGTACCCGGACCGACCCGAGTGCTGGCCAGATTGATTTTTCCACACAAGAGAGGATTCGAACTTCCGACCTCTCTTAAGCAATGAGAGTATACGGCCACTCACGACAACCAAACGGGTTTATAATATTTAGTCTTTGAAACTCAAATATTTGATTGTGAGTTCACATCACACCAAATATTATATAAAATTATGAAAAGAACACAACACTTATATAAATTATCGTCGAGAATAATTAACTTTGGGTTACGTTACATAGTTACAGAAGCAATGCACTGATGCTGACATTAGTCCTAATAATCAAAACTATTGAACCTATGATTGATCTATTCTTATTTTCTTCCTTGTTTGGTTAACACCTAACCTATGATTGAACAATACTTCCTACCTCCTAGGTTAGGAATTACAGCACCATTCTTTCTTTTTTTTTTTTTTTTTTTTAAAATAATAATAATAATAATAATAATAATAAAGCAATCAAATCCATAACTTAACAAAAGCATACTCATTATTTACAGGCTCGTCACCCATTAGTGCATCAATCAAATCCATGATTTAACGAAAATCATATATCATCATTCATTTGATACATGATTGATCTAGTTGTTCATACAAAACAAACGGATTATCAAATACTCGATCGAAGTTTAAACATGAATATATAATAGTGCTTACTTTAAAAAAAAGTATTGAAAAATTATTGGAATAAATTGAGAAGGAAATTAATTAAATCTTGAGGATTCTCAAATATATCAGTGCTTCCTACTTGACAAGGTCAAAAATCATGAAAAATGAAGAATGGATTGTGCCACTACTATACAGGCCATATTGACTGATGACTTTGCTGAGTTAGTTGCATAATTGATGAGAAAATAAAGAATGACCAAGACCAAGCAAGATTTTAATTTGTTTGACTGAAGATTAATTAAATAAAAAAAGTTAACTAAGCTTCTCAAAAAAAAAAAAAAAAAAGTTAACTAAGTTGGCATAAAGTGCACTCAATTATGTGCCCTTTTTCAAATTAATAAATTAAAATTTCTTGATGTAACCTTTTTAGTTTTCTTAGATATTGCATTGATTTTTCAAACTTAAGGAAGATCAAGAAAGGTACTGAATGTTATCAAATTATACAATTAATTAAAGAGATGATGAAGGGAAGGTATAATATTTCAAACTTGTATCCGATTAGGTATTTAATTTAGAGGGTGTAGTTTAATTTCTTCCTTATCTTCCCAATTGACAAGCACATAAATTAGTAAAAATTGACTCCATCCAAACAGTCATCTTCAACTAGTAGTTTCCTATATTAATCTAAAACTAAGGTCTTAAAAAAATCATACCAAGTTGTCACTCTTTTGCAATTTTGAATACAACTTTATATATGTATGTGTAGTATCTTAGCATATATATATGCAAATTAAAGATTGATTAATGGTACAATAATATAGTTTAGTTGACTTATTCCTCATTAAAATTAATCATGATTATTCTTACACTGATATGGTTAATTGGTGGAGTTTAACTATATATTAATCCTTTGATGAGTAAGGATTATATTCATGATGAACATTAAACACTTTATAAAAATGTTGGTAAAGTGCTAATTATTTAATTTATCCGTCATGTCTTATATAAAGGCTTTAATTAAGGAGGCTCATCAGCTCCTATGTGGGTCAACATACAACTAACATAAGTGTTTATAGCATGCATTGTCCCTCAATAATCCCTCTTCAATTCCATGCATATATATATGTATGTAGTGGCTAGCTAGCTAGCTGTAAAGAATCCCAAATCTATCATTGCATGAATTCGATCATGTAATCACTAGCAGATGTCTGTCTTGCTTTTAGCCTCGAAATTAAAGGTGTTTTCTTTCACTTAGCGAAAAAGCAAATTAAAGCTAGCCATCCAGCATTTTCATGGCTGCCCTTTTAGTACAAAGAGTCTGGAAAAAGAAAGGCATGGTCCAAACCACAATCCTCGCCATGGAGCTCCTCCTACTATCGACTGGTTTTTTCTCTGCTCTTTTCAAGTTGAAACAAGCAATCCCAGCTATAAACCCTTATTGTTGCTTACTTGAATTTGCCCTCTCCGTTTCCCGGCAACTTGGGATGTCTTACAGGGTTGTTTTCTCGTCTCCTCTTCACATACTCTTCATCACCTCTATCATCGTCGTCCTCATCTTAGTTTCCTCGAGGTTCCATCTCCCGAAACTAGCCCGCCTCGAATTCGAGTACTACGATGTTTTTGTTGGGAATTTAATGGAGGAGGATTCATTATTCAACGTAAGTACAGAAAGTTGGGAAGGGAAAACAGTAGCAGAGGATGATGCTCCTCGGAGTGAGAAAGAATCAAAGGAAACCCGTACGGCGGCATCATCATCAAATATTAATGGTATTACTGCCAAAGTCATCGTCTTTGAAAGTGATGTTCAAGACGATGATGGGGTGGTATCTTTGAAAGATGTCCATGTTGATTGCTTTCGGACACTTTCAGGTACATGGAGAGTGGCGGCTAGTACCGTTGATGATGAGATGCCGCATTTGCAGAAGATATCCAAATCCTACGGAATAGAGACTGCAGCTACAGGGATAAACTTAATGGACTACTTGAAGTTTTCCGACGAAAATGAAAGACCCGAAGAGGACAATTTGATGTTTTCCGACGAAAACCAAAGAGGCGAAGCTGGTGAGGAGGAGGAGGAGGATACAATGGAGGCTACCTGGATTGCAATTAGCCAAGGACGAGACTGCAGGGAGAAAAACAATAATAATAATAATATGAAACTAAAGAAGAGCGAAACGTGGTTGGGGGTGGCGAGGCGGGCGGAGGCTCAGTCAGCAGCGAGTGGCAGGTCGGACGAAGAGTCGTCGCTTGAAGCGACATGGAAGGAGCTGAGGAAAAGCGTGACGTTCAACGACGCGGTGTCGGCGTGCCGGCGAGGTGGGCTGGCTAGGGACCTGATGACAACGTCCGATGAGATGAAGAAGCGGTTTGATGATTTCATTAACAACTTCAACAACGAATTGAGGTTGCAGAGACAGGAATCCGAGCAGCGTCTCTTGGCGGCAATCACCCGCGGTGGCCTCCCCGGCCTCTAATTAAATTTAATTACTCTCATCTCACATGCCCGCAGTGTAAATTAGTTTCAGATATATAGACGAATTGAAGCTCTGTATAGCTAGTAAAAAGGTTGGATTATATATATTGCACGCTGTAGTTTATTTGTGTTTTTTCTTGAATTTCATCACTACAACACTGACCGTATATGCTCTCTCTCTCTCTATATATATATATTGGGTGCCGTAGAAATATAATAGACAATATTAGACTAAACTAAGGTGCATTATATTGGATCGATCTTCCGGCAGAAAATTAATTAAATCAGTACGTACGACAAACAAAGAGGCCTGGCCAGCAACATATATTAGCTGTGTATAGTATTATTGTAATTATGATGCCGGATTGGATAAACCAACCAAAGTTGAGCTGTCCCCTCAATACTACAATTTTTAATTAAACTAAATAAATTCATCTGCCCAAATCATTAAACAGTCTAGAAATATATATGGAGTTTTAAAATTGAACACCTTTCTTACTTTCCATAATTCTATCATATCCCTTACTTCTTTATTTTATATATGCACTTTTTATTCTGAATAACTTCACTTGGACCCCTGAAATTTATGATGGTATAGCACTGGACCTCCCGATACAGCCAAGACCCATTTCTAGCTACATACTCCACTGCTACTACTTGAGGTAAAATCTTCTTAACACCCTTTTCCTCTCAATTCTCTTTCATCATATTCTCCTTTAATTTGTATATATACATCCCTGGCCTGCAGGTTTTAAAGGATAAAGAAAAGTGATGTTAGGATTTCAGAATATTAGCTTATTACATTTATATATCTTCTATATATGTTCTCTTAATTGCCTGTTCTTGATGGTACTGAACCACATATATACAGCATTTACATATAGAATTTGATTCTGGGTTGGTTGGTTCTGAAGTTTTCATTTTCTGTTATTAATATTTTCTGCTGATCGATCCAGAAATATATTGGATGCAAAGAGGAAAGGGTATGGTGGTGGTGATGGAGTTAGTACAGTGGCAGCCCCTTCCCATAAACCAAACTAGTTGCATGATTTTGATGTGAACATGTATTTCCCTAGGAATCCTTAATTTCACAGTCCTTTATTTAGGTTTGTGTTGGGAAAATTAAAGGCATGCCATGTTGTGATAATGAAGGGTCACTTTCTACCCTACAAACACAAACACAACATCATGCTCCATAACACATGTTTTCTCAGTAAAAGGTATGAGCTTTTGCTGCTCATCTCACTTTTTTCATCCTGACCTACTCCTTATACAAATTAAACTAATTAATAAACTGCATAATTGGCTTTTACAGCATCATTTACTTTCACTTTAATTAGGATGCACCAAATTCTTATATGGGCATGGTTGGGGTGATACTAGTGATCGGGCGGTCGCTTAGAAGTGGTCAGTCCATCCACAGTTGAAGAATGTACTGATCGGACTATTGGCCCTCGGTTGCAACGTACACAAGGAGGATATTATTGGAGAGTACTCCAAGGGATTATAAATGGAGAATAGGATTGGCGAGATATAGGAATCTTAGCTTACTAATTAAAGGAAATTTTGAAAACTTGTTACTTAGTCTAGATTGCTTTCCTATTCATATTTTAAGAAGTTTCTAGTTCAATTCATTTTTAATTTGGTAGGCTTGGCTTTACGGATTCATTTTCCTTTTTGTACGAGCAATCCTCATATCTATATATATATAAAAATAAAATCCTCCTAATCAAGTTTTCCCCCCAAAACTTAGGGGCATTTTTGTAACATCATCCAATTTATATATATAATATAGATAGATAATATAGATGGCATATTTACCATATACGAATTTATTATATATATAATATATATAATATAGATAATATAGACGGCATATTTATATATGCATATTTCGTACAGGGTATTCAATGGTAAGAGGTAAATGTATATGGTAAGAGGTAAATTTATATGCATATTTTGAGGTAAATTTATATGCATATTTCTGAAGTTTATTTAATAAAATTGGAAAATAAAAAAAGGATACTTAATTCAATGAAAATGAAAAAGGAAAATGAAAGATTGTTCAAAAAAAAATCTATATCTATATATATATATATAAATAAAATCCTCCTAGCCAAATAAATTATTATACTTTCCTTTTGAATTACTATTTTCCACCTATAAATAAAAATGTATAGACTTTGGCATTCATTCATCTTCCCTCACACTACCGGTTCTTCATGATTTTCAATATATTCCTACGTCTTCTTCAATTCTAGCAAAACTCATTCACTTAATCTCTACTTCAGGTAATGGTTTCTACTCTCCAAATTCTTTTGTTTAAATCTAAGTTTGTTGAGATTGATGGTGAATAATATGCTTCGGTTATTATTATTATTGGATTTATTTGATTCACAGATTTTTTATCAAGGTGGTTAGGATGCTATTAAGGTTGATAGAAAGTTTGTCTTCGAGGGTAAGATTGTATGTTCACCAAATTTATTATTTTCTCCGAGTATTGTATGTATTGATATTATATGTGATATTATATGCTATATGTTATTCATGTGAACACAGGTACATTTATCGATAAATGGTAATATTGTGAGTGGTGGTTCTTGAAATATTGAGAATGAGTTTCGATTTGTCGAACTCATGCGTTATGTAAATACTTGGCTTGAAATTTTTGGTGTTGTATACATAGTAGTATTGTGAAATTGTATTAATACTGGATTATGGACTATAATTATATTTTGGACAAATCATGTGGAGAAAACTGTATTTTGGAGAAATTAAAATTGTAAATTTTTTTTTTGAAAATTGTATTTGAAGAAAATTATATGTTCTGGAGAAAATTGTATTTTTGTGGAGAAAATATTTATTTGTGGAGAAATAATGAAATTTTGAGAAAATAATATATTGTGTGGTGTTCAGTAAGAGTGAGTACTGTTTACTTGGACTATTTACTACTCATTAGGCTTTTAAAGTATCACATAAGTTATGATTCAGTTTTCAAATTGTTTGAGGGTAGTAGGTAGGATAACCTGACTATGGATCATATATTACCCATTGGCTTGGAATCCTCTAGCGGGTGTGTACATAGATTTTAGTCCAGTTTCAAAGTGGATTTCAAAAGGTTTGGTTACTTCTCCATAAATAACTATTAATTCTCCATACAAGAAAATGTATAACTCCACATGCATTTTGGAAAAGTATGAATTTATATGAGTTTTGAAAATATAAAAAATCCAAGCCATTATTTTACGGGGTGGAGTGGAACTTACTTAGCTTATGCTGATTTTTGTGTTACATCCTGTTTTTGTGTAAAATTATTTATACAGGTGAACATGGATAAGAATTCGGGATGAATTCAAGTTGAGAAGGAATAAAGTTTAATTATTTGTTATTTTGAGGAAAATGTTGTATAGTAATTTCAGTTTTATGTACTAAGTAATTGATTTTGAGATATTATTTGATGTTGTAAATTTAGCATAATTACCATAAATAATGTTTAATAATTGACAAATTCGATTAGACAATAAAAATTATCATTATAAAATCTTTTGTACTATGGACACATTATTTTTAATTATTTTGGTTTAATAATATTATTATATCTTATTTATAAAAATTCAAAGTAATATTTGTAGTACTATTGAATATTGATTGACTAAAAATAATCTTAATTATTATTAAGACAATTAATAGGTATTTAGATTTAAAAAGTCTTCAAATATATGAATTATACATAGTAGCATAGAATCAATTAGTAGGGCAACTATATTAAGTAATCTAATTAATAATTTATTTTTTTAATTATATCTCCTTTTTCTTAATGTGGATATATATATTTTAAATAATTTTGATTTAATTATATTATACCTTAATTATAAACAAAATCTTCCTATTTTATTTTTTCCACTCAAACTTTTGTAGTTAATTAATTAAATATTCTATTGGTAATACTATGTACAAAAAAATATTAATTAAGTAATAACAAAATAGCATAATTAGTAATAATATGTATGGTATTTTATAATATAATTGGTAATATAATTATAGTATTTAAAATAATATTACAAAAATAATTATTAGCTGACAATAAAAACGGCACAGAATTTAGGCCAATTGAAATAGAAAATGACTATTAATAATTAACTGAAAAGTAAATTTTTTTTGAAATTGACTCAAATGCACAAAATGAAATGAATATTAATAATTGATTAAAAAATAAAAATGAAATGAATATTAATAAATTACTGAAAATATAATTTTTTTAATGGAAACTAGGCCAATTGGAAAAGGAAATGAATATTAATAAATTACTAAAAATATAAAAATTACTGATATAAAATACATTAATAAAAATGTAAAATGAAGTTTGCATCTCAACGTATAACCGAGATGGAAAGAAATATTTATATCGGTTATATATTTTATAAAATGTAAAGTTAGTGGAAATATAAAAACAATGTTATTAATAATTAACTAATTAATTAATATGTATTAAAAAAAAATAATTGATTGAGAATAAAAATGACATAAAATTTATGCGAATTGAAATAGGAAATGACTATTAATAATTGACTGAAAATGAAAAATACTTCCAAACTGACTTAGTATATAGAAAGAATATTAATCTCGGTTATATATTTTATAAAATATAAAGTTACTGGAAATATATATAAAAAAATCTGTATATATATGTTACTGAAATAAAGTTATGTAAAGATATATATTTAAAAATTGAAAATGAAATAGAATCATTCAGTATTCACAATTTGTAAGGAAATTTTATAATTAAAGATGGAAAATGTTTTGCAATACGATATGGAAATATATGGTTTAGCCGAGATGGAAAGAATATTAATCGATATGAAAATTAAAATTTTTTACACAAAATGTTATTTTATACTAAGAATATAAGGATTGCGCAATTATAAGGTTTAGCCGAGTATGTCAAAAAACAAAAAGTTTAGCCGAGATGAAAAAATATTAATCTCGATTATATATTTTATAAAATGTAAAGTTAGTAGAAATATTAAAAAATGTTTGTATATATGTTACTGGAAATATAGTTGTGTAAAGATATATATATATATATATATATATATTTACAAATGGAAAATTGAATAGAATCGTTTAGTATTCACAATTTATAAGAAAAATTGTGTAGTTAAAGATGGAAATGTTCTTGCAATACGTATGAATGATTTAAAAGAAATTAATTATGACTGATTTTGTAGCAAATCTTTATTCAAAATTACAGGACCTCATTACAATACGCATATATAAAGATGTAAAATTATGTATAGAATGTGTAAGGAAGATTTTGCTTAAAGATGGAAAACAAATTAGACGAATTGAAAAAGGTAATGAATATTAATAATTCACTCAAAATTAAATATGATCCCCATATATAATTCACTGAACACTGATATTTAAAATATCTAAAGTTTCAGCACTTAATGCGTACATCTATACATTGACTATTAATTTTGGTCAATTATTTGATCGAATTCAAGCAATTATAACATTAGAAAATACAATCGATCCAACTCAATTTATCAATTACATTATATAATATTCGATATAATAATTTATATAATTATAGATCGATTCAAATATTCTTAAAATATTTTAACAAATTCATTCCGTGCATCGCACGGGGGCAAATACTAGTATATATAAATATAAATATCCCCTCCTTAAAGTAAAATGGATCCGATTTATCTTGAAACTTAATTAGGACAATTTATATTGTACTATTGTTCTAAGTCTCTTTACATTCTCTTAATTAACCACTAGTTTCTTATAGGTAGCTAGTGTGGCCATCCCATTAGTGACAAAACCAACATTTTATTTTAGTTATTTAGTATAGATTCCCATGTATTACATCAATCCGCATTTTGTCACTATCTTACAATGGGCAATACAACCATTTTTGTTTAACATGGTGGTCCATGCACCATTGAACGTGAACTCATCAAATACTTCAAGCTAATAACCTTAAAATTTTCAAATAAATGTAAAAATGGCTGATTAATTGACTTCGATTGAAATTAAATTACGTTGTATTTGGCAGATTATGATGAGAGGATGAAGATGGTGGATTTGAATTTCCTGGAAAGAAACAATTTTGCGGAACGCACGTGCCGAGGGATATGATAGTACCGGAAGCGCCCTCAGCTACTGTCGTTACTAAACGACTTGTACAGCGGCTACCTCTATTTGGGGGATCGCTACTGCCGCGCACTGGCCAAGAACGTAACGGCCACCATCACCGCCGACCAATTCGGCGGGGACGAAAATGTTGCAGATCGATCAGACCCGATTGATTCTTCAGGGGCAGATAAATGGAGTGGAGAAGAGGAACAGAGAATATTACGCCCGGCTTGTTAAACATGAAGAAAAGGAGAACAACAGAGCTAATTGAAGACTACATACTTGTGAATATCATGCAATATAATGGTTCATCAAGTATCACACACTTAGATCTATTAGTTTGAACAGTTAGCTAGCTTAGGATGTTGATCTACATTGCACGTACACTTTAACAATTTCTATATAAGCCTGCCTGCGTCGTATATGCTACATTGAGTATGCATGAAGTCCCGGCCGTACCTCACATAATATATACTATATGGAGTATAATTTTACTCAACAAATATTTTTAAAAGCATATATAAGCATCAAATCAAACATATACCAAGTCAACGTACCGATCTCAATTGGATGGCTCTCTCTACTGTATATTTTTCATTTAGTGTGTGTATATATATATAATTGTGATTAAAATACATGCAATTGGACTGAAATATCATTGTTCTAGAGTATGTATTGGTATGTAGCTCGTATGTAGTGTTCCTCATGCAATGAGTTTAATAAAAAATAATTTAAAAGATGTGTTAATTAAGATTACTGAACTCAAGACCTTTTAAGTACGATAGATGGAGGTGGTTATTATATATATATATATATATATAGCAGCCACCATATTCAGTTTGTTACATATACAGTTATAAACCTAAACAAATTAAACAAGAAAACAAAAGGAAATTCATACTCGCTTTATAATTTTTTATTTTGAAAGATAAAAGAGCTTAAATTAATTCGCTTGATAAAGATGAGATGAGGTTGTACGTAGTTTAGATTTAGATCTAATAATATATGTAAAGGGCAGGGTAAAGTACGTAGGCATATATACAGCACATTAATTGATCAACTAATCGGAGTCTCGGATCGATCATCCATAGATATATAGGATGTTGGATGGATTTAAAACATACTAGCTGAAGCCTGTATGTATATAATAATGATCTGCAGAGGTTTAATTAAGAAAGAAGGTGATGAGTAATGGGACGAGGATAGCACTTAACCCTGAGAGGATTAGTCATTGCAGAGATTGTGAATCCGCCGGTGCCTTCACTCTCCGCCGTGGTGGTGTTATCTCCACCGGGCCTTTCCCAGTCAAAACACTGCAGCAACGACGCCACGGCCAACTCCAGCACGCGGATAGCCAAGTTCTCGCCGGGACACTTACGTCTCCCGGAGCCGAAGGGCATAAATCTGCACCCATTAATTAAATTGTTCCCACCCTGAAACCTGTCGGGGTTGAACACTTCGGGGTCCTCCCAGACCGTAGGGTCGTGATGTATCCCCCAAGCATTGACCACCAGAATGGTCCCCCGCGGAATGCGAAACCCAGCGACGGTGCAGTCCTGGGAGGAGAAATGAGGGACGAGCAGCGGCGCCGCGGGGTGCATCCTTAAAGTCTCGTTGACGATGCAGCGGATGTAGGGCAGCTCCGGCAAATCAGATTCGTCGACAAGACGGTTGTGGCCGACGTGTTTGTCTATGTCGGCCTGAGCTTTCTTCCACACGTGGGGATTGTCGAGCATATATGAGAATGCCCACTCCAGTGTTACTGCAGAAGTATCAGATCCTGCTTGGAGTAAGACCTGCATGCATAATGCATTAGATAAGATTATATTAGATAGATCCCAATTAATTAAGTGTTATTGTTGTTCATTAATTAAACTTTAATGGACTGCAATTACATACAAACTTAATTAAATGCTGACAAAAATAATAATTTTATAACAAGTTTTGAAAAGTCAAAATTAAAGCCATTCATTTGAATTCCTTTAATTTAATAAATGAGATGAGAACACATTGCATATAGAATGAAATTTAAGAAAGAGCAGTAGCTAGCCGGCCAGGCCGGCAATATTATTCTCTTTAATTAAATTATGTTAGTTGGATGAAATTAAAAGTGAGATGAGATGAGAAAACGAAAACACGGGCGGGCAAATTAAAGACTTGTTTTGTATATATATTGAATTGATCTGAGTGAAGCCAAGCGTGATCGATGAAAGCTGCGGTGAAGGTACGGTTAGCCGCCAAGTGCAGCTTAGGTTGTCGCAATCAGTATGAGTAGAGTAGGCCATTCGATCAGGCTCCAGCTGGCCATCGCCCTCAGCTCCCATCCTCCTCGCTTAACTCAAAATCTCGTCGCAATCGCTGCCTGCCTGGTCCTAGCTAGCTAGCTACCTACAACGTAACGTAACAGACCTCACCATCTATGCATGACCTGATGGATCGATGCCGCATTGCCGCTAGCTTCAAAACCTAATCTTCACCCAACCCCTTCTGTGGACAACGTTAATAAGGGATTTTGCTACCTAGTATACACAGCACCCAACAATCTGGACGCCGTCCGCCTCGGACCACCATCAAATTAAACGTCCCCGTCACCCCCCCCCCCCCCGGCCCCCTAGCTAGCGAATCATAACCCAGAATAGGCACGTTTTATTCTATTATATATTCATTGCCGAACAACAATGTGAACAACACAAGACCAATATTATTGCTAGCTAGAGAGTTAAAAATCAACCCCTTACTGTGTGACCCAGAAATATTTATACATATAGAGGTAAGTGGGAAAAAAGAAAATGAAAATATTAATAAAATAGGACTTAAGAAACCTTCATAAACTAGTTTTGGATTTGTTTTCTAAGTTGTAGGAGCCCTTTCTTAAAATTGGAGAAGGAAATTTCGCCCAAGATCTGACAAGAATCTCAGGATATCCTTCCTCACAATGTTCCAGCCTTGTGGCCTGCCCCTCTCCTGCTGACTGGCAGACTACCCATTTCCCGATTGTTCGGCGAGTGAGCCTAACTGGGTACCCTACCTGAGTATCCATCACATTGTTTTTTTTAAAACTAATTACTGCTTCTTGGGTAATCCAGTAATGAATTAAAAAAAAAAAAAAAAAAAAAAGAGTTATATCATGTGAAGTGATGTAAGGTTTTGTTTAAAAATTGAGATTAATTAAAGTGGCATTATTTCAGTCAGTTTAAAAATATATATGTATAGTATAAAGATGGGCGGAGGCGATTGAATATAATAATATATCTTAATTAATTACCAGCAAAAGATCTCTGATGGTCTGATCAGTGTAGAATTGGGGTTCGTCGGCCTGCAATTCCAGTAGAACATCCAAAACGGTCTTGGTGGTGAGCTTTGGTGGAGCACCACCGGAAGGGGAACACCGATCAGAGGAGTCGGCGTTCATAATTCGCTGCTCATCTATCACATTCTGCATGAACTTATCTCTCTTCTCAAATATACTCATCAGTGCTTCCTCAATATCTCCGAACCCAAACCATCGCATGAAAGGCAGGAAGTCTAACACGTTAGCTTTGGGAATCACCCTTATCTGATCCTTGGATATGTCTTGGAACAACTTTGCTGCTTCCCAGTTTTCCACGTTTTCTCCGTAATACTTTCTTCCAAATATCATTCTTGACATCACGTTGAAGGTGAAGTCATGCAACCACGGCTTTAGCTCCACCTCCTCCTTCTGCTGCTGCTGTTAATATAATTAGTTCATGATATGCTAATTAAAAATAATCTGATTAATTAAATTTAATTAAATTAATACCTTGTGATCACTACTACTACTAGTAGTAGTGGAGCTTTTTGAGAGACGGAAGATACTGCAAATCAACGCCTTCACCTCCTCCGCACGGATTTCAGCTAACTGCTGGATACGGTGGGAGGACAGCACTTCCATGGTGGAGATTCGACGCAGATTCCTCCACCGTTCTCCGTACGAGGAGGTCGGAAGACTGGTATAGTTATACCCCAAATACTTCCCCACCAGAAGTCTAGGCCGGTTCGCGAACACGACGTCGTTCTTGGTGAAGCATTCTTCTGCTGCCGACGGGCACGACACCAGGAGGACGGGGCGAGACCCGAAGCGGAGAAACAGCACCCGCCCGTACTTCTTGCCCACCTCATACAGCGTCTTGTGGAAGGGCTGCTGTTTTCGCAGCAGCAGATAGAGGTGCCCCACCACCGGAAGCGCCGGAAAAGGGGTAGGGGGGAGATTTCTCAGCCTTTCAACTATAAACTGCCCGATAACATGAACCATCACCAAGATTATAGGAACACAGAGGTATACAAGGTTGTCCATGAATGCGCTGCGCTGGAGGAGATCAGATGACAACGTTACGTTGAATATAATATAATGTTGCTGTCTTTCACAATTAGCATTTAGCTAGCTACTACTTTAATTTTCATCTCCGTTCCTCTATTTAATTCAATAAAAAAACAATGAAACTACACATTTAATTAATTAAGGAAGACAAGTAGACTTAATTCACTTGATTAAGAGTAATTCTATATGTCCTCTCATTTTCTATTCTCCATGATTTTTAGCTAATTTTTTCTTTTTCCTCCATAAAATTTGAACACTTATGGCGTCTTTGTTTGGAGAGAAAGGAATTGCAATTCCAGGAGAATAAAGTGAAATTTAAATTTAGCCGGTTCAGATGATATTTAGTGACTCCCCCATATGAAAAATCATGAGATCAAGCCTAAGTGGAAGTATGTATGAACAAATACTACAATGTAATAGTTGATATACTTGATAATTGAAAACTGAAAAAGAAGAAGTAATATGAAGTCCAAAATACACATACTTATTATTATTATTATTATTATTATTATTATTATTGCTCATACACCATCAGCTATTGCATAGAAACAATGGAAATTTTGTTGTTGAAATTTTAGATAAATATGTTATACCTATATGCTATACTTATACATGATACAAATTTTGTTGTTGAAAACATGCAGACCAAAAAATTTTACTTTGGAAAATTTATGTAACATGCTATAAATAAACCTAGAATTGTATATATAATAAAAGTAATAAAATATATAAGGGAGTTTTGTTTTGTGTTGAGACTTGAGAGTAGAAGAAGAATGCACGTTATAATAGAGAGAGAGAGAGAGAGAGAGAGATCAAATATTAATTTTAGTTTTTTTTTTTTTTTTTTTTTTTTATAAGATGGATAATTTTGGCTCAAAGTTATTTTCTTTTTTCTTAAAATTCATAGAATTGAAATACCAATGGGATATGAGATTCTAATTCCATGAAAATGGGGAAATTTTAAATTCGCGAAATTGCAATTCCCTCAAACCAAACGAAGCAATTTGCTTACCTTCAGAATTATGTGGGAATTAGGTGGGAATGAAATTGTAATTCTTCAACCAAACATTTAATTAGTGAGAGTAAAAGTTGAGAGTAGGTTTTTAGAGTTCAATAGTATTTTTTTTAAGTAAACTTTTAAATGATTAATTTTAAGCCGGCCAATCACGATATTAATTTATTTAATTTCATTTCATTATTTAATAATTTTGACTATTTTCCCTCAAAATTGCTTTGTTTTGTCTTTTCAAAGTTTTCCATGTGAGGTGAGCGTAGTAGGTGCGTGGAATCAATAAATAAAGGAGCATTATTTTATCCAATTATTAATAATGAACATTAAACAACGGAACGATGCAAATATGCTTACGTTAAAGAAAACATTAAAGAGTATTACTTTTGTGATGTCTTAATTTTATCGAATGAAAAATAAATAATCGGTGCAGGCTGCAGCGGAGCAGTTGAGGACCGAACTGCTGTATTGGTAATTAGTCAAAGAAAAGCTACGAGGTTTAATGGGTTAATTCTATGAAAAGTCCAAGTTTCACACTCCACCGTAATTAATGTTTCCAACAACATTTATTGGTATTACACTAATCTTTTAACTTTAAGTCTTCAGTTGAATCAAATCTTATTTAGACCATTACAACTGTACCAATATGTTCAACATTTCAATTTTTGGTACCAAGTAATAAATTACTGAGTTTAAAAGTTAGACCATAACCAAAATCTTCAAAATTTTAAATTCTTAACCAATAAACTTGAGAGTTAATTACCGATTTGGTCCCTCGACTATGAGAATTTCATCAATTTGGTCCTCGACTATCAAAAGTCCTCAATTTGGTCCTCGGCTATGACATTTTTACCCGATTTCGTCCTAAGTGTTATTTGCCGGTCAAACCTAAAGGGCAATTTGGAGATTATTAAAAAGAATTATTATTACCTCATCATCTACAATCCAAATTATTATTATCATCTCCAATTTCTAACCAGCATCATCACCATCAACGCGACGACAGGAAGCGAGAGAGGGAGACTGTTGCTCGCCACTGACCTGCTCTACTTCACCGGAAAAGGACATCGCCAGAGTTGCTTTTGAGATGAGAGGGATAGGCGAGGGAGAGAGAGATAGAGGTCCACCACTGTGCCTTGCTGCTGCCACTGGTCAACACTTCCCCGATCTACATTATGCGTCGTCGACGAGTGAGGAGCGAGGTTGAGAGGTCGCCAGAAAGGAGCTAGCTGAAACTAGAAGTCACCGCAGATCCGCACGCGTCGGTGCTCTACTCGCCCACTGACATAGGGTTATAGTTGTTGCTTGAAAGACAGATGATTTCTCAACTCATTGCTCAAATTTTTGACTGGAGTTGTGCAATTAGGGTTTCGTATTTGGGAATTTAACAATCAGAAGGTTTTGTTTGTCTGAAATAAGGCAAAGCGTGGAAATAACTTAGACAGTCGAGAAAGGAAACAATGTGCAATTACAAAAATATCCTCAAGTTTATTGCCTTAAACAAGCTGGTTTGACTTTAGGACCAAATCGAGTAAAGATGCCATAGTTGGGGACCAAATTGAATAATTTTGATAATCAAGGATCAAATTGGTGAAATCCTCATAGTCGAGGGACCAAATCGATAATTAACTCATAAACTTAATTATAATACTTTGATTATGTTTCATTTATATTTCAATTTTCATTTAAAAAGTGATAACTTCTTTAATCCGTTAACGCACCTTAGATATTAATCTTAAGAAAAACTTTACAACATAAATATTATACTTGATAAGTTGATATATTAAACAATTCCACTTTAAACAAGATTTTGTTTTTGAAGACAGGGGAATAAGTTTCACAAGTTTTACCTAATCCACATTCTATTCCGTCAAACATAGTAAATGAAATAAAATTTGTGCAACTTGTTACTAACTTGGGGCTAATCATTAATAATTATACTAACGAGTTCAATTATTGTCAACACTCATCAATCGACTCCATCACATAAGGCCTTCCTAATACAATTTGTCTCTTTTTGTGGAGTTCAAGCAACCATATTTGCAACTAAGTTGGGAGATGAGAACAAAAAATCAACGACGACCAAATGAGATGAGAACAAGTTTATTAAATTAAGCATAAAATTACATGTGCACTGCATAGGCAGTAGGCACTTATTGGTTTAAAAAACATAATATTTTTAAATAGATAATTTAATGAAATATACCATGTTTTCAGGCCAAGTATATATCAAATCAATAAAGTACGTTTATCACACTTCAACTTAGTTTAAATCCTCTTCATAGTTCATACAATAATTGGTAAGGCTAGCTAACTATAAACAGATGATTTGTATCAAAATTAAATTAGCCCAAATAGTGCATTTCAATTTCTGCACTAACACACAATGTTGTACCTAACCCTAACTTTTAAACCAAAGTTCTCATGTACTAAAAATCACCAACCAGTAGACTTTATATTCCAATAGAATGGGGGATTTTAATAGCATGTCTCACCATATTTGATGGCAAAATGGTATGACTTGCTCTTGATGTGTTTTCTACCGAATCAAGTGCTCGAGAAACTTGCAATGCCATCTCAGAATGGAGTTGAACACAGGTCATTGCCAGCTGCAATGTATTTAAGACCAATGTTAGTGACAGGATTATCTCACACTAACTAAACAATAATTTATGCCGTATTAAGTGGTAAGATTAGGTAATATCTAGTATTACAGCGTAGAATAATACTAACCCTATACAATAGGCTAGCCATAAGACTCTAACTTATTGACTTATTCAGATAGTACAGGGAAATATAACATTAATAATATTATGTCTAACAAAAAGTACTCAGCAATTTCCTTGCAAATATATAAGTGCAGAAAGGGATGTTAGATTTATTTGGAAATGCCCCCCTATTTGGGCATCAGCCATTTAGCCAATGAAAAGGGAGCTCTGCTGGTCTCCCTGCCCTGCATGCCTAGGCTGTCATCAACTTGGGGGAAAGGGGGGCGTGGTTGCATTAATTGATCCCCCTCCAAAAATTCGACAACTCAAGTATGCAAGGGAAACCAGCCCAAATTTCAATCAAATGGTGCCCCCTCAGGCTAGACAAGCCCACCTAGGGAGGGGCTAGGCGACACCTACTCTACTACTATTTGATTTATTTACTCAAAAATGAAAAGTGCACTTTCAAGAAGTAAAACTTCATCCCCATGTCTCAATCTTATTGGAGAAAGAAAATAAATGAATTAAAACTATGACCCTTTTTTTACATACCCCTTGGAGTGTAATACTAATCTTATTTATTTATAATCCACTAGTTCGAAAGCAATGAAGAGAAGTTTGACTTGGTCTCTTCTCCTTTACATAGTAGTAGCAAGCTATTGGTTTACACATCCTAGCTTTGTGCGGGATTCAAAGTCATGCTTCAGGAATAATCTAGGCATTTTAAAGTATATAATGTACATATGCCCACCTACTCGAATTAAATTCTTCTTTAGATAAGATTTTATTCAAAGGCACCATAGGTACAACACTAAATACAAGCAAAACAACAAAGTCAATCATAAAAATAGCAAGTACGAAAACGTGAGAGTTGAGCACAGAAGAAAAGTCTACATATTGCCAATCTTTGAAATTTCTATTTGACAATGACAACTGATGACCTTCAGAACAGTGTCTATTCAACTCATTATAAATGTGTCAAAGTAAACATAAATTCTCTCTTATCCATTTCAGACACTAACCCATGCATGGCTCTAAACATGCTTTGTCTACAGGTCCCCATTCTTCAAAGTGAAACTGCAAGCTCTAATTAGTACAAAGGAGAGGATTGATACTTTTCTCTTTTAGGTTGGGATGGGCTGGAGAGTTTTACAAGGCTAATATCTAGTTTAAGACATTTATATAATAAGTTGGACAATTTTTAATCATCAGGAGAAGAACAAATTTAAAAGATATATGCAATTCAAATTCGTAAGTGCATCCATCACCTTGATGAGCCTCAGATTATAACATAATGGAGCATAGGAAACAGAAATACAAATGGAGACTTAAACCTTCAGTATAAAACTTAGTTCTGACTTACCGTGTAGCACTCCCTATCTGTATCTGATTCAGCTACGTTTAGGGCCCATGTGCGAACCCATTCAAGCCCTTTTAAAATGTCAGCATTTCCTTCAGTTAGGGCAGATGTGATGAAAGAGGGGTGAAGAGAAATCAATATGCATGATGCTGCAAAAAGCACAGATCTCCTAACGTATGCTTCCTTATGATAAGATACCTCCCTGTACAGTAACAAGTAACCACACTTGAGAATCACAAGATCATAAAAGAGATGGAGGGAATGTAGCACTCTGATTCACAAAAGTGATACCACACTAACATTTTTTCAGGTACCACACATGTACTTTTATTAGTAATCACAAACCAGGTTTATTAGGTTCTTGGGAGATGTACGGATAGCCAAAGGCCGAATTATCTATATGAATAATTGTTAGTACCTTGATCTCAGCAAATCCAACAGAGGAGATGCCAAAACAGATGCTTCTGGATGCATAGCTGCACACTTCATACAGACACCAAGCATGTAGATAAGTTTTCCCAAGACAATGAAATCTCTATCAAGCAAATCAACACCATGTCTTTTCTTATCATATCCCTGCATAGCTGGAAGCATAAATGCAGCTGCATATTGCGGAAATTTATTCAAGGACCACTCAACCTGATTTTCTTGTTTTGGTGATTGAAGGCTCCAACGACGCATCTTCCCTTTCTTAACCTGACTTGGTTTAGAGGGAAGCTCTCTCTCATAAGAGTAAGACCAATTCAAAGGAGTTCCTGGAGTTGAAATCTCCTTCCAGGAACCAGCTCCAGGTGGCCCAATATCCCTTGGCACAAACCATGGCTGGTCTGACATGGAAGATATGAGCAATCTAGAATGTTGTTTGGGTTTTGAAGTTCGAGTATTTGCAAGTTCCTGAGCAGCATCTGTCATGACATCAAGAATCAATATCCGCTGGCTTACATCTAGATTTGGAGAATATAGCAATTTGTTTAGCTCATTGAGCGATTCATTTGGACACATGGCAATCAAAGCAACTAAGGCTTTTTCCCTCTTATCTTCAGCCGATTCTTCTTCTCCCTCAACGGTTGAATCAGAACAGCGGACCTGTACAAGTGTTCTGGCGAGATCACCAGCTACAAATTTAAGCTCATCAGGAGTTGCTCGGACAAGTTTCTCAGCAACATCAAGAGCCTTTTCAACCTGTGAAAGAGCAACATGAACAGTGAATTTTTTTTTTTCAACTACTCTCAAGTAGAAATGTAATATCAGATTAAATTATAAAATAACTTCAAGCTATACAATAGGGGGCCTTCACATTTTATATTGATGAAGAAATGAACTGGCTAACAAGGACTAATTAGAAAGTTCTGTGTCTTAAGATAGCAAAAGCAGAAATCAATTTTTTTAGCACTGTAAAGAATATTTAAAGATATCAATGATCTGCTGATTGAACTTACACCCTTGCCATCATCAGGTTTTCTTAGTGCTCCAATCACATCAACCAACTGTGAAAATTTTATTTCCAAATCTGCATCGTCATCTGATAAATCATATGGCTGCAAAGATGAATCACTAGAGAAGTCAGAATCTTCATTTCCAATATCATTATCATCTTCATAAGGGGCCAGCTCAGTAATCAAAGATGCAGGATCAACAATCTCATCGGGATCAACCAATTTGCATTCGGACAATCTCTTACAATTATCCATCACATTATTGGACGGACCTTTGTCATCAAACTCCTTTCTTGCTATTGTGGATGAACAATTCTTTACTCTGCTCATATCTTCATTTGTGCAGTTCCGCATAGGCAGAGAACCCTTACCAAGGTTTACTAAACCAAACTCCCAGTCAATTGCCTCATCGTGGCAACTATCATCTAGATACAGAGGATTTTTTGGATCAATTATAAGAGAAAATGCTAAAGCAACGTTGCTAGCCATCTTTCGAACCAAATGATCAGGGCTCTGCAACCTACCTGACAGCAATTAAAAAAAAAAAAAAAAGATGTCAAAAGAACCAAATAAACTTTTCCAATAATATAGCTTGCAATCATAATAATAATAATAACAAGAATAACAACAACAACAATAAACAAAAATTTGATAAGGCTTGGATTCTACAGCTAACTCCTTGAAGTATTGACTGCAGTGCATCCTTGGTTGCATCTAAATCTTCCTTTGACATCTTCTCCAGGCAAAGGCCTAAAGCAGCAGTTATGTCTAAAATTCAGTTAAGTGCCAAAAAGATAGAAGGGAAAGAGACACAAGGAGAGAAGAAGATGCAAGGATCAGATCTAGTGCATTATGAAGGTTGAAACTTTTTCCTGAAGTCATATGAAAAAGGTTCCAGCCGAAGTAAAAGATAAAAAAGGATACACGCTTGCTGCTCAATTGGGGCTGATTGAACAAATTCTCTTTTGGACCACACTGTGGTGAGGTGTTGCACGGTATCCATAAGAGCATGGACATTACAGGCTTTTGGAGCCAAAGAAGTACTAGGTGCACATTCAAAAACAGCAAAGTGGAGAATCCATCTTGAGCAACATATAGGGAATACTTTCCAGAGTAAAAATTTCTCACGAAACATGGACCTGAAATGGAGAAAGTGTAGAAAAAAGTCTGTTGATTAAAAAAAAAAAACATCATTGTATTTCCCATAAAAGCAACTATATTTACAGAGGATGAGAACTCATAAATTAATATCTTAATTTAACAAGATTGGTTCATGAATTCTGTTATGGAATATACACGTATTATGGAACCTATATATATTAGGCAACTTGGAGATTTATAGGGATTTGAGTAGGTGGTCATAAGGAAACTAGTTTCCTTATTAGAAGTCTTCTAGCATGTATTTATAGGGTTGTCTATTCCCCTTTCTAACTGGCGGGTGGTTGTTATTCTCCACCCACCAGGCCTTTGGATCTTTCAAATTCAACTCACAAGTATTAAAATTTTCAGTGCCAAGAATTCAAAATAGGTGTTGCCTTACCTAATTGATGTTTTCTGCTTATAAATTTGATTGAACAAGACCCATAAAATCCAATATGCTTCAGCATCTCTTACACTTTGAGCTGCTAGCTGATTCAGAAGTTGCTCAGACAACCTTTCTACAGAGTGAGGGTCTTGAACTCCCTCCATTATCTTCAACAAAAAACGAAGGCCAGGTTTTGACTCAAATGTTTCACTAACAGTCATATCAGCAGACGGCTGTAGCAAGCTCTGAACACCTCTAAGGATTCTAGGAATCAATTCACTTAACAGCACATCTGAGAAAATATAAAGGATTGATTTTTTATACACCTGTCTATTTTTCTCCATGTAAATGCAAGAAGATGCCTGGCTCACAGTAATAAGAATCACCTGCAAACCCTCGACGACAAATGCGAGCAAAAGCTTCCCCAACAAATAGAATAGTACTATCAGCTTTATTCTTATCAAAATAAGCAGTTTCATCCAAATTCTTGTCCCATTCTTCTGCTCCGGCAAGTATTTGAGTGGTAATATGCTTAAAAAATAAGCTGATAATCAATGGTTAAGAAGACAACCCAGGGTGTATATATGTAAGCTAAATAACTGTGCATCCTCAAAGCTAAAGATACTTGTACGGAAGAAAGCAACAGCCTTGATGGTGATCTAAATCCACCAATTGCAATCATATTGATGAAAACATTTCTCATAACAACCTTTCTAACACTACAAAAAAACAATAATAATACCGACAATACACAACCCAAAAAAATATATTTAAAATAACTAAAACAAAGTAAAACAACAAAAATAGGTTGGAAAGAAAGAGAAGAAAAGCAAATTGAAAGGGTATTCTTTAGTGGAAGACATTCTTTAATAGGAGAGGTTAAGAAAGGGTATTCGTTGAAAATAAACTGATTGGCTACACCTGTTAGAAAAGTGCACACACAATAGGATCAAACATTTTATTCCAATAAAAGAGAAAATAAAAGGAGGATACGGTGATGAGAGTGAAGTAGGCGCACCTGCTCGTGCTTTGTCAGGAATAGATGTAATAAGTTGCGCCACCCTGAAAATAATGTGCCGGACAGATTCATTGGCAGAACCTTCAGATTGACAGTCTCTGGCAAATTCTATAACCATTTGGTGGATACCATCATTCTCAAACAAGCAAAGTAGAAGTAATCTGCCATGGATGTTGTGAAGGAATGACACAGGATATACTATTAATTAATGACACTGATATACATCTAAAGAAGGCAAGGGAGCTCTATACACACCACATATAACATATTAGCATCAATTGTTCTTGAATGAAACAATTGGCTAACCAACAATCATTTGGAGCTCATATCCTATCTTACATCTCATATTAAGTTTACCACTAAATAAAATTTGTTTCTTGAAACTCAGCCCTTTCCTGTTATCAAAAATATTTATTAAATGCAGAAAATAAGGATAAAAAAACTTAGTTCGAAGCATTATTGCGGCATATACATCTTTCTAAAGCATATGATGTAACTCTTCAAGAACCAGCTAGAACTATATAGCCAAACAATTAGAAATGCAGACAGGCAAACATAAAAATTCTCATTTTCAGTCTGTCACAACAGAGGCTGCTAAAACCATCAATTCAATAAAATAATACCTATTCTCCATATTGTGTCTGGAATTCAATTGCAAAGAGACAGGAAATGCTAAATGTAGCATTCAGGGAATAAGAATGCAGTATATTCATGCCATTACCTTTCAGCATTTGAGCACACTGCATTGAGATTATGAGTGCCAAGACCTCTTCCTTGTAAGCAAGGAACTAATGCCTGTATGACCTCAGTGAATTGACCATTTGTAAAAAACACATCATATACATGTACTCTTGCAGAAGTGGGGAAACATGCTAGCCAATCCAAAGCCACATCTATATCATTACCATCACAATTAGAAGACACCCCACTCTAAAAGATGATCAAACGTAAAAACAATGGAAAATGACAATCCATGTTTTAACACAAATGATTATACAGTTGAAGTAAAAAATATTCAATCTAATAATGCAACAAAGTAAACTTGGGACTTATAATAGTTACCATGTAACAAAACTCGTGCCAGCATTGGAAATGCAGCACCTTTATAGAAAATCTGTTGCCATTGACTTCTCTTATCAGAATCTGGCACCAGCGCGCTTTGAACCTTGTGGAGAATATCCAAATTTCCGAAAACAATTAAGGATGATTATCAAAATATTTCCTTTACTTGAACAGATTAAAATAAAACAAATGAATAAATAATGCAAAATATACCTGTTCTCTGAACTGCATATCAATACTACCTGAAATTCACAAAATGAAAATAGCTAAATAAACCAGCTTTAACCTGAACAGGATGCTGTGAATTAGATATTTGAATTGAACAATAAGAGGACCTAAGAAGGAGCAAGAATCGACGGGGAATAGCGAAACAGCGAGAGAGTGAAGAGCGACGATGACTTGGTCGACGTGGCCTGCGTCCTTGATGGAGCAGACGACCCGGCCCACTTTCTCTGTAATTGCCTTCTCCACTTGTCTCCAGCAACTCTCTGGTCCTGCATGGAAATCTTCCATGGCTGCCCAGGTAAGGTATAGTGATGTTTACAGAGTACTAGTACCCCTTCTGCTAGGTAGCTTGCCTAGGAGTGCAATAAAGAATTATCAATTACATAATACATATTCTTCTTCGAGATTGTAAGGGATGTGTTACACAAAATCAAGCAGAACTGCAGAAGTATGCAAGATACTCTGCCCAAGAGCTATGGATGTCAATTGGGCTAGCCCATTGAATTTTGGGCTAACCGGCTGTTGGACTTATTAGTTTGGACTAAATGATTTTGTTTTGTTTTTTGGGGTTGGGTTGGCCCTATTCCTAAACTACTAGCTAATAGCTAGGCAAATTATGCTCTGGACACGGGTCCACAATAATTGTAGACACGGGCCCTAAATGACGTCGTTTTTAAAAAAAAATGCGTCATTTAGTTAAAAAAAATTCGCGCGTGTTTTACCGGTGTTATTTTTTTTTTTTGGATTATGAATGTACAGTTATGTCGTTATGAATGTACAGTTATGCCGTTATGAATGTACAGTTATGCAATTATGAAATTATGAACACAGAGCTCTAACATTATGAACTTACAATTAACATATAGTGATAAAATTATGACCATGGAGCTTTAAAATTGTGAATATAGAGCTTTGAAAATTATGAATGTACAGTTATGAAGTTATGAATGTACAGATATGGAATTATGAATCTACAGTTATGGAGTTATGAATCTACAGTTATGGAATTATGAATGTACAGTTATTGATCGAATTATGAACAAAGAGCTCTGACATTATGAACTTACAATTATGAACATATAGTGATAAAATTATGAACATAGAGTTCTAAAATTGTGAACATAAAACTTCGAAAATTATGAATGTACAATTATGGAGTTATGAATGTACAGTTATGGAGTTATGAATGTACAGTTATAGAATTATGAACGTACAGTTATGGAGGTATGAATGTACAGTTATTAACATATAGTAATAAAATTATGAACATATATTCCTATAACGAAGCAGTCTGTAATTAAAAAAAAAAAAAAAAAAAAAAAAAAAAAAAAGATAACAGTGCCTAACATGCATGCAGGTCCATAGCATAACGATTGCTAATAGCTATTATCCGGCGGGCTAAAATGCTAAATCAATGAACAAAAATTGACAAATATGAGTTGGTATCCAATTTTTCTTAATTATGTTGAAAGGACAATTTCAATTCTCTCCCCTTATATACCAGCCTTATTTTTCTCCCCCACCCGGACGACATGCCGGTAACAAGTGGGATCGCCATATTACCCATATATATATATATATATATATATATATATATATATATCCCAACTGTTGATAGTGGTTGATTTGCTGGCTCAATGCCCAACCAAACATATGAACAATGCCAGTTGCAAATAAAACGTAGGGATCGGAGCAGTAATAACAGAATGAAAAATAAGAATAACATTATTATGGGTAATCACAATAACTAAAAATAAAGTTAATTATTTAAAGTATTGATTTTCTGACGATTCGGTTGTCATTTGGTAGGGCAATATGATCGATTGAGCGAATAAAAGATAAATAATAGAGATGGGATTTTAAAGATAGAAATTGAATGGTGAAAACTATGGACCTTTGTGGGCGGTGTTAAGTCAAAACTCACTATGTTTGTGGGTAGTTTGGTGCATAAGCTAGTCGGATCTTTCCTTATCCCTTTCACGGCTATAAAGTGGCGACCTCTCTCTCTTTTTGGACAATGATAGTCATCAACCCTCTTGCTAGAGAGTAGATATCTAACCGCTTACAATGTGACCCCTTGAAGAAAGAAAGAAAAAGGTTAACAACTTTAACCTTTAAAAACCTTTATAAACAAATTTGGGATTTATTTCCTAAGTCGTAGATCCCTTTCATAATGATAGAGAAGGAAATATCGTCCCCAAAGATGAAAAATCTTCAAGATACTGCTCTTCCCGTCAATCTCTTTGTTTCCCGACCACATACGCTCGACCGGCCAGCAAGCGTTACTAATTGGCTGAGCTACTTGGCTCATGTGCCGCCACTAATGCTGACTGGTCACTTAAGCTGGTCGCTAAGACTAGCCAACCGCATGTCGAGTCTCATCATTCCGCCTGTCTCCTTGCTTACTGTTCTCCCGCGCCCGACCACCTGGCGGGGTGGTACTGACTACCCACGTTACTTGGCGCTCCCGATTAGGTATTGGTCGGTGGGTTGACTATCTGGTTCCAGTCGGCAGGCTGCATGGTAATGGTCGGCAGGCAGGCTACTTGGTGATGGCCAGTATGTAGGTTACCTTCTTATCCCGGGGTAGTGTGGATAAGATGGTACAAAGTCTTTAACCTCTTTAACGCTAGTCTGACTTCATGCCTCGCAGGCAGGTTGGTCAGTATGTAGGTCACCTTCTTATCCCGGGGTAGTGTGGATAAGATGGTACAAAGTCTCTAACCTCTATAACGTTAGTCTGACTTCATGCCTCACGGGCTGATCGTGTGACCGACGAATTAACGAGTATGATTACATGGCTATATTGACTGAATATCCAGAACTGGATATCTAATAAAAAGATTTATTTATTTGTTTTCAATTTTTATTCCTTTTGACTTTTATTTTTTTGAGGTAACAAGATTATGATAAACTCTTTTTATTTTGTGGGTCTAAAAAAATATCAACATCTAAATTTGAAGTAAGAAAGTAAAATTAAGGAATAAAACTTAAAGAGTTAAAGTAGTAGTTTCTGTTATAGGAATAAGAGAGATATAGTCATATATATTTAAGGATTTATGGGGCCGGCCCCCCAAGGAGGGCAGTGGCCAAGTGCTTTCTCGCGGGGTCTGAAAAAGATTGGGAGGCAGAGTGCCAGCAAGCTAGTAGACACGTGTCTTCCATTTTTAGCCACAAGATTCAACACCTCCTAGCTTCTGGAAATTTCCACTCCCAATAATTTTTTATTCTCCTTGTAAAAATGAAAAAAATCCTCCCAACGCCATCCTACGTGGCGCCTCTACTGTGTTTTCTTGCCTTAAGAGTTCATTATTGAATCTCATTCTCACCTCTACTGTTTTTCCCATTTTTGGGATCCCCTCTTTCCTTCTTTGGCTTTTCACACTTGCGAAATGGTTTTTTGATTGGCAGAAGTGAAAAGCTCTTTCTTTTTCTTTCTTCCTCTTCTTCTCAAAACTCCCTTTTGTAGAGATTTCTGCAACTATGGTGGCCGAGGCTATGGTATGTGCATCTCACAATCTGTCACTTGTTTGTTCTAGAGATTCAATTTTGGGACCTGGGTATTTTTTAAATTGACTTTTTTTCTGGATACTTTAGTGTATGATTGCTTTTATGGCCATGGGTATGCCACAAATTTTCAGTTGTTTGCTCTGAAGATTTCAAGATTCAATTTTGAGGCATGGGTATTTATTAAATTTACTGTTTTTGGTATACTTTAATGGATGCTATTATTACTGTACTTGTAAAAGAAGCATTTTTCGAATGATTTATATGTGTATGCATTTTGTGTGGGGGAGGGGGGGTGGAATTTATTTTTGATAGTGTTTTTGGTACTGCTTTAAAGATTGCAGTTATTCTGCTTTGCTTAATATAGAAAAAGAGGAGAAACCTAGTAAGGACCAAATTTGGAGCATATTAATATTTTATACGGAGTAAGTACTAGTTATTTTTGTATTTGGAAATTACGGCAGAGCTTAAAGCTAATACTAATTTAAAAGGATAAAAGTTAATTCTTTATTTCAATCAATGAAGATCAGAATAAGTTAAATCTGATGATAATGTATGGAGGGAAATAACTGCTACATGTACCAATTCAGTGCTCAACCATTCAAAGCTGTAGTAGGATTTACATGTATATATATTTGGAAGCAAAGTTGTACTGTTCCTGATTTGAACTAGATTGGATATAAGGTTTAGTTAAATTGAGTGTGTGGGTGTGTAGAACTGCTTAGGGTTTCTTCAAAGACTTGTAGTTTAAGTTAGCCCAGTCACAGATTTGTTGCTAATTCATTCTATTTTGTTTTCTAATTGTATAGGATCAGTCTGATGGAAATAGTGGGGCTGTATCTTCTGCAGTTAACAGTAAGGTGGAAACTATGACCACACAGGCTGGGGTCTCAAGTTCTTTAGGGAGTGAATACTTGCCAAAGGTTGGTTGGTTTACTTTTACTCGATGTGTCACAAATTTTTGGTTGTTCTGGAACGTATGTGATTGGAACCCTTGAAATCTTCGACAATAGGTGAGGAAACCTTATACCATAACAAAACAGCGAGAGAGATGGACAGAGGAAGAACACCAAAGGTTTGTTGAAGCCTTGAAGTTGTATGGGCGTGCATGGCGTAAGATAGAAGGTGAGTTTGGTATAAGGTTCTTCCTCTCTGACAGAAGGTCCTCCAATCTGTCCTTAACTTTTTGCGCGTAGTTTGATCTTCGATCTTATTAATGTTGCTTCCTTGTTCTAATTTGTGTGCAGAACATGTTGGTACAAAAACTGTGATTCAGATTCGAAGCCATGCTCAGAAGTTTTTCACCAAGGTTGGTGCTGTATTTTAAGCGATTACTTAAGAAAATTCAGTGCTTGAGTTACCATTATGTTCAAACATATTAGGCAAATTAAAGAAGCTGCTCTACTATTCCATCGACATTGAAATTTCCTTGTCCATTTAGGTTGTTCGTGATTTGGGGAATGATGGTGATGGACCCATAGAGATCCCTCCTCCTCGGCCTAAGAAGAAACCTTTGCATCCTTACCCTCGTAAAATGGTTGATTCGTCTAAACCTGAGATGGAAGTTTTAGGTCAATCTGAAAGGTCTCCTTCAAAAATGTATAACGGAGAGAGAGATAATCAGTCTCCAGATTCAGTTTTGTCAGCGATTGGTTCAGACGATATGGAATCTCCAGTTGCTGAGTTGCAGCACACCCAACTGCAACGTTCTCCTGCTTCATGTACTAGTGATGCAGATTCACCTAACTTAGCACCTATAGAGAATGATAACGAATGCCTAACATCTAACTCCAGTGTCGAGAAGAAAGGATCTGTTGCATCAGTTGGAGTGACTGCCAAGTCCTCCCACCCTACAGACAATTCTTCTGTGGTATTTTCACTTAACATAATCTTATTTGTAAAATTCTATCGATCTTCTGTATAAATTTGAGAATTAACAAGTCTTAGTGTTTATCGGTTTGTGCAGAAACTTGACCTGCTTTCTAGGGATACCGCATCTTCTGTGAAAGAGCTATCCAGGGATAACCCAGGAAGTTTCAGGTTATTTGGACAGACAGTTTCAGTTTCTATAGCAGTAGCCGATTCTTCTAAACAAGAACCACATAACTTTAAGGATGCTGCTAGAGAGGAAAATGATAACACAACAGTTGAAGGTCTACCTAACCATGTAAATTCGCAGTTTGTTTACACAATGGTTCCACACAGTATGATCCCCCCAGCCAGCTGGTTTCCACAGTTTTTACCAAATAACGACTCCAAACCGACTACCATGCCGCCTTGGTGGTCTTGGCACCAAGATCTCATGCATCAGTATTTTTCTTCGTGCAGCCATGTAGCTGCACAAACAACATATCCCGAAGAGGACTTCAAACACCCTCGACCTCTGAGGGAAAGGTCATCAACTGATTCAAGCAGTGGATCAGCAAGCGAAGTAAACAGCGTGCTTAGAAATTGTGATGCAATTGAATCTAAAGGTGGCACAGTGAAGCTCGAGAATACCCAGAACAGGAAAGGGTTTGTACCATACAAAAAATGCTTAGCTGAGAGAAATGAGGAGTCATCAGCAGCTGACATAGAAGAACCAGAGAGGAAAAAGCTGTGTGTTGGGTTATAGAACGAACATTTTTCATTTTGGTATGGTTCTCGATCTAGTCTACTTCCACAGGATCATTCTTTATGAGTATGGAGTATGGATGTAACCTTCCTCTGTTGTAAAGATTTAAGGCTAGAGAACCATTTCTCCCCCACTTTTTCTTTAATTTTTACATAGAATATAATTTTTTTGCACCATGTATCCATTCATGAGGAAGAACACTATCCTTGAATTTTCCTTTCAACTTATTATTTCCCAACACTGTACTCTATTTAACTGTGACATTCATCATCGTTTGAAGTTGTTAAGGAAGTTCATTTTGGAATATGAAGTTATTCTAGTAAAAAAAAAAATATGTGTTCTATACTATACTTACAAAAAGAAGTCTTAACAGAAATGTGAAAGGCAAAAAAAAATCTGTTTGTTTTGATGTGAGACAGAAAACTACAAAACATACCAACCAGGAAAGATCCTAATTCTCAAAAAGATAATATCATGCAAAACAATAAAGCATGTCATGTCGTCCACAATGGACCATTTTGATAATCTCAATCAGATAATTATCTGACCCAAAGTTGGTGGTTGACCAAAGAGAAAAAATCTTAGGTGCAGAATAATAAACACAAATTTGAGGTCCATATCTACTTAGCCACACAGTTTGATTGACATTCAATCTTTTTCTTGTGAAATGAAATAATACCCAAAAAAAGACCATGAAATCTCAACCACTAGGCCCCTAAAACAAATATCTACCCATAAAAATCACTTGCATTATTCACGTTTTATTTTTTATGTTGTTTGTATTAAGATTTTAAAGACATGGTGGCAGGTGCAGCTATTCTCCTAAAAACAGTCGTTATGCTGCTGGTTTTTGGGAAAATTGGTGTGACGCCAATAGGAGATTCTGCGCCTCCATTTCAGCATCCTTTTTATTTATTTATTTTTCTTCATTTATTATTCCTTTAATCTGGCCTATTAGTTGGGCTTGGATCCATTATTTTATTCTTTCATTCTTTAGGCCTGACCTATTAGGGCTTGGGTCCATACTTTATTTTAGTTTCTTTATATTAGTATAGGCCCAATCTCAAGGGCTGAGTATGTGTTATGGTCACTTTTGGACCATCAGTTGTAACTACTTGTAAGACATTTTAATTCCTTTGCTTAATAAAGTTTTGTTTTAAAAAAAAAAAGACAATAGTTTTAATATAGCTGCATTCCTAGGGCTTGAATAATCTGAAATCTATTCAATTAGAAACCAAAAAGTTTGGAACCAACAAGGATGAATTTTAAATTAGGTTACATTGCTCAGCAAGAAATACTATCTAAGAATGCTCCCCTATGCCAAGGATCTTATATATTAATATTATAGTGCCGTCGGGTATGCTTCAAGGCTGGCTCATTGAGTTCAACTAACATTGCACCCCAAATGTCCTTGAGGAGGGATCCCACTACTATATCAGTATGTATGTAAAGCATTTGATGCAATGCAATGGTGTCAGTGCTTCAGGTTTTGGCTTTGGGCTTGGCCGAGTTCTCATCTGATCTAGGCCTTGCAACTTCAACAAATATCACCCTGCCATCCAAGAACTAGAAAAGTGCACTATTACTGTCAGTCATTAGGCAAAACAGGAGCTGCAATTTCATGAAACTATAACAACAGAAAGCAGAAACAGTTTCACATATATTCTTGAAGATAATATATAGCACACATATATTTGTAAAGTAATTTGTCTGCATTTTTTTTGCCACAGTTGAGGCACTACGATACTAATATTTGTGTTTCTGACTGAAATGGTCAGATTTCACGTGGAATAGACACAAATGAGCAACTTTTAAAATTTGAACAAAAGAAGGAAAAATTCGTTTGGGACTTGAGTTTAGGGTCAAAAGGGCAAGTTTGTCAATTTTTTGATTTTTTTTTTTTTTACCTGAAATAAGACAAATATTTGTTGTACTTCACAAAAGCAAGTCGCCGTTTGCCCCCCCAACCCAACCCAAAAAATAAATAAATTTAGAAGCTCTGTGAACAAGTCTCATGGCTTCCATAGCAGGCATATAGATAACCATATGTTTAACAAAATAGAAAGCTTAGAGAATAAGAAAAACTCAAAAATCACAAGCAAATCTGTTGTAGTCTAGCTGGTTAGGATACTTGGCTCTCACCCTGGATTCTTTTTTACGTTAATGAATTGTCCTTTTGCCGGAGGCACCGACGCCTAAGGAATATCAACAAGCTAAGTGGCCTTCATGCTTTACACATGCTATGATTCTCAAAATATCCTATTGGATTTCCTCAGACGTTTCTGGACAAAATTCATTCCTCACATGTTTCTCAACAAAAATGCATATATCTCAAACTTCATCACCATCAAATCAAAAATAAACTAAACCAGCCTCTCCGGCCATCCCCCAGCGCAGCCACCCCTCAGTTATAAATACTGCACGGCAGATGCTTACCAATGGCAGCTCTGAGAAGAGATCCTCAGCTTTGGCACATCACACATCACACATCACACATATATATGGCTCATCACTCCATAGCTCTGGCTACTCAGCCTACTCTTGGCCTCACTAAGTTCAATCAGATCCAACATCCCGAGGTTCTTTCTTTCTCTTTGCTTTTATATGTTCTAGCTTTGATGAATGTGGATATATTATATTTTTATTTAAAATGATATTTGCTTTTATTTTTATTTTTATTACAAAGCAGTAGGACAAACGCAAGTTGCCTGTACAAGCTAAGAATACATACATACTTGCCTTCCCATATTTGTATTACTTTTGTCATATTTAAAACAAAAACCAGAAATTTGACAAACTCAAGTGAGACCAAAGTTTTTTTTTTTTTAAATATAAAAAAATCAGAAACTCAAGTCTCAAAGGAGTTTATTCAAATTTTAAAAGTTGCCTTCCTCATAAAATCTGCCCATTTCAATATTAAAAAAAAAAAAAAAAAAAAAAAAAAAAAAAAAAAAAACCCTAACATTTTGGGCAGGGCATTGCCCAGAATTGGGCTTTTGCAATCATATATTTTGACTGCTGTATGTATGGTACGTACGTAGATGTAGAGAAATTAAGCTAAGCTAAGCTAGGATGATATACTTATAGTACTGCATACCTTCCCATGCATTCCCTGAATTGCCTTGTTGGATTCTTCTTCCGTAGCATAACGAAGAAAAGCAAATCCTCTGGGTCTATTGGCAACTCGGTCCATAACTAGATTAACTACACAACAAACACTAGCTAAGCTACTTACAACATTAATTCACAAGCTAAGCTAGCTACAACTAATTAAAACTTAAAAGAAACCACTCAAAAATAATGTTGTGTTCGATCAGTTCTGGATGCCTATTTGACCCTAATTCCATAAATAAAACAATTGTCTCAATTAAGGTAGAATGTTATGTACCCAACTCTCAAAATACTAGTTTGAATGCACAATAATATATATAATCTTGGCTCAGAGGAACACATGAAGTGTATATATATATACCTTCTATAAGATTGCCAAAGTTTTTGAAGGCATTTCTCAAGCTGTCTTCAGTGGTCCGAAAAGAAAGCCCTGAAAAAGGATAACCAAATAAAATTTACAAAACTACCATCATCATTATCGAGTTCATAATTAAGCAGAAGAGTATATGTATATATATAGTTATTGGTAAAGAGGTAGCTGCAGACCACTGACAAAGAGCTTGGTGGAGGGATTGAAGGGAGGATTGTGGCCGTGGGGAGTAAAAGCAAGAGGAAGGCATGATAGGGTTTGGAAATTACGTATTTGGATACGAGTTGGCAAATTAAATGGGCGAATTGAGGGCTGACAATAAGGAGGAGGAGGAGGAGAAAATTGTCTTATGGGTAAAAGTATGCATTGTTTTCTGCTTGTGGAAAGTAGTAGTGAAGAAGACGGTACATTAGCTGCCATTTCTGGTCTATTTTCTCCCCCTTCACACTAAGACTCTGAGAGAGAAAGAGGATAATGGTAACTCTAAGGCCCAACTACCAACTGTCGGCCCATATCCATGGGCTTTTGTGTAAGATAGTTGGGCTTACGTAATCAAGGAGCATAGCATCGCAAATTATGTTATGCATACAGATACAAAAACGACGTGTTTTGAGGTTTATCACATATTCAATTGTGCGTGAAATTATAAGGAATGAACAATTACAAATTGTTGTAAAAAGAGTTAATGAGCAAACATATAAAAGAGGTGTTGAATCAAGAAGCCAATTTAATTAATATTTTGATAATTTAGAAAGAAATGTGAGTGGTATTAGAAACTATTAAATCTAAGTATGTTTTGTTTAATTTTGGATGTATTCAGTTTAATTTTATATACTTTAAGTTTTACTTAATCTATATATAATTTTAACATTGTTTTGATGAGTACTTTCAAATGATATAACTTATTTTTATATTTATGTATTTATTAAAATATGTAAATTCATAAAAAAAAATAAAAAAAAGGATAGAAAAGGAATTAATAAAAGAGAGAAAGGAGAAACATGAGATTTTAGATTATTTACAGCGGTGCAGCGCAGACAAACGCCAAAATGGCAGAGCATTGGGGCCTTCGGCTGGAGGAGGGGCGTACATACACGTGCTATGATTCACAAAATCTCCTATTGGATTTCCTAAAACGTTTCTGGACAAAATTCAATTAATTCCTGACATGTTTCACAACAAAAATGATACAGAACTTCATCACCATAAAATTCAATTAACTCCTCTCCGGACTCCGGCCATCCCCCACTCCCAAGTCCACCTCTCAGTTATAAATACTGCGTGGCAGATGCTTACCAATGAGAAGAGATCCTCAGCTTTGGCTACTATACTAATATCACCGTAGCTACTGGCTACTGCAGAAGACCTAGCTACGATACGCACATCATATATATATATATATATATATATATATATATATATATATATATATGGCTCATCATCACTCCACAGCTCTGGCTACTCTTGGCCTCACTAAGCCCAATCAGATCCAACATCCCCAGGTTCTTTATCTTTGCTTTTAATTTATTTTATACGTTCTTTGATGCATATGGATATATTTTTCTTTAAAAGGGAAAATCACATTTTTTTCCTAGAATTATATGTTTATAGTTTTTTTTTTTTTTTTTGAATTATTCATCTAATCACATTAACTCCTTAATTATTCTAAAAATCACGGTTCTCCCTCCTACTGTATTAAATTCACGTTTCTATCCTTAAAGTAAATGTTTTATTTATTTTTTTCCCAACAAATTATTGTTTATACGTAGAGATGACCACGGTTCGGTTTGAACTGAATCGAACATTATAGCAATTGAAACGAAAGTTTTCACTTATGATTCAGATCCAGAACCTAATATTTGGATTTCAATTTATTAAAATCATGAATAAAAAAAATGTATCATAAATCGTGAACCAGCGGTTCAAATTGGAACAACTATTAAAATTAGAATTATAATATTTACAAATAGTGTATGCTATTTTTTACATTTATTATGATTATCACATATAAGTATATATGACCGCGATTTGGTTTTGATTTTGAACCACCGGTTCACGGTTCCAAATCCAGTTTGAAATGCTGGTTCAAACTTTATTTTAAAATTTATTTTTTATTTTTAAAAAAGTATAAATTCAATCATAAATTTATTTTATTTTTTCAGTTCATAACATGAACCGGCCGTTTCGATTCACGAGTTTAATAAATTTTAAATATCGGATTTTGATTCTAAATTGGAATTGGAATTGGAATTTTTCGATTTGAACAAAATCGTGGTCATAATTTGTTGGAGAATAAAAATAAATGAAAAATTTATTTTAAAGGTAAATATGTTCATTTAATATATCAGGAAAAAAATTGTCATTTAAATAATTTAGAGAGAAAAAATAATGCAAGTCACGGGTGGAAAGTGATATTTTCCCTCTTTAAAATGATATTTGCTTTTATATATATATATATATATATATATATATATATATATATATATATATATATATATATTTAACTTTTTTTTTTTACAAAACAGTAGGACAAACGCAAGTTGCCTGTACAAGCTAAGAATACATACGTACCTGCCCTCTCGTATTTGTATTACATTTGTCATATTTTTTTAAAAAATCAGAAATTTGATAAACTTAAGTGAGACTTGCGTTTTTCTTTTTTACTAGAAACTCAATTCCAAAGGAGTTTGTTCAAATTTAAAAAGTTACCTTCCTCATGAAATCTGCCCATTCCAAAATTTTTATTTAAAAAAAAAAAAAAAAAAAAAAAAAAAAAGGGTAATACTTTGGGTAGGCGCAATAAGGATTGCCTTGCCCAGATTTGGGCTTTTGCAATCATATATTGTTACTGCATGATGTACGTATGTAGATGTAGAGAAATTAAGCTAAGCTAGGATGACATACGTATCCGCAAATTATGCTGTGCAATCGTGTGCACTATATATTGTACACACAAAATTGAATTCATAATTTCTATATAATATATAGATTCATAATTGTTAAACTCTATATTCACATGCAATTACAGAACTCTATGTTCATATTCCTAATTGTTAAACTCTGTATATTCACAAATCACTGAACTATATGTTTATAATTTGATAACTATACAGTTTAGAAATTATGAACTCAATTCCGTGTGCACCTTGCATGGAGCACACACAGTTGCACAACATAACGCTGCCGTATAGTACGACATACCTTTCCATGCATTCCCTGGGCAAATTATATTGTGCACAGCGGTGTATAATCGATTATGCAACGAGCTTCAAAACGACGGCGTTTTGTTTAATGAAAAGAAACGGCACCCGTTTCGCGCCGTTCCGCAAAAAATAACTCTGCTATTCAGTTTCATTTTGTATGCATTGCAGTTTCAGTTCAACACAATTACAGTTTCATTTTGATATAACTATATTTTCATTCGATACTTATACACTCAAATATGTGAAAATGTTATTTAATTTTATTTTATATACACTATAGTTTAGTTAAAACACAACTACATGATCATTTCGATATAACTACAGCTTCATTGCACAATATACACTCAAATATGTGAAATGTTATTCAGTTTCATTTTATATACATTGCAGTTTCATTTCACCACAACTACAGTATTATTTTGATATAATTGTAGTTTCATTTGATAATATATAAAATAATACGTGAGGCAGTTGTAGGTTTAGATACACTGTAGTGTCAATTTAGATACCCTGTAGTTTCAGTTGATAATTAACACACCCAAAAATGCGCGCTTCGTTAACAGTAGAGTTAATTCTAGCAATGGTCATCCTACTATATTGATTTTCCACAATTAGTCCCAGACTTTTAATTTTGACAATTTAGATCCCTTGACTTTCAAATTCTTTCCAATGTTGGTCCTCCCGTCAGATGAATGTTAAGTTGACGTTAAATGAAGGGGTAAAGTAGTACTTTTACTTGCTTAGTGTATAATTAAGCGTATTTCTCCCTTCTTTGTATATGCTAAATATGGATGTACGTATGGATATGATAAAAGAAGCCTTAGGAGCTATTCGGGTCTCTTGTAAAAATGACTTCTTCAGATCGTCTCCGAGAGTAAAAGAGATCACACACAATCTGAAAGTAAAAGAGATCGCATTCCCATCGATCGATAATCAAATAGTTCCAAAAACAATGATTAAATAGTTTAAAGTTTTAGACAAGGATGTAAATGGAAAAGCATACAATAAGTTCCAAAAACAAAACTGTTACCCTACCCAATATTGGTTCGTTGCTGTCTCCATCTTATCACCAGTTAAGACCCATACCTTAATCCCAGCATCCGCAAGCTTGTCAACGCATTCAGGGACCTACACTAGATCAGAAGAACAACTAATCAGTCCTTCATCATTGAAGGATAGAAAAATATCAACACAATAAGACATGATGATCACCATAATTATATTACTGCATGTATATGTGCAACGCAAGACATAGGACAGAACTCCAATTCTCCTTGATGAATTTATGAATTACTCATCGAATCAAGGGATCTAAATTAAATGGTCCAAATTAAAAGTCGGGGACTAATTGTAGAAAATCAATATAGTGGAAGGATCATTGTGGAAAATCTATATCTGCTTGCTATATAATATATAGATGACAGTAATATAACATCAAAAGAGTATGGCATGAATGATTCTAATAAAATATAATATTACAGCACATGACAAAGACAGGTCCTCAAATTTACTGTTGGATGTTGTGTGCATCATATCATATCATAAATATATATCTATGCATGCATGCTCTTTAAATGCATTTACCAGAATTATTATTATAATATATTGTTAGTTCGTAGTCTGTAGTGCAGTAGTGTGTGCATATATATGTATATATGTTTGCAACATACATTATATAAAGAACATAACAAAAACACTTTTTTTTCAACTCGCTGCATTCGATCAATAATCTATATTATATATTCTTCTTCGATATAAATAAATATATATAATAAAAGTAGTAGGTAGTTTGTTTTAATTAGTAAGTTGGATTGATTGATTTTGAATTGAAGAATGGTTGGTGCAAAGCTGGTGCAGATAGATGCAAGAAATGTTGAGAAGATCCCGAGAGATGGGATGATGGATCTGATCAAATCGATTGCTGCTGCTGGGGCGGGGAATGAAGAAAATGGGGGCCCGGGACACCCTTTCTACGTGCTGGACTTGGGGGCTGTTGAAAGGGTGATGGATATATGGAGACATTGTCTTCCAGAGGTGAAGCCTTTTTTTGCAGTGAAATGTAACAGTGAACCTGCTTTTCTTGCTGCCTTAGCCAGGATGGGTGCCAATTTCGACTGCGCCAGCCAAGGCGAGATCCACACTGTCTTGGCTCTCGGCGTTCGCCCCGACCGGATTATTTATGCGAATCCGTGCAAGGCCGCCGCGCATATAAGATATGCCGCCACTGTGGGTGTCAACCTTACCACCTTTGACTCCATGGTGGAGCTTGAGAAAATAAAGAAATGGCATCCCAAATGCAAGCTGTTGCTGCGGATCAAGGCGCCCAATGACGGTAGCGGCTCTCTGCGCCCACTTGGGAAGAAGTTCGGAGCGTTGCCGGAGGAAGTGGAAGCGCTGCTTCGATATGCGGCCGTAGCGGGGCTCCACGTGGCGGGAGTGTCGTTCCACGTGGGGTCCATAGCCCAAGACCCCAGCATCTACCGCTCCGCAATCGCGGCCGCAAGGGCGGTGTTCGATAAGGCTGCTCAGCTGCAAATGCCCCCCATGCACGTACTCAACATCGGCGGCGGATTCAGGGCGACGCAGCCGCTATTCCAACATATCTCAGACACCATCAAAGACGCCATCCGAGATTACTTCCCCAAAGAAATGGGGGTGACGGTGATGGCGGAACCGGGAAGGTACTTCGCGGAGAAGTCGTTCACGCTTGCGGCGCACGTGATCGGGATCCGCACCCGTGGGGAGAAGAGGGAGTACTGGATAGACGATGGAATCTACGGGTCGTTTAGGCCAACGTTGTACAACTCATCGTTCGTGACAATAAAGCCGGCATTCCTGAGGTCGGAGGAGCCGTCAGTGATATGGCCGTCGGTGATTTACGGGCCATCCTGTGATTCTCTGGACCAAGTGACGGCGGAGATAAAGTTGCCAGAGTTACAGCTGCATGATTTGCTTGTGTTCAGCAACATGGGAGCGTATTCAAGTTGCGTAGGGACCAAGTTCAATGGCTTTGATATGATCTCCATCCCCACCTATATCGCATACACATATTAATTAATTATAATTAATACCTGCCTAGCTTAGCAAGCTTATTAATTATTATTAGCTTCCTACCCTACCCTACCCTGTTCAATTTTATTTTATTTATATATAATATAAGTAGGAATAATGTATGCCTGCCTGGATATGATGGGCGCGCGGCGGGTTCATATATGTTTGTTTAATTTGCATGTCATGCTTTTCTTATTTGTTGATTTTATTTAATATAATGTTCAATTCTACATGCATATTGAACATTAAGGTTATGTTTATTAAGGAATATAATAATATTTGTGTGCCTTTTATTATATTGATTTAATTAGTTTAGATTTATAGTTATATTTTCTCTCCTAAAATTAGTATACTGTTACTAACATCTCCCCTATTTATATTTGTATTATATTCTTCTGTGATTCATTTAATAAATATACACTCTTCCTTTGCTTTTCATTTAACATATTGCAATCCGTATATTTTTACCTGGCCTCAAGGCCGGACCAATTAAGCTCAATAATGGCTGGCATATATGGGTTTGATATGAATATATGATGATGATATCAATATATATATACATAAATAAAAATATGAACCATTTTTATTAGTGCGGGGGCGGGTTAGGTGAATGATTATGTGTTTACAACATCATATGAATTTGAATATAAGCAAGGATCGGATCGGATCGGATCGGATCAGATTTGAAGTGGTGGCCGGGCTGGATGGGTCACTCTAATTTGGTGTATAGTAGGTGGTTTTGAATTGGATGAATGAATTTCATTCCACCAGACGATACATTTTGACCAAGGCATATAGAATGACAGAAGCAGAGATGCATAAGCACAGCCAGCTGCATGCACATGATGTTGTAAAACCACTTCTCCTCGCCTGCAATGCACCCTTATCATCACTTAAGTTGCTCTCCACTTCGCTTGCTTCTGTCGGCTCGCCCTGTGGTTTTGCCGCCACCTTTGCCTCCTCCACCGCCGCTTTGGCTTTTGCTTCATCTGAACAACAAACTTCTTCTGTGGTCGTCGGCAGTTTCCTCGCCGGAATTATTGTTTCAGTTGGTGCAGCAGCAGCTGCCGGTAGCAGCCGCCCCTCTACTCCAACATTCTTGGCCTGATACGTGACAGACAGACAGTAAAAATTTAACAATATATAATTCCATCTTCAATTCATATATGTACATAAAAATTAATTACCAATTTCCTCATGTGCAGATTGTAGAATAGCTCAAGGTATCGCCGCTTTGCAAGTTTTTGGCCTGAGTGCATCTCCCTCCAGCATCCATACATGGCTCCCATGTTCAACACTTTGTTGGCATAAATCTTCCATGTAAAACTGCATAAATATATGCAATAAATTAAATGATAAGATATGTGAATAATTCTGTTATTATTGGTTACGTATAGTACCATTCGTTTATGCGCTTGAGAGCTCCCAAGGAAATCTTGTTCCAATATCTGCCATCTGACTTGCACTTTTCAAAGAAGTCAGCAATCTTATTGCTAGACTCTTCACCATTGTAAGGATCAATGTGAAAGCCTGAGACGCCATCAACAATTATCTCGGCAGGCCCTCCTTGATTGGTGGCGAAGGTGGGCAGTCCACAGTTCATAGCTTCAATGACTGTGAGGCCGAAAGCTTCATACAAAGCAGGCTGTATGAAAGCCCCCTTGGTGTCTGCAACCATTCTGTATAGCTCACTGTTTCTTTTTCTGTCAGTTTGAGCTGCTATCCATCTCATCTGTCCCTTCAACTGGTACTTGTCTATTAAATCGTGCATCTTCCTGATTTCTGCAGCTTCTTCTCTGTCGTTGGATTTTGAAGGGTCAAAAAATGCCCCCACAATCACAAGGTTTACTAACTCTCTCAGCCTCTTGTTCTTCCCAAACCATTCGGTCAATCCTGTAAGATTCTTCACTGTATCTAGCCGCGCCATTGAGAAGATGATTGGTTTCTTCTTGTCTGCTAGGAATCCACTGTCGGAAATTAAAGATCCAATTAGTATTTATAGATGGAGCTGAGATATATATAATATTGTAACGTAAGTCAGATATATATATATATATATATATATATATATATATATATATATATATATATATATATATATATCGGGATGACATACATGTGTTGATCATTATTGTTGTAAAGTAATTCCTGAATGGCAGGATGAAATGAGGTGAATCTGTTGTCCTTATCCGCAAATGGAAAGTAGACAGACTGATCTGCGCCTGGTGCCACAATGTTGAACTTTGGGTCAAACACATTGATGCCAGAAACAACTCTGCACAGCCCTGGCATTGTGAAGGCCGCATGGCTCTCATATTGTCCAGCCCTACTTTTGCTGCAACTCATCGTATAGTATAGTAACAACCAATTAAGATTTAAGAGATAGATAGATAATGGATTCAATTCAATCCGATAAGATAGATATATATATACCTTCCGGCGATTTCCTGATAGGTGCTGGCAATAACAAAATCAGCTGCATTCATAGCTATTAAGTCTGCTGTGAATTGGCAAGAAAAGTGGTACTTTGGATCAAGGGCTTTCCACTGGGCATCAGAGTCTTCATATTTAGTTTTCTCCAGTGCATGAGCAATTGTTGCCTACCCCAAATCATATGATATGATATGATGAACATACATCACCCTGGATAAACATATATACAAATTATATTAATTAAAAACCGACCTGTGTTACTCCAAGCTTGGTGGACATGAGAGATGCAACCAAGTTTCCATCAGTGTAGTTCCCAATAATGAGATCTGGTTTGCCTTCCATCACCTCAACAATCTTCGCACTAGCATCCTGCACCGTACAGTACCCCAGATTGATGATTGATTTGTATATATAGATTCATGAAGATGGAAGATGGAAAGCAATTAATGCAAGCAGGAGTGAGTGAGTGACCTGAGAAAACCTCTCCAAGTATGGATAAATATCAAATCTAGAAACCCATTGCTGCAGAATCCCTCCGTCGTCTGTTCTGAATGGAAGCCGAAGAATATGAGAATGTGTTGTGTTGAGTATAGGCTCCATCTCCTCATCACAATTTGTCCCTCGCGCATCTGGTATAAGCCGAGTTACCTGCATGCACATAATAATCAATTTAATTCTCTTAGCTTGTTTCTTATATATTCAGATGTATGTTAGTTACTTAATTAGTTGGTTGTTTCATAAGCTAATTAATTAAGCTGTCACTCATACTCATAACTCAATACATAGATAGATAGATGATACTTACCACCACAATCTGGGGCTTCACATTCAACCCTTGCTGCTTAATTCTTAGCAGCATTTCTTCCTCCAAGGCTCTTACTTGATCCAGAATATAAACCACCTACGGATCAAGTATATATATATATATATATAAATTAAAAACTAACGTACCTCCCAGACATCAGACATGCATGCAGGAAAAGAAATTTTAAAAAAAAAAAAAGGTGGGGGCTGGGATATATAGATGACCTAGCTAGCTACTATACATACCTGGCCTCCGGTATCAGGCAATCCAAGAACATGAGCTTGGCCAAAGTAACCATGAATTGATAAGATAACAATTTTGAATACGGCTGGCAGCCTGGTGAAGAAGGATTGTGTATTGATGGGATCTGGGGCTTGGAGTATCTCAGAGAGTAGCCTCATTGTCTCCCTCACTCTCTCTGCATTCTCCCCCCATCCTTTCTCGAAACCCCATTCTCTCACCCTGCACCACATTAATTTCCATTTAAACATATATACATATATTATTATGCATTGCATTCTTTATTTATATATTTAGCCCAGTGCCCAGGTTAAGTTTGAAAAAGTAATTTAAATGATCCTGCATCCAGGCCAGGGAATTATTATTTATATATATATACTTATGAAATACGTACTTGTGCTCAAAGTCTTTGTAAGGCGTGTCTTTTGGTAGAGCAGATACATATACTTCAGTCACAATCAATGCCTTTTGAAGCTTTGCAACCGTATCAAGAGTCTCATTGATCATAAGCTTCTGCAAAACCAAACATCTTTAATTTCTAGCTTAGCTTATTCCATCAGCCTAGCTAGCCTTTAATATAGATATATAGATATGATTCATTATATATATTCCAACGTAACTAACTAATTAACCTCTCCATGATAATTAAGAGCTAGAAGATAGTCCAGTAAAGGCTTTGCGTCCTCAAGATTTCCACCAAACTTGGAAGTCATGAATTTTGAGATGAAGTTCACTCCTTTTCCAATAGAAGCAGAAAGGGCTAAACGAGGATTAGAGTAGTCAAATGCCCCAAAATCAACTTCCAACGCATTTTCATCCTTTGCCCTGGTATCAATTCAAGGAAAACATTCAATTCAATTCTCATCTTTGCATGCATTATTATATTTATATATATTAGAATTTAGCTAGGAAAACATACATACATACATACATACATACCAGTTTTCATCAAATACCAATTCCTTGAAAATCAGATATTCTTTCACACTGATTCCTTCCACGCCCAAGTTCCCTGCATTAACTTTAAAGTAGTCCCAACATCCAGGGTTGTGTCTCACTGCAAAAGCAACATAAGGGGGCACAACGGCTGCCTCCTGCATGCATATATATTTCAAACCATTATATTATATTATATTATATTATATTGTTACAAATAATTGAATTTTGCATTATTTAAATTCATCACCTGTGTGGAACTCATAATCTGCCCCAGTGTGCCCTCAAAAACTTTGCTTCTTTCTGCTTTATCCTCTATTGTTTGCTCAATCTCTTCTGTTAGATGTTTCAACTTCATCACCCGCTTTCCAGCTCCGGTGAACCTTCAATTCATTCATATCCACACTTCATTTTCACCACTCTAAATAAATAAATACTACTGTAATAAAAACCTCCCATCCGCTCCGCTCCATGCATTGCATGATAATATATCAAAACCCAGCCTAGCTACTTATTCAAAGTGATTCAGAAATTAGGCAATAATAAATAGCAAGGCACCTGGCAAAGCATCTCTTCATATGATATCGGCTCTGTTTCAAGGCATCAGGCATGCCACTTACCACAGTTGAAGAACCCATTTTCAAACTGTAATATGATACCAATAAATAAATAAATTTACTTTCTTCAAGATCGAATTCTGCATTTTGACCAATGAAGGTAGGATGGTTTATATAGGGAGTTGATAGCACTTGAAGCCAAGCAACTACTTTCATGCCAGCCAGCCAATGAGAGACCGCACAAGGAAGATAAAGAACATTCCTTGGTGCTTAGTGTGGGGAAACACACAAGAAACAAATTGACACAAATTAAAGAAAAGAATTCCTCTAGTCTGTCATGGATGTCATTTGCCTTTTCTCATTCTTCAAAAAGGTATTTTGTTTCTATGGATGGACAAGGATTTATTCCTTTCTTTCACCCTACAATTTTACCCCACCCCTTCTCGCACTCAATCCTCTTATTTACATTCATTCCACTCTCCTTCATATGTCTGCATTTTCTTCTTACTTGTTGCACTACATTCACTCAATTACTGCATATAATTACTTCCTCTAATAATCTCATCGTTGTTCACTTGATCGCTTCCAAAATTATTACTTTTGATATAAAACCGGAATACCGATCCGAGTCCAGTATATTAACTCTCCTATTTTAAGAATTTTAAATACCAAAAAAATACAATGAAATTTCAATTTCTCGTATTTTATGATTTGGAACTCAAGAATAAAAATTCTCACCACCAAAACATGAAAATTTTACAATTTTAAGGAATTAATGAAGAAAAGAGTTCAATTCCACCAATCAAACGGACTTTCAAAAATATTTCATATGCCAAAACCAGCCATCTAGTAAGAAAATACTGGATCTCATCACTCCATACCAGCAAATAGAAAATTCATAAACATAACATAATACGGAGTAATTAATAAAGATAGAATCACTTAAAACAAAGCACACCAATCTTATAAATCACACAGAGCATCATCTAAGAGTCGAATCAGAGTCATTGAAAACAAACTAAGAAAAAACAAAGAGTCGCATGCCAACAACCACATCCAACCAACAAGTACAACTGAAATAAAGATAGTTCATAGCCTAGCTCCAGACATGACATCTAACAATAAAACATCACTTTTTTCACATTGTCCTTGAGAGCAGGCAACGGCCTCACAACAGCATTAGCCGACCCCGGTGCCCGGGTGTTTCTCCCAGCAGCAGCACCACCCCCACCACGGCCAGCAGCAGCACCACTTGTCATTGAACCACTGTCAGAAGTCTCTGGCTCCATGTAGAATCTTGCTCGGAAGGCTGCCAAATGTGCGTAGTATGCAGGGGGAACTGCAAAATATCTCTAATCGTTATGTCCAAGCTTTATGAGTTGAACAAAGTCACCTAAAATGACACAAGAAATTGAGAAAGAAAGACGTACCAATTGATACAGAACGGGTGCACCTTGCATAACTGAAAATGTAAAAACCAAAATAGTAGGATCAGAACAAATACATGATATTCTAGTCACTGAGCTCATTGCCCTAACGAATTGAGGAAGGGAAATTCACTTACGTGTAGCAGAGGTTGTTGGTTAGTGACTGAAGTCCATCAGCAGTAAAACTATTTTCATCCCACAAGACATGATAATGTGCTGGACGACTTGTACCCTGTATGGCAAAAAACAAGCAGTTAAGGACATTAAATGTATTTTTAGTTTTCTTATGTGATCCTAATTTTCATGAATAATATCCTACTTGACCAAAAGTAACATGCATTGTTTACCTGTATACCGGCATGGCTACACAGGTAAAAGTCAAACTCAGTAGGGTGGCAGATCTTTGAATCAACAACGGTACCTGTGAAATTTGCAGCAAAAAATACAAATAAGAAACATAACATATAACTACAAAAGAAATTCAAGTGTCCTTAGATTTGGGTAGATACTAACCAGGCAGGATGTTACCACTCCTATCAACTGCATTTCGGTCATTGTGATTGTTAGCAAACAACCTAGTATGGTGCCGTTTCTGAACGACAACAAAGGTAACCGGGGGCTGATAGTTTGGTTCCAGTGATGCACATGCCTGAAATAAGGTCAGTGATTAGTTCCATGATGAATGAAATAGGGAAAATTCCCTCTTTGCTATCTTCTAATGTAAAGAGAACCCAGGCACACCAAGCACAACAGAGGCAATCACCTTGCGAATCGCATCAAGTTCAAAGAGAAGTACTTGATAGAATTGCCCTTCGCTGACCCCATCCCTAAAAGCAGAAAGAAAATTTAGGGAGAAGGAGTGGGAGGCAATAAAAAATTATGAGCCTTTTTTTTAAGTTAGCCAGCTAGTTTAAAATACCTATAGAAAATGATTCTCTGTGGCTTCTGTCCAGTTGCTCTGCGGAAGGATATAAGCAATTCTCTGGACAACAATCAAAAAAGGCAACTAAAGATCAGCAACAAGGAAAAGGGCAGCTGCCTAGAACTTAAAATACAATTTCATGAAACAGAGCACTATACTTGATCATGCCACCAGTAACATTCCCCCTAACAGGGTCTTGCCAAGATTTGAACAGATCCTCAATGAGCTCTTGCCTGTGTGCCTGTGCAGAAACTAGGCCGGCATACTTTGTGATCTCAGGCCAATCCTGAGAAGCAACAACCTGGAAAGAGATAAAAATAACAGTAAATAATTAAATACTCCGTAACAGATTATTCCTTTAGTATCATATAAATCATCAGCAACTTACAGCCGCAATAGATGGACTTGAATCTTCCCCAGGATGAGGGTGGGTAACATCAGCACCGAAAATAATAGTTGGTCGATCACTGACCAGGGGAATGCGCCTAGATAGTGCATCCACAAGTACAGTATTCCTCCCTCCAACTTTGACGTTGATTTTCAATGAAACATTGGCAAGGTATTGTTTGCTCATTTTGAACACATGCTTGGTCAAACAGCATTGTGACACAATTCCAAGGTCTGTCTCACAAATCCTTTTCAAATCACCTAAAAATAAAAAAGAACTCAGCAAGAACACATCCAAGGAGAACGACAATAATTTGATCACAGAAACAATGCTTATACCATAGAGAGACCCATTATTGTCAGGAAGGATAACAATCAGAAGATCAAGCTCCCTTCCTTGTAGCTTTGTCATGGCATCATGATATCGAGCTTTCAGTGCTCTCTCAACCTGGTCTGGGCGTGCAGTAATAGGTGGTAGAACAGGATTTGGATTGAAGTTCTTCAAAAACAGAAAAGCAGTACATTAAAGTGATTAGTAGGAAATTGTAAGAGAACTAATCCCCAGAAAGCACAACAGAAATCAAAATTACCATGCCAGATATTTGACACATTTGGGCAAGCTCAGAACAAAACCCTCTAGCAACACTATCTTGCACATTGCGGGAAAAGTTTATGCAAATCCAGTTGTTAACTGTTCCTCCATTAACCATTTTCTGCGAGAAGAAACAGATAAATAACATATATTATATAGCCACCAAATGATATTTCAAAGTATTGCCATACAGGTTCAAAAGTGGGGAACTGTAAATAATAGAAGTAGATCTTGACAGTGTTAAGTTAAAAATCACTGATCCAAGTCATGGAAGCAAATATAATATGATTCATATTAAGTAATTATTTCAATAACAGATAGGGCAGAAGTCATAAACTTGATCATAAAAATAGCATCAAATGAGCAGGGCATAAAGAAATGGAAAATGCTATTTACCCCTGCCAAGTTTTCCCTAACACCCCCCCCCCCAAAAATGATGTGGCTTATATTCATTGGGTGCCATGAATTACTGATCCCACACACTTTCAATTAAATACTAAATAATCCAATTAGATGATGCAACATCAGAAAGGACAATTGGGAGGGAATTTTAGGAGGGATACCCAGCAATACTCTAAAGAAATATCTGAACTCTGCTATTACCTTGTTCATCATATTCCACTGTCCAACTTGTGGGAGACAATCTTTCTCACGACCAGTATCATGGTATTTTAACTGTAAAACAAACAAACAGGTCACGCCAAGTATCAAACAAACAAGCAATGATTTAAAAGCTCCACTTACCCAAGGAGCAGGTAAAATGCGAGCCTCGACCTGAGCAAGCCTTTCACTAATTTTAATTCCAAATTCTTGTGCATAAGGGTCTTGAGCATATGCATTATGTTCCACAGTCTGGCAATGAGAGAGACGTCAACTTCTAGCATACATAGACTATCTAAAGAGGCATCATCCATAAATGGGAACTCCACCAAAAAAAAACCCTAACACAACTAATAAATAACACAGTACATAGTATTTAGTGGACAGTCATCCAAAAAAAAAAATGCACATACAGGAATACAATAGATACAGCAAAAGCATTTCACACCAAATAGTGAATTGTGATGGCAAAGGGCATGCGTTGCCATTAGATCAAACATTTCTCATCACAAGTATGGAATAGCACTAACAACATAAAGCAAATAGATTAAATTAATAAAGGCTAAAGATCTTCCAGAGAGATCTAACCCGAAGAATGTCAAGCTCCCTATCTCGTGGCCGTTGGCATGTTACTTTGAGGAGTGCAGTGATCTGCCTCTCATTTAACCTCTTAGAGTATCTTTGCCCTTCAACAATCTTGCACACCTGGATTTCATATGACATATTAAGCCCATGAACCCATATGCCAAATTAAAAGCACTATTCAGTATTTCAAAGAGCCACTAACCTCCATTGGCAAGTAATTAGCCCTCTGCTGATTCCCAACTTGTAGACATGGCCATTGAGTATGCTGAATGACAAAACCATAAGTCTCACGGAAGTATTCAACAACAGATTTAGTTGTACCCATCTCATCAACAGGAAAGCTGCAAAAAGAGAAATGCATAGTACAGCCAACAGAAAAAATTAAAGTACATAGATAATTTACAAATACATAGGTCAAACAAACATACGTCAGCTCCCTTGTTGCTTGTGAAGTCAGACCAGAGATTCGATACTTCCTCCGCATGTTACCACGATGAGTAACCTCTACCTTCACACCTCTTAAAGCTTTCTTAATCTGCAGGTCCAAAGTAAATGTCAAGATAAATAAATAAATAACTAGATGAAAAGATGCATAAATGAAAGCAAGTGGGAAATACAGGGATGTATTAAA